GCCTGGAGCAGAACCCGGACGCTGATCTCCTCGTGTTCGTTGGTCGGTGGTCCATGCAAAAGGGTGTGGATCTGATTGCGGATGTCATGCCTGCTGTTCTTGAGGCGCGTCCTAATGTCCAGCTGATCTGTGTCGGCCCTGTCATCGATCTGTACGGCAAGTTCGCTGCCCTGAAGCTGGACCGTATGATGAAGGTCTATCCTGGCCGTGTCTTCTCTCGTCCTCAGTTCACTGCTCTGCCCCCCTACATCTTCTCTGGTGCTGAATTCGCGCTCATTCCCTCTCGTGACGAGCCGTTCGGTCTGGTGGCCGTAGAATTCGGTCGTAAGGGTGCTCTCGGTATCGGTGCTCGCGTCGGTGGTCTCGGTCAGATGCCTGGTTGGTGGTATAACGTCGAGTCAATGACCACTGCCCATCTGCTCCATCAGTTCAAGCTGGCGATTGACGGTGCTTTGAACTCGAAGCCCGAGGTCCGTGCTAAGATGCGTGCTCGTTCAGCCAAGCAGCGGTTCCCCGTCGCTCAATGGATCGAGGATCTCGAGATCTTGCAGTCTACATCCATCCGAATCCACAACAAGGAATCCTCCAAGTCCAACAATCGTCCCGTGACCCCTACCGGCCCCATGACACCCCGCGGACTGGGTGCTATGAGCCCAACTTTCCCCGCTAGCGGAACCCAGACCCCTGTTGGCGCGCACTCTCGCGAAGCCAGCTACGTGAACCTGAGGCAATTGTCTGAAATTGGCCCGCAGCAGCGCGACACCATCATTTCCTACAGCAACAACAACGCTGGCCGGGAGATGACGGAGAAGCCTGCTCCGGGATTGAGCCGTAAACTGTCGCTTGGTGTCCGTTCCGGCCCTGGTCATATTAACCGTCCTGGTCGGCGTGGACAGGGACAGCAGGACCTGGCTCTGCCCGATCGCAGAGATGGCGGTGATGTTTCCGATATCGAGGAGGAGAGTGACGATGACTTCATTGATCACTACTATGGCGACGAGGAATATACCCTCACGCCCGAGCAGGCCGAGGAAGGTCGACGACTCCAGAACAACCCCCAGTCCCAAAGTGGACGTGCCACCCCGAGAGAACTTACCCGCTCCGCCCAGTTCCCCTCGAGCCCGTCCGTTCATTCTGATATGGGTCTTGCTCCCCCCACCCGGCCATTCCTGGAACCTGGCAATCGTCTGAGCAGTGCCTCGGTGCTGTCCGTCGATTCCGTCGTTGGTGACAAGAAGGACTTCAAGCTGCAAAAGGTGGATCCTTTCTTCACGGATAGCCATGGTGACTACGCTCGCTTGTTCGAAAAGAGTCTGGAGAGCCTGAACGCGGCCAACTCGGAGTCACAGCTCTGCATTGAAGAGTTCCTCGTCAAGAGTGAAAAAGAATGGTTCGACAAGTTCCGCGATGCCAAGCTGGGTCGTCTGAATTCGCCCGCTCCATCTGTCTTCCGTGGTAAGCGTGGTCCTTCGCCTGTGGATTCCTACTACGGGGATGACGCCTCGTCGCGTATGAGCCCGGATGATGAGCAGTCCCAGGAAGATGACGAATTTCTCCTAGGCAAGGACTATGTCCCTCCGACCGGTCTGCGCAAGTGGATGCAGCTGCGCATCGGAGACTGGCCAGTATATTCCCTCTTGCTGGGCTTGGGCCAGATCATCGCTGCCAATTCATACCAGATCACCTTGCTGACCGGCGAGGTTGGTCAAACCGCGGAGAAGCTGTACGGAATCGCGACCACGTACCTGATTACCTCGATCCTGTGGTGGTTTGTCTTCCGTTACTTCAAGTCAATTGTCTGTCTTTCCGTCCCCTGGTTCTTCTACGGTCTGGCGTTCCTTCTCATTGGTCTCGCCCATTTCGAGCACAACGAGTTCACCCGAGGATGGATCCAGAACGTCGCCAGTGGCTTCTACGCGACCGCTTCCTCCAGCGGGTCGATTTTCTTCGCCCTCAACTTTGGTGACGAAAGCGGTGCGCCGGTTAAAGAATGGGTCTTCCGTGCCTGTGTCATCCAGGGCACGCAGCAGGCCTATGTCATTGCGCTGTGGTACTGGGGTTCGACACTCACCAAGGCCTCGAGCCAGGGCCTCCTGACCAGCGAGACCAACATCGCCAATACCTGGAAGATGACCGCCATCTGTGTTCCGATTACCGTACTCCTGTGGGGTGTCGGTCTTCTCATGTTCTTTGGCCTTCCCACCTACTACCGCCAGAGCCCTGGTAAGGTTCCGTCCTTCTATCGCTCGGTGTTCCGCCGCAAGATCGTCATCTGGAACTTTGCCGTCGTCATCATCCAAAATTTCTTCCTCAGTGCTCCTTACGGCCGCAACTGGAATTGTAAGTCAACTTCAATCTGTCAAGTGAATCGAGATACTGACCCCTGTTACAGTCCTCTGGAGTTCGGTCCACGCAACAACCTGGCAAATCGTCATTCTCTGCGTTGTCTTCTTCGGTTTCGTCTGGGCCGGCTTCCTCTTCATCCTCAGCCACCTCTCCAAAAAACACAGCTGGATCCTCCCCGTGTTCGCCTGCGGTCTCGGCGCCCCCCGCTGGGCCCAGATCTGGTGGGGTGTCTCCGGAATCGGGTACTACATGCCCTGGGTCGCAGGCGGGCTCACGGGCGGCGCCCTGGCATCCCGCAGCGTCTGGCTGTGGCTGGGCGTTCTCGACGCAATCCAGGGCCTGGGCTTCGGTATGATCCTGCTGCAGACCCTGACCCGCATGCACATGTGCTTCACCCTCATCGTGTGCCAAGTGCTGGGATCCATCGCCACGATCTGCGCCCGAGCCTTTGCGCCCAACAACGTCGGCCCGGGCCCTATCTCTCCCGATCCCACCTTTGGTGCGAGTGCCGTGGCGAACGCGTGGTTCTGGATCGCCTTGATCTTCCAGCTGCTCATCTGGTAAGTTCTTTTGCCCTCTATCTATCTACATCGAACATAGCTAATACATTGCAGTGCTGGGTTCCTTCTCTTCTTCCGCAGAGAACAGCTCTCCAAGCCCTAAGGCACAGGCACTACCATCGCTCCTTAACGATTTGATTTCCTTGTTATTGGCATATTTTGCATATACATACTTCCTGTATAGATACGACATTTTGCATATATAGATGTGTCATGACTACCTCGCTGGGTCTTTCCGCTGTGGCTTGATGTCCGGAGTTCAACGAGGGTATGACCATGTGTTTATAGAAAGTTACATAATACTTAATTGCGTTTTTCCAGATGCAGTAGTATGCCGTAGGCCCTCTATGGTTTGCTTTGTCCTAGCCTCATTACCTCCTTGTACTCTCTAAGTCAATGTAAATGACTTGTTGATTCTGTTCTCCCCCAGTGTTTTCCATGTTTACCATTCTTGCAGATCGTAAGACATGGCAGTAAACCAAGGCCTGGCCGAGTCTTGGTTCAAACAACTACTAATCAACAAATAGTATGCTAGATAGGTAATACTATCGTTCATAGATGGCTCTTGTTCGGTACGTCGCATGTGTTGCTCGGCTGGTCGTCAGTAGGATTTAAAAGAAGATCGAGCGTAGGCCATCTCGACTGATTGACAGCTGGGGACTCCCGGAAAGTCCCTGTTTGACCATGTTCGTGACCGGCATGATCAAAGGCAACGTGTCTAAGTACGGCCCCTCAGTCTATGAACGTAGAAGAAGCGAACTCGCCGTACCGGACTGCAGTAGTAGACTCGCTTGGCATCTGAGGGAGTGGACGTAAATTGTTCTCGGTATTAGGTTTTTCATGCTCCTGAGTATAATACGGGGTGCGTGGAGGAGAGGCAGAATATGAATTAATCATGGACTGTAGTGATGGTGTTCAGAATAGTTAGTTTGATTTATGGCTAACCTGAGGTAAGTACCTTTGCTTCGCACGGCATGCTTGAGCTGTTGCTTTGTGACCCGTCGACGCGATGTGGGAAGGTTTGGGCTTGTTCCTGCATTTGCGAAGAGAGCGTAGCGAAGTGAAGCTGTAATAAAAGTGATTCAGAATCCTCAACCCAAGGTGGAAATGAAATTTATCAAGGACTTTGGGACCAGGATGGGTATATTTATACTTGCCTAGCCCAAAACTCCATTGTTGCTCAGCCTTATCCCCCGATTTTTCTTTTTATGTTTACTTTTTTTCCGTTTTCTGAACCTTTTCCCCATTGTGACAAGGATTCTGCTCCCTTGACGCTGGTAAACCTGCCCCTATACTCTTGGTTGCAGACAATCCATGTTGGCGGAGAGGGCATTATTTCCGAAAGTTTGCGTTTCTCCCACGGGTTCTCTGATATCCTTGCTCAATTGTTGATCTCCAGGCAGCATACATAGCACGTTACGCACGATGGGCAAGTAGAAAGCAACTATTCGGACTCTCAATGATCTTTTACACTTTGATTCTTTTTGACATCCAGTCGGCCGCAATGAGCCTTCGCCTTACCCAACGTCTACCGATATTAGCGCGGTACTCTGTAGGATCTGGTGTGCTCGCACGGATTGGTGAGCTGGTGAACTGCCTCAAGTATTGACATTCTCTCAGTTGTCGGCCAGGGGTAGCATTGTAGTTGCTTCTCCCGACCCTTCTGCCACCCTTCTAAGCTAGCAAAGCTGCGATCTCCACCATATTCATTTTGGAAATCCCTACGAGCAGTGCAGTTGAAAAAAAGGCGACGTAGTACTTAATACTGCACCACGGCAGAGGCGGACACACCGAAGAGCACCAGAGAAGAATGGTCAAACTCCACGGAAGAACAACGACTATACAGATTGGGGACATAGGGTCCGAGACGTACGTGGTGGCCGTCAGAATCCCACAAGGCTCGCCACTCTCGCTCATACTATCTCACTTCTACGACGCAGACCCTGGAGGCCGTTGCTGACAGGGACATACAGACACAGATTAGCTGAACCTAAACACAGCTCGCAGAGGCCAAGAATGATTTATCGACAAAGCTCAAATTAGCACAATTCCTACCGCATACGAAGCGAGATACTATGTCTGAACCCCTAGAAACTAGACATACCCAAGTCTTCTGATGCGACTCTCAAGGTCCATAATTTCTTTCTCATACCAAAACATCAAAGCCCCGTCAATCTGTCTCAATGCACGTGCCTCTTTAAACTGCCGAAGAACGTGATTGTATCCGTTGAATTTTCTCATGTGGGGGTCACCATCCGGTTGCATCTGGATTATCGGGTCGTCTTCACTCAATCTCTGGAATTTAACCAACTCACAGAGCTGGCCAACCCTTGAGATACCGCTGGGCTCAACGGCAAGGTCGACTTGAATCGACTCTTGAGAGATTAATCGGTCTTCGAGAGGGACTACTTCTCTGACAACATCTCCAAGGTCTAGCTTTTGAATAATCTCCCAAGGGTGGCTTTGGTATCTCGGACAGCGAATTCGTATGGTCTGCAGAGTAAGCATATATATGAGAAACAGGGAGGCTACCCACCTCTAGGCGATTCGGATGAATGACCGACAGTTCATTCTCAATTCCAGCTAGCCTTTCAGCAACCCAGACTTTGGCCATAGGGCCAAGGCGTTCTTCACGAAGATAACGAGAATACCTCCCCAATAAATCCGCATAGGCGGCAATCCGCTTGTCTTCCATTGTTTTGCCGGGTTGGGAGAGAACCACAGGATCATCATCGCTCATGGGGAAAAAGCCGGGAGGTCCGTACTGGCGGACAACCCTGCGGACACCTTCCTCATGGACAGCTAGTTCTACGAGGATGGCGCCTTCTGGATGGACTGTCTTATCATCGGCGACCCGTCGGTAGTTGGGATCTTGAAGAGGCACTGCTGCTCTGACCACATCGTGAAGGCCTTTCGATCGAACACTGGCCATGGGATGCTTTTGGTGACTGGAACACCATACACGTATGGTCTGTATCGTTAGTGTTTATTTGAATAGAGGTTAACACAACCTTACCTCGTAACCATGGATTGCTTTAATACGGCCTTCAAGCTCCGTCATGCACTTACTGAACCAGTTGCTGATAAGCTCATTCTCAGGTCCCGGTATTTGACCACGGGACTGTCGGATTCTCCGTGCTCTATCATATCGTGAAATGATTTTTCTGAAAGCTAGAGCTCTCTTCAGGTCGGTATCGTCACCTGGATCTAAGTAGACCAAAGGATCGTCGCCGCTAAAGGGAGCAAAGTTTTTCACTGGCAAATATTTGGAGCGAACAGTCGCAGCGTGTTCCGGCAGAACGGCCAAGTCGACTAACATAGCCCCAGCTGGGCGACGATTTGAATACACTGGAGCATACACGTTGCTAGGATCTTCCAGGTGAACCTCTGCTAGGATCACGTCTCCTATGCCCTTGATTTCGGCATCTCGCATCAGGGGTCGCCGGCAAATGGGATACCATATTCGCACGGTCTTTAATATTAGTACTCTGCGCATGGGCAGGAGAAGTGACATACCTGGACGCTATTTTGAAGGGTATCCAGTTCTTTGACTATCCACTGGAGCCGTCGTTCAAGCCAGGTGCGGCCTTGGTCGTCGAAGTCGTTTTCCGCTAGACGACCATGGTAGGCGTCAAGTAGCTGCTTGCAAGCCTCGACTCTTTTGAGAGTTAAGTCTCTTGGTTTCTGAGCGACCACCATTGGGTCTTCGCTGCCTAGCGGCAGAGACCTCACAGCTTCGTATCGACGGCGAACCCTTTCGACACCATCCTTGTCCACAGCAATGTCTGCTAGCTTTTTGTATTTTATGTATCCACCTTGGCACGGGAGAGGCACGATGAGTTTGACGACATCGTCTAAGGCGTGGTGCCAAACGGCAGCCTCTGGGGATAACTTGGTATCAGTGAACCAAACTCGGACAAACTGTACCATTAGCAATTTCCAGAAAAGAATTGGTTGTATACATACTTCCAGGTCATCCATAATGCTATTCTCTCGCTTAGCATCACCCAAGTCTGCCCCAAACCAACCGGACTCGCGGCGTGAAGTCCGTGTCGTAGGAAAGCACTGCAGCACGTTTGAAAACAGCTCAGCTGGCCACTTCAGAAAAGGGACGGAACTCGACCAGCTGGAGAAGACCATAGCAGTCACGTCTTTGGCGAGTCTCACGGTAGAGAAGTGTCCGGATCTAAGGGCGCAACATGGCCTCCTTATATGTCAATTATATCACATGCTTCGGATTTTTGGTTGGCTTCATTTCAGCAGGTTTATCTCAAGATCCGCGCTTGCCTTCGTGCATGGGGTCAACGTCACATTGTCTCATGGAGCACCAGGCCTGCACTGCCAGTAGCGTCATCAAGCATTGTCGGGAAGAAGCCACACTAATTATTCCTATCAAGGTAACAATTGCGTTCGCGGAGGGCCGTCATGCGACGGCCCTCGTCCGCTCAATGGAATGGTCCTATCTTCATTGATTAAGAAGACACTGCTTGCTGGATGGATACTTCCAAGTCCAAGGGGCTGAGAACCCTGACGCCGCCGAAAGGGGGCTGCATTGACTACGCAATACGAACGGGTAGACATTGCTAGGTCAAACAATAGAACTATTAGTCCTCTGGATCTACGCTAGCCATACATTGCTCCAGGGGGAAGTAAAAAAATATCATGTCCAAAAACCGTGGTTACTAATTGTCCACTTGTTTACAAGTGGGGCCAGCCCAGTAACCTCCCCAACGCGGCTGAACTCTCTTTTGATCATCGGAACGCATGGGTCACCCGTAACAATACTATGCGTGTCTTAGTCCCGCCGAGACCTGATCTAATTCTCCAGTTAGCGACAAGCACAAGGGCTAGAAGGATCGTATTTACCGATGTACAACCGCCCCGAGTTGGCCATGAGCCTAGACCATCGCAACGCAGCATTTATGATTTCTGGGTATCCGTTTTGTAACAGGGAAGGGATTAGATACACCTCTGACAAAGGCATGTGGGGGAATCTAGAAAGCAAGCTCATGAGAACAAGCCAGATCCCTGGCATTTTGAGAGCCAGTTCCCCCAAATAAACTTTATGGCCGCATTTAATGGCGTCACGCACTTGTGTGGTGTTTGGTAATCCCTCTTCGTGGATGAAATCAGAAATTGACCTTTGCGCCCCCCAGGAGCGCTTGGCGAGGTATCGTATGCTCACAGCACGGAGATACCATTTCCGTGGATCTATATCTCTTCCCACGTTAAGGAATGCAGTCCTGGGATCCTCAACAGAACTATAATCAGCGGAAAGAATTAACCTAGTTGGATCGCCAAGTTCTGTAATGAACCTCTGAAGCTCTTCCAAACCTTCCTGGGCACGGATAAGGACGCCTTCGGCGGTTTCGGTGCGGGTGCGACTGTGGCCTAACCCTGTATGTCTCTCTTGTGGAGTAAACGAGAAATCCACTTGGGCGAACTCCGCAGTTTCCCATTCCATTTTGCTGAGTGCTCGGTGTCGTGACAGGAAATGGGAGGCGCCACAGGCCAGTGCAATAAAACGCAAACTGTGCATATCGATATGCAAGCCAATGCTCTCCTCTGAAAACCCCATCCACATCAGTAGGCCAGCCCCACTTCGCTCTTCTATCAAAAGACCTCCATGTGTAATAAGTACCTGGTCGGCGCGGATGCGGATGACATCCGCACAGATACCGCTCTCCCTTAACTTTTGCTCAGATTCAATCCTATGGGACTTGGGATAAACTTTGAACAGCCCGTCCTCTGGGCCAACACCCTTTCGAATGGGCCGCCACACGGAGACACCGTCACGACAGGGGTGGGATCGCCGCAGTGCTGTTGTCGTTCTTAGAGGCGAAACTATCTCGGACACAATGATTGGCCCCTGATGTTGCAAAGCGGAGGTGTCTTCGAACAGAGACAAGAGAATGACAGGCAACTTCGCTTATTAGTCCGAACTGCAGAGTCAAGGTTTACTTCCAAAAGAGTTGCTTACATTAATGCCGTAGTTGATAAACCTTTTCCACAGTTCTTTCACATTCTTTGGACGGTCAGCGGAGTCAAAGTACGTGGTTGGTGTTGTTCTAGGTTGAACGTGAGATCCCACTGAATCTTCGACATCCCGAAGAAGGGACTCTTCGGGACTTTGGGCAGCGGTATAAAGACAATATCCGTATTCTTCCATATTTATCATATCCGTTACCGATTCTTCTTTAAGCAGCTCTGAAAACAACGGGGCGTCCATCGCCGCGGTGGGGCTACCTGGAGCTTCAGCTTAGGTAATAGGAGCTATGACTAAAATGATCCTTGGAAGTATACAGAGCCTTCAGTATAACCACAGAGGGATCAGGTCATTTATGTCACATCTCAGGCATTTTTCCCTTGAGATACTGTTCAACCCCTTCCCTCTTTTCTTCTCTGTTTAGTCTTTGCAACAATAAATCAGTTTCGCCGTATGGACCACAATCAAAATTCAACCACCGATACATTTTCGCTCTTTAGAAGACGACCAATAAACGTATTGTTTTTTCCTCGCCCTCCTGTCCCATTCCTGCCCAGCTAACGGCATTCATCTCGCTTGCATCTTAGCCAAGCGAACGGATGCGTCTTTAATGAGTCAGAGGGTGGTGAAAGTGGTGCTCCAGGGCTTTTAGCCCCTGTCGTGTCATATCCTCGCGCCATCTCGATTCTGACCCGGGCATCAAGACAGTGAGGTAGTAATGCGAAGTTGAAGATTACTTGCCGTGCAGGTATGCAGCGAATTGAGAGGTCATGGACGGTTCCAAGTCTTTGCTTGCCTTGTAAGGCTTCATATATGGATTGGGAGCGTTACGATAACCATAGCATGTTAATAGCTAACAAGCCTTCCCTCATCGCGATGGCTTAAAAAGGACTTGACGTACATAGATCAATGAACCTAGTGCCGAGATAAACGCGTCTAAACAAAGTACAGGTGCCACCCATTACAAACTGGATTAAGGGTTGCTTCTGATTACAGCAGAAGTTGGCTGACCTAGTACGAGATTTTGACCAGTAGGTGAGTCTGATACGGTTGTATTCAAGCCGGAGGTCTGATTCTGGTGAATAACTTCGATCGCCAATCGAGCATGCGTACTCAAGAACGTAGTCATACTTCATCGTTCTATACTACTAATAATAGCAAATATCAGTTCAAGGGAGTAGAACAGGTACGTTTGTGCAATGCTCGAATTTCTTGAAATGGTTCAAAGCTGAACGGCCGTACAAGTTTCGGCCGTATTAGGAAAGGCGTTAGACGCCACAGATGACCTTAGCCGCCCCGCTACGTTCTAGGCCGGTCGTTGATGCCAACTGAAGGAACATTTGTTATTGCAAATGAGATTCCTGACACGATTGCAAATGGCAGGCATTAATGATGGACCTTGCAGAAGAAAGAGTTTTAGGTATTTACCTACACCCTCTAATCAGTGTACACAGTTATCTGTTTTCCTCGAACCAGAATTAGGAGAGCATATAAGGCTGTTCCATAGCCATACATGGCAAGATCTCTGAGCTCCTGAACACACTCAGCCTTCATACCTCAAGTGTGTCCTTGTCGTAAAACTCGCCTCAATAAATCCTTTGTCCCATAATGTCTCTGCAGTCAATTCGCAACATCTCCTCCACTGCCAACGCAACATCCTCAGTTTGCTTGGCAAGGTGACCATTGATGATGTCCGCAAAGAGAATGACCCTAATGGGGAGCAATGGGTCAAATCAGTGCAGAAGATAAGAGACGATGTGGAGACTCAGGTGACATAGACTTTCCCCCATCTCTAAACTGGGAAGTCTAATATTGACTAGTACCGCGATGTGACCGGATTTGAAATTCAGTGCGTTTTTCTCTCTCTCTTACTACGCCGACTTTAACATGCTAGAGCTAATAGATGATCTCAGGGGCGCTAAGGCCCATACATCTTCCAAGGATCCAACAGACACAGATGATGTGATTACCATTGGTTTTTATAGCCAGAACGGCACCCGACTGCTTAGCGGACACGTGCATGCTGACGGCACATATAAACTTGCCGAGAGTCGCGCAGGAAAGGGCAAAGGGAAAAAGCAAGAAGGGAAATAAGTGTTTTCTGGACTAGGTTTACGTACTTATCGATAGCCTTTATTCCAGGCTTTGCTCAATGTGTAGCTATAAGCTTGATTTCGACACCTCTTTGAAGGTTCTCCACTTGGTCTCTAGTTTGCTAGACTCTCGCATTCGATAAAAATCGCAGTAGACTTCTGGAATAACGAGAATATATGCTACTGGAATTGGGCACTATCCTGGGTAAGAATCAGCAATCATGCTTTCAATCTAGCGCGGTAAGCTGTATGAGGATCTCATTAGTGGCCGAAAGATCGCAAAGCCTTCCTGAGGCTCTATTTGCATTCAATTTCCTGGTTTCGGGAATTGGGGTTGCCGCAAATCAACGACGGATTTCACGATCTGATTGGTCCGCGTCGTGCAGCGGGCTATCCTTTCGGCGACCATGAATGACGCAACATTAGGCGGTCACCGTGTTTCTAACTCTACACGGGTACTTATATCAAAGGCGCGTCCAGTCTCTTAAGAGCATTCAAGATGATATTCCATCTCAGAAGAAATTGGCCGCCTCGCCTGTTTATTGGCACCATCATTATCAACGCGCGGACGGAAGGTGTTCTCTGCTCACGCTACAGAGTAAGGATGCCACCATGGACAGCAATCACCTCTTCGTTCAAATCGTTTTCGACAAGGGTGCTGGGAGGAATACGAGTACCAGAAACTTTAGAGAACGCCAGGTCGTTCCCTAGCAGTGGATTCGAAATAATCGAAGCTGATCGGTTAATCGAAGAGGAGGAGTTGCCAGATTATCAAGCTGATCGATTCTACCCTGTTCGACTTGGTGAGGTGTTCCAGGATCGTTACCAAACGGTAGCCAAGCTCGGTTTTGGTACTTCATCAACATCATGGCTAGCCCGCGATCTTAGGTGAGTGTGCTCGAGGGTTTATTATGCTGTGCTAAAAAGGTGTAGAGGCCATCAATATGTCACCCTGAAGGTGTATGTTCATACCTCGTTGGTCCACCGGGAGCTTCCGTTTTATCGTCATATTGCCAGCTGTATGGTAGGTACCTCACACCGTGGACAAGGAAATATTCGGAGACTGTTGGATTCGTTTGAAATTGCTGGCGCATATGGCAGACACCTTGTGCTTGTCTTTGATGCTGCTCAAATGAGTCTGCGCGACATGAAGATGGTGTTCCGTCAGGAGGGATTTGAAGAAGACTTTGTTCGGGGTGCTATAACTGAGCTTCTTGAGGCTTTGGACTTTCTGCATACGCATGGGAATGTCGTCCACACTGGTACTGCCTTTGTCTTCCTGTTCTCTCTTGGAACATCGGTGTGAATTCCACGGCTAATATACTGCAGATATCCACCCTGGCAATATGCTCCTGGGTACCTACAATAACCAAGCCTTCTCAAAGTTTGAGGAAAAGGAATTCGCATCACCAGTTGCCCGCAAGCCGATTTCATCTGCTCGAACAATCTATCTCTCCCGCTTGATGCACCCCCAAGAAGGCCCAATGCTACTATCTGATTTCGGTGAGGCCAGGATTGGCCCCGGCCCACACGGGGGGGATATAATGCCCTTGGAATATCGAGCCCCGGAAACATTGCTTTATATAGGTTGGAGCTACCCAGTTGATATCTGGAGTGTTGGCCTTACGGTATGTCCCTGAAGTACCCAACAGTTTCTGGCGAGCTTCTAACTTGATCGGTAAAGGCGTGGGATCTCATGGAACCTAGAAAACTTTTTACAGCACGCGATGATGACGGCGACCTGTATGATGCTGCGCACCTCGCTCAACTAATTGCGGCATTGGGCCCTCCCCCTCCCGATTATCTAGCTAAGAATCCAGAAAGGAGAGCTGACTTTTGGGATGAACATGGTATGTCGACATCCGAACGAAGTATGCGCGTGGAAGGAGCGTTCTGGACATTATTAGTGTCTGGAGACTATTTATTGACCATACTTATAGGGAATTGGCTGGGCCTTGCGCCCATTCCACATGGTAGGACCATGGAAGCATTGGAATCTCGCCTGGAAAATAAATTCAGCTTCCTTCGATTTATCAGAAGGGCTCTAACTTGGACTCCTGGGGAAAGAGCAACAGCCAAAGAACTCTTGCAGGACCCTTGGCTGACAGGCGATGCATCGCGCAATTACGTCCGGTGAATAAGAAGCTCGTATGCCTATGCAATGCGAATGTGGTTCCACATGTTTCTTCAAACAGTACCAGCAGGTGGAAGCCGCTCCGCTTTTGAGATTCCTCTAACATTTCCAGTTGGTGTATGGGCCCTGTATTTACCTGGAAATAGTACCGTACGTTTTTAAGGGCAATAATCAAGTCCAGAGTGATCTGGTAGATCGCTCGCAGCTCCATTCTTTTGTCTGCGTAGATTGCTGGATGGTCATGGTTGATAATCCCAAGATCGGATGCTACAGACTGCCAGAAACTGGCTGGCTTATTCTCTCTGGGCCAAGAATTTATAACCATAGGGACGTTGTCCAACACCGTGGGAAGATCTACAAATCGTGTAAGCGCGGTGTCGAAAGATGAACGCGAAGCAATATCTCGAAGGTTGGGAGTATCTGGTTTTCCCGCTCGGGTATAGCACCCAACAAGGGATGCTTACCCAAACCTAGCTCGTCTTATCCACGTAGTGGCAGCATTCGCCGCCTTGACCGTTTCTCACCAATTAGAAGCTCGAAAATACAGCTATTTCCCACTTCTTCTGCCGCCCAAGGTTCAGAAGCATCACTGTGAACAGTTTTAGGCTACCATACTCCCTAGATGGTATGACCGGCTTTTGCAGGGTTGACATTATCATTAGGGAGGGCCATGTCTTGGCGTGGAGCTTTACGCCTCCTTCAGGAGTCATGACCGACTGGAGTCACCATCCGCACGTGACTTTCTGCCTAACATTCTCCCCCTCATTTTCTTCAGCCCCTCCATGACACAGCTTAAACATTGTTAACGCGCTCAGCGTAAACCAGCTTTTTTGAAATCCTATGTTCTCCATTAATCCGAAGACTCACGCTTAGTCTGCACAAATTGAGCCAGCAATATCGCCATGAGTCGTGCACTGACAAAAGACGCCGAAACGCTTCGACAAGAAATCAAACAGCTGATTGCGAGCGCGGAAAAAGGGGACAACATATACGGCGTGGATCGCCTCGAGGCTCGGGATGGAAGGGTGGTATATATGGGAGATTTGCTCGGACGCAAGATTAGCGCTCTAATGCAAATTCTGAAAATTAAATCGGTCTGCTTCCTCACTTTAATTGCTTCATGGTGGATCTAATATACGGATAGGGCTGGGGATGGACCCTTTGGCATTTTCCTGTGGCGAGATGCATTCTTAACGAGCACAAAGATATGCAGCTCATTTCGTTATCGGAAAACTCTACCGCATCGCCAGGCGGACCCTTGACCGAAGGCTTTCTTATACATATCACTGAGGCAGAGCCTATGCTTAGTCCGGGATCAACGGTCATCATTTTCGGAGAAAGAACATCCTAGAATCACACATGCGTCTATTAGCTGGTCTTGCCTCGGTCCAAGTCAATAATATTTACATATTGTCTTCAGTTGACGTCAGCACGTCACCAAACCTCGATGTTAAGTTTTCGAGAACGTCTAGCAATTTACTGGCGGAGACAATAGTTGTGAACCCTGATATTGCCTGTAAAAATCATTTATCCGCGCCTGAGGGTCGACTTCCTCAGCGCTTTCATAATGAAATCCGGCAGGTTGTATTCCAGCCACGCGTGCCTGATCAAGCAGGATCTCTCGGTGTTCTGGCATGTTGCAGAGGTCACGTGTTTCTCGATTAGCGTTCATGTTGGTGTCCGCGCTGCATGATTGTGTCACATAGCGCTCTGCGTCGAATGTATCTGGACCAAGTCGTACTGTACGTTGAGCGTGGCATTCTTGGTTGGGGATGTTTTGAGTTCCACCTAAGTAAGAAGGCGGCAACATATAGGGAATTTGATTGAAGATGTCCATGTGATGAAGCTCCGGGTTTTGTCCTGAAAACTGGTTGCATGCGATACCCTGACTCGTCTCTAGGTTGGACTGCGGTAGCATGTAAGGTCCGGGGTTAAAAATGTCCGGACTGGTGTCCATCTGCTCTCCTTCAATCTGCGAAGTTGGTTCAGTCTGACCTGCTCGCTGGCCACAATGTCGCAGATCGACAAGATTCTGAAATTGACTTGCCTGTACTCGGAGTGATTGTGCAATATAAGGTTGTTGGTCAAGTGCATCCTGAGTTGGTGGTATCTGCTCGAAAGTTTGACTCTCGCCGGTACTTTCCTGTTCTATGGTAGAGCCCAAAACTTGGCATGAGGCGAGATTCTCAGAAGCTCGCGTAACAGTTTGTGGATGTATATCCAGCGCCGATCCGTCGCTAGGGAGTGTGATTACCGTTTCGGCCTCCCTTGTAGAAGTTGATAATCCACCGAGACTTCCAAGCCTCTCGCTTGTACCACTTTGATTGGCAGGTTCGGGTGATGGTTGACGGTTGTTCGTTCGTCCGTCTTGCAGTATGAAGTCTTCTTGCACTATGCACAATTCAATCGGTCTCCACAGGTAGTTGAACGCTTCACAGGCAAAATCGCCAATGGCAGCAGAATGGGGATTTGTTGCCAGGCACCTTTCTTTCAGGCACGTGATCTCCTGAGCTCGTTTCGGACCCTGTAAAGGGAGCTTCCGCAAGCTTTACTTTGGCATCAGACATAGGAAGTGAAGAGTCTAACGAGAGAACTTACTAGTTGTCCGTCAAATACTCAGGCAGGCAGAATAACAAGCCGAGATGTCTAAAGTCATCGGTGCCTGACTCCCCTGCATCACTGATTTCTCGACAGAGGAGATCAAGCCTCCGCCCAATATCGCTCCAGGTGGTAATACGTGTACCAACTAGCGCAGGGTCGTCCTGGACAATCCCTGACTTCCTCGTAATCGCTATGGCTCTTTCGACGTGATTTGATCGCTTATAATGAATGCAAAACCTTTTTATGAGACGATAAAACACAACCTTCAGTAACCGGATTCGCCAAGTGTCTCTCTCCCCACGATTTTCCAACTGCAAAAGAAACTCATAGGATCCCGCTATCGGATGACGTTGGTCAAGTTGAAGACTATTCTCCGCATCGAAAAAGCCCTTGATGTCAGCTCTCCATTCTGGAATGGAACCCAGTAGCGCGTTCGAAACCGTTGGCGACGTGGACTGTAATGGAGCCTTTCGCGATCTTCTTTTCTCCGCTTTCTGTATCTCTTTCCTCGATGCCAAAGGTATTTGTTTCCAGACAGCGCTTAACTGAGTCATAAACTGTTCATGTTAGTTATCTTCAACTGCAAGGGGTTCTCGCCTTACTTCACCGTCGGAGAGGAGATCCTTGACTTCACCACGACCCTGAGAATCTGCCTCATAGCAAGCAGTGTTCAGTTTCATCATAATAATTCGACTCTCTGCGAGACCCATAATGCTGGCAGTTATGTGAAAGAAGTTTAGAGCCCTGATCAGATGAGGGAGTAATGTTAGATGAGCTCGACCAAGTCCAAGCTAGCAACCCCCGCATTTGCCAGACCAATCACCGCAATCATTTCGACATCATCTTGCGGTCTGTTTTTAGTGATTTTGAAGGTGTGGAAATTCAATCTGGGGAATATATGGTGTCTTGCCATAGGTTTCCTGTATCGTCAGTTTTTCCCCATCATAATGTGAATGCAAGGCCTCTCGCTTGCTAGTACGTGAGTTACCACAATTACCGATTCGAACTGTGCTGACGTGGACACTATGTGGAGGTAAAAGGATGAGCTCAGCATTATATGGTTGTTACCACGATCTGTAGAGCCCTGCCGACGCTGTTTGACAAAATGCCTCAATGTTGCATGTCTCAATCGGCAGTTTGGACCTTCGTCAAGAAAGAAGACCGTGTGCAGGGGGTTCCAGTCTCTCCTACCCCTAAGGGGCAGCTTCGCGGTGTAGTTACGAAGCGCGCGGGCGATCAACACCACTCTATAACGACGTCGTACTTTACTCGCTCTCGTTCGTGGTCGATTTGGTCCGGGGCTCAGAAGACTGACTCCTTTTCCCCAATGCATCAATTAGAGGAAAGTCGGGCGTCGTTGGGGAGACGCTCCTTGTGAAATCCTCTCGCCGCATCCAACGGGAGCCGGCCCGAAGATGTCTATGGATAGATCCCAACTGGATTTGTGAATTGCTATTTCGCGCCTCTCCAAGCTGATAACTTATCCCTATTCCGACCCACGAACAGTCGCCCTTCAATTGAAGCTGCGCGCTCCTGATATTTCAATTATATTACCATTCTCCCAATCCACTGATTGCCAACTGTTCCATTTCCACCGCGCACTATCGACCGTGACGGCATGCTGGTTTGCAGGAGACGGCCTGACCGACGCTGAAAAAGCATCGGTGGAGAAGGATCCTAAGTTGCAATCCGCCATACAATGGCAAGTTGAGCTAGAGGACCGTTGTGCTCAATCCAACGATCCAACGTTGTGGGCCTTGTTGGAACAACAGAAGCACAATATTGACAGTACGCATCGCGGTCTACAGGAGAAGCGGCGGAAAGAGATCCGCCAGGATTTTAGCCGGAAACAAGCAGTCATTGATATTGCGAGGCAATTGACAGGCGGTGGCGTTACTCACGAGCCTGCCCGAGAGGTGTTACGAAAGGAGTTTACCATACCACCAGAGCAGATCCGCCTTGTGAAGCCCATTTTTACTCAGCCAACTTCAGACTTGTTGGAAGATGAGTGGATGAGGCGCAATAAAGCCATGATGGCGGGTATACGGAGTACAGTAATACGATTTCCTTGAGGGGGTTGTCTATGGTCCTGTCAGTCCTGACCATGGGCCAGATGAGACATTTCCCAGCGACGCGTAGACCGTCAACGCAGTCTGGTTGGTTTTTCGGAGGAGCGTCAGATCCAAATGATTTGTACTTCGAATGGAAAGCCCCAATTCCTGAAGCGTGGTAGCAAGGGCAGTCACAAGAGGAACGCTTGCAATGACCCCTAGTAGGATTCAAGAGGGAATCAATGGGCATTCTAGAAGAGGACATTGTCACTGGAAACGCACTGAGAGATTCGATGCTCGTGTTGCAGTTGCTTAGTTGTAGAATGGCAAGGGGGTAACCTACTCGAACTCGAGCACCACTGCGATAGGGTGCACCCCCTCACATGTTTCCGATAGATCTTACTGGAGAAGCACCTAAGGGCGCTGAGTGTCGACGCCAGTCGAGGCTTTTGATGCGACACACGTTCAGGATGACAGCAACAGTTTAACCTCCCAAAGTTACATCTCTATGGGGAACCGTGTCTCCTATTTCCAATTCCTGCTCTTAATGTTTTCTCACACATGGAAGCTTTACAATTTGCTAGAATGTTCATCTTCTGGTCGTTCTCTGCAAATCTAATCCCGTTATGCCGCGAACCACTTTTCCCTCAGGCTCAGCAATGTGCTAACTTTAGCTGCGACGATGTACGATTGTGCTTAAGTATAGAATCTAATGATGTAAGCCTCAACAGTTGCAAGCCACAGAAGAATCAAGAAGCCTGCTTGGCAATTGAGTGAGTATCCACTTGTTTACAAGTGGGCTGCACAAGTACTTAAGTAGTGGCTTGCCGCCATACGTATGTCTAAGGAGTATGTGCCACATATATGCAGTATCCAATAGGAAAGTGTCTTCGGAATTCACAGTGGTTTGCTGACATACACAAATCCAATAGGAAAGGTTATGGTGTCCATGGTAAGTAGAGGATCAAAAGCTCAAGCAAAAGCGGACACTCTCGCACCGAGGCGAACCCACGTGAGATTCCCATTATAAGGGAGAGTCACACAAGAGGTATTCGATGAGTAAGAAACTACTCATCGAGAGGCATACATTCTAGGACAGCTGTCATGTACCAAATTCGACAATGAGATCAACCGCGTCCATTATGAGGTTTAATTGTATGCAGCTGCCGTAGTATCGCTTGCGCCTGCTCTTTGAAGGACTGCTTTTGGCTTTGTGAAAGATTCCACTTAAATGGCTTCGGAAGAAACCAACAGTAAGTACGGTTTTGTCTCCCCGCGCCATATTCTGGCTGCTTGACCGCATCCTCCCTTGAAGTTGTCCACTCTCTCAAGTCAACCAATGCAAAGCCATGCTCACGCAACAGTCTTAGATATACCGAGGTCCCTCCTCCTCGTACGAACTGAGAGGCCAAACATGCCCTATGCGCCATCCCTTTCATTCCCAGGCAAACGACGGAACGCAGGTCGTGGATCCACTGGTGCAGTCGAGACGGGATGTCCAATAGAAAAGACCAGTTTCCCGCCCTTCTTGATACAAGACCGGATCTGCTGGAGCACTCTTGCAAAGTCATGGATGTAGTGGAATGCCAAAGAGTTATACACCGTATCGTATAGGACGGGTTCCTTATCCAGTATGATCATTTCGAAATTGAGTAACGGCGCCGGTATAAGCGAAATCTTTTCCAACACCCTACAGAATCATCCTTTCGCTACCGTTATCCTGTCGCTCCTTTCGTTCCGCCTTCTGCTCCCATTCCATCCTGTTCAGGAAGAAAGCGGAGTTTCCGCTCCACATTTCGAATAATCGACAAAGGGATAGTGACTCGGCGTAACTTGTGGATACTATTGCACAGGGAGGGTGATATTGAAGCTCGTTTCGGAATGTGATGAGGTGGGGTTCCAGTGGAGGGTTTCTTTAACGATGGCGTCGGAAGGGCTGGCCGTTTGACCCGGGAAGAGTTTTAATTCATGCACAGGACCGGCAGGTGTAGATTCCATCACGACCTTCTGCAGTTCAAGTACATAAACTCGCGGTATCTCTCCCAACTGAAGTGTCGGCGACGAAGTGTTGGCCCGATCATTGTATGAATCGCCCAGTGTGTGGAGCTCCGAGACGGAGGGGGTCGTATGTAAGACGGTCCTACTGACGCTAACGAAGGTACAGGAGGCAAAAGAGCTGCAACACTGCAACAAAGCCAAAGGTTATATCCTTCAACGTTGCTTGCCATTAGCGAGGCCAAACGAGGACTTGCATTCGGTGTATTGTTGTTCACCCTTCTAACCAAAGAGACAATGTGACTTGAAGTATGCCGAGTCCAAGCATCGCGAATCCAGGTCAAGCCGTCACCGATTGGCTTTGCGCGGAGGATTTCTGTGCAGGATCACCGAAATATCCCTCTGGGTCAAATCGAACGTGATGTCGCCTGTGCTGTCATCAGGGCAATAAAAGGAAAGATACTTTCATATCTAATCGTTGTAATGGCTTCTAGCGATCCTCAGCCTGGTTTTCAGAACACTTAATGCTCACGTGATACCTGGCATTAAAACAGCGAGCAAGAAAAGCTCACCTCATTACTGGCCAATAAGATACTGTCTTGGCTCAATCCAATAAAAATGGCTATGTTCGGCATGCCTTTGGGAATCTGAAACTAGTTCCAGCGCGAAGGATGGATGGCGCGTTGGCCACTCACCAATCGCGGTTGAGCAGGTGAGCATGGCGCGAGGGTCATCCCTGCATGCTCACCTCACTCAGCCCCAACAGGGACCCGCTCACCCAAGTCGCGCGAGCTCAGGGCGGCACTGCTCACCTACTAAAACAAGAAGGGCAATGGCCTTGGTGACCGTAGTTTTCTGCTCGGTAGGCAAGAATTCCTACTGCCTAACACGACCCAGCCCAAATCACTAAGTACTGTCAGTCAGTGGACTTGTGCCAAGAGGAGGTAAAAATAAGGAGAACCCTGACAGTATGCCAAGAGATACCGCAAACTCGATTTAGGATAGCTGGACGAGCTTATTACTTAGTGGCCAATCAACAATGGCTACTTAATACAGCTAGGCCAAACTTGGCTGGTATATTACAGTTTCTCGCATCTCTCGTATTTCCTGGTGGTCCAGCATCAAATCCAGCGCCCAGGGAGCGGAATCATCTGGATGGAGATGAATGAGACTGAATGCGAGTGCGAGTACGGGTATTGAACCACTGAATTGGAGGTTTCAAGGCAGCAGCATTTACTATGGCGTTTGTTCAGGGAAAATGTGCCAGACGTCGACTATATAGCTCCCTATCCAGGTGCCCTTGACGCTCCTAGGAAGAACATCAACACTCAGTGCAGGCTCCTACAATTGCCAATATTCAAACTTTTCTTGCCTCTCTTCTCAGTCCTCGACTCATACACCATGACCTCAGACAAAGATGACAGCATCTACTTCTACAACCCCTCCCTCGGGGCCTCCATCCTCTTCACCATCATCTACATCATCCCCCTCATCTACCAGTCCTACGTGACCTTCATCTTCCTCCGGAAAGCCCAAACCCCTCGAACCAACTACTTCATCCCGACGGTGATTGGCGCCGCCCTCGAAGTAGCTGGCTACGCAATCCGCTGCGCCAGCGTCCAGAAACCAGCGGATATCGCCCTGTACGCCGTCTCCAGCACAATCATCGTCATCGCCCCGGTCTTCGTCTGCGCGAGTCTCTACATGCTTCTAGGGAAGTTGGAGACTAGCTCCGACGGGGGTGCAAGAAAACCCGCAGCTTTTCTGCGTGGGGGTTCGGGTCGATGGCTGCCGTGGGTATTTGTGACGTTGGATATTCTGGCGGTGCTGACGCAGGGGTCTGGGAGCGGGATTGCGTCCTCGGGGAACTGGGAGGGGTCGACCAAGGACGCGGGGATTGGGGTGTTGATTGGGGGTTTGGTCTTGCAGGTTGTTACGTTTGCGACGTACCTGGTCATTATGGTTTGGTTTCATTGGAGGGCGAGGGTGGAGGGTCACCAGTTGCCGCATGGGGTTCGGATGGTCATGAGGGGGGTTTATATTGCTGGGTTCTTTATCATGGTGAGTCTGGGTGTGAACCTTGGGGAGAAGGCTACTGCTGACCGTAAAGCTCCGCTCTATCTATCGTGTGTTTGAATTTGCGTTCGGCATTGATTCGTACACGTTTACGCATGAATGGCCGTTGTATGTGCTGGAGGCTGTTCCCATGCTTGTTGCCTTGTTGGTGCTCGGCTGGTTTCATCCGGCGCGGTGGTTGGCGATGTCTGGGCTGGAGGGAGAGCAGGTCTATTCTCTGCGCAAGTCGTCCGGACGAGGAAACACCGAAGAGCAGTCTCTAGCTTGAATATATGGGACCGAATTCTGACCGGATAGGGAATTGCGGATGTCCTTGCTTGGGTTATACGGAGGGACCTGGCAATGCAAACATTTCTACGGGATGATGTCTATGAATGTGACTTGATTATTGCGTTATTGTCTCACAAAGCTGTACTAGATGACATGCACGTCTGGTTTTATACTATTGCATCACCAAGTTTATTCTAATACTTGAACCCCTCCAGGCTCCGCGCACCCTAACCACGCTGTCGTCTCCATGTCAAAGAACTGAGCATGCAGATTGGGGAATACACCGTCAGACCGCGTACCGCCAGTGCTTCTCGTAGTAATCTCGTCTGCAGCTATGATTTGCATCGGTAACTCTATCAACTCCCGTATCGAAGATGGTAGCTCGCGGTATATGGCATCCGCCCACTGATGTACGATTAAATCTGTTGTTACGAACGTAGTGCCACTTAGCTCGCGCAGCCTGATATAAACCGGCAGCATAACGAGCTCGATGACAAGGAAATACATGAACAAAGCGCGCGAAACGTGGTTCGCCGGCGCGATGAACATGAGAAACTCTCGATTCTCGGCTTCGTACCACACGGCATAGATCCTGGTGAGCCTGACAAACGCTGCGCGCTGGGAGATTGCGAGGGCGGCGAGTGTCTCCCGTAGCGCTCGAAAGAAGCGGTGATGTATGGTGCTTTGAAAGAGCGGCTGTAATCTATCTATTGCCGCGAGAAGACTGTCGATTAGGAGAGGACTGCTGACGGGTTCGTCGGCAAGTGCCAAGGCTATCTCGGCCGCCTCTTCCTCTGTCCGCAGGTCGAATAGCTGGCTTGTTTTGTATTTGTCCATGATGCAGTTGGTGATGACTCCGCAGCCGCGGACCATGACTGCGAAATCGACGAGGCCATCGTGCATGTGGTATGCCTGGAACACAAGAGCATAGCATGTGGCCAGGATGATGTCCATGTCGGTTGTTGTGCATTCTGGGCCTTTTCCTATCGCTGCCGATAACGCTTTCAGTGCCTTGCCTCTGTGGATAATCGCCGTGGAGGAGTATTCTGATCCATTAGGCGAGACGAGGGAGTAGTGAGTAGCTCCTAGCGCGAGGATTGCGTGCATCAGATGGGGATACTACGGTGGAAGCATCAGCTATAGCCCATGGGATTTCGGCAAGATAATCACCTCATGTGCATATCTGGGTACTTCGGTCGCCCATGTCTCCTCGCTCCCAAAGGGCAGATGCGGACGCGCAGCGATGAGGAAATGATGGAAGAATCGCAAGTCATCGCGACTGAACGGACTGACAGCAAGTCCTTGTGACGGTGAGACCTGCTTGCCACTCGGCGATGATGATGCTACCAAAGTATCGCCTCGCGACGCTGTCTGCTTCCCTGCACCAACCCAATCCCGGACTTTGGAAGGATAGACACATTCCATGTCTCGGTACATGCAGTTCTCGCATGCCGGCTTGGTTTCTTGACACTGCAGTCGTCAACGTCGTTCCCGACATAGTGGATCAAACGTACCTTTACCCTCCTTGCTCTGCAGTTGTAGCAACCCCAGCGGGACTTAGTATGCGGTCGTTTCTGTCTCTGATTAGTCATGGTTTTTGCTTGTTCCCCCGATTGTAACTTCTGCCGATCTTGCAACTCGGCGTTATTTGAAGCCTCAAGGTCGGGAGCCAAGGGCGAAGTTCTGGACCTCGCTTGCACTTGCATATCCGTTGAGCGTATACTAGGATCAAAGCAAAGTCTTTTGCTGAAGTGAAGAAGATGATACCGATGGAATATTGATGGAAGCGTCCAGATAAGCATAACTATTTGTTGAAGAAGATCGTTGACGTAATCCAGGCAGCAACCGAATTGGGTGAATACGAGCTTCCTCGGCCTCCCACCAATATTAACTTAAGTTAATGGATAACAATGAATAAGCAGCTTTCACTCCTTTTGACTCATCGGGGCCGTCTTTTTTGGCTTTTCCGATGCCACGGTGAAGACAGCTTGCTCACTCGGTCCAGCTCTAACCAAATTCGGTCTGATCTATCCACTAAATTTGTTGCCCCTGTTGGTTAAATTGAATTTCCTTGAGATTCTCCTGCCATGCGGTCCCTATCCTGACCATCGAAGCCGCTCCCTCGACCTTCATCGGTGGCTCGGTATTATCCAGACAACGGGCTGTGAACTCGTTTGCTTCTGTGATGGACGCATCTCGGAAGCGACCATAATAGAATCGGAGGGTTCCTGTCGTATACCCGTCGGCTCGAAGATGATGACGAGACCCACGGCAGGCTGAGTATTGACCGCGAGCTTGCCCTTGGTGGTATCTCAGTACATAGCCGGGCTCAGGTACTGGCTGATGAAGTCTAAGAGCACAATGGAGGTATAGGATATGTATTTGTGTTTTATTCGCAGCCATCATGGCAGCGATGCCGTTAGGACTGTAGGCCTGAGGGACCAAAAGTGGGACAAATCGACGGTCTATCTTGGCAATCCGCTACGTGCATCTTTCAAAAGGCTTCAAAAGGCTGTTTCAATGACATCCGTCACCTTTACCATCCTGCCTACTCAACATACAAGATATGGATCCATTTCAGAAACTCCCAACCGAGATCATCATTCAGATCCTAAAGTCATGCTGTGATTTCACCAGCCTCGACGGTCTCCTGCAAATGTCCCCTGTGGTCGATGACGTGTTCACCTATTTCTATGCGGAGATCACAGAGGCAGTCTTGCTGTCTTGTCCAATGACCGGGAATGGGATTGAGGAGGATTTCAAGCTCCTAGTCGCTATATACTCAACAACGAGCTTTACACCCTCGACAATTCTCGACTTTCTTCACCGTACGCCAGGAGATCCGTTTCCTCCTGCATTGAAGGCGTTCCAATCATTCCGATCACTAGGCTCAGATGCAGCACTCAGGCAAACCGTGTCAACAGCGGCTAAGATCCACCGTCTAGCTTGTGCCTGTCTTGACACATTTATCCACCACATCAAGACAACGACGCCATCCCGCGCAACTGTGTCTGACGGAAAACTTTACAGTTGGCTATGGGAGCAAGCGCCGGACCCTCCAGCTGAGCCATTCCAATCCAAAGGCACCCATCACCCACGCTGGGTGGAGCAATACAGGGTACATCGTGTCTTGTGGGCAATCCAAATCTACAGTGAACTTTGTGCCGCAGCAGAGACGCGCTGGTCCTGGTCGCAAGATGATATAGATCGACTATTCGACGAGGATGTAACAACAGCCCTTTCAGTTCCTCTGCGCGAGGACGAAGTTCCGGCAATTACCGAGTGCTTGAACGATTTATCTCCGACCCCCTTATCACCAGTCCACGCCAAATTTCCGGCACTGTCTCGACTACCCTCTCCGGAAAATCTGGCTGTAAAGTCATGCTGGGCTTTGCCTCGTGTCCCCCAGGACCGAAGAATAATTTCTCCAGAAACGCACACCTGGGGAAACACGATAGGGCGTGGGCGAAACCATGGTGTCGGAATGATGTTTTATGGTCGATTTGGCGGTTCCTATAATAATCCGAGAAGTCCTCTTTGGCGATGCGATACCCGGGCTTTTAGGCGCCTCGGTATTATTTTTTGGGATGAGTGGCGATTGTATCAAATGGAGCTGTTCCAACAGTTACGTAGAGTCCTCACTCCTGAAGGAGAATATGTTGGGGGGACGGATGAGAGATCTAATGTGGCCATCGCCTATGTATGGTTCAGTCTGGCGAAGAATGGATATCTGAGGGAGCATCCTATCAATCCATTCGCCAAAAACCCACTTAATTCATGGCTTTGTTGATTGCAAAGCGAGTAGCTAGCATTGACAAAGCTATTGCGATATAAGCGTATCAAGTCTTTTGCGCCGTCAGTCTGCTCCTTGCTCTTTGTAAGTCCACACAATTGCATCCAGGATATCCGATATGCAATGGTCAAAAGAGGACAGTCTACGGAACTATGCAATCTATCACGCCTATTACTTCCTTGCCGGCGCATTGCTTCAATTATGTACCATATAGACATTGACCAAGTGGCCCGCCGCCAACGCAGCACGGCGACAGCAGCAGTCCGGGTGATACTACCAGCAATAGCACTACTGACGAGGTGCTGGCCGCACCGTGTCCGCGGAATTGTGCCTCACCCATAGATGTGTCCCGTTTTCACGCCTGGGGTGCTCCATAGCCCAGACGTTCGACGACGAGTCTGAAGTCTCCATCTCGGGCCTCTGAGACATATTCGGGCCGGGCCTGCAAAAAATCAGTCTGGCGGACGTATGGTACTTGACAGGAGGCAGAGACGTTGGCGTTGTCTTTAGGGGCAACACGGTGACACCCTCAATGAAAGGCAGGGCACGATTGGTTCATTTGACGGGGGGGGGGGAACACAAGGCCTCTGCCACATGTCAACACTGGCCGCTACAGGCTTCCTTCCAACACATTTGATACACGTTGTCGCGGCCACCGGGACGTTTACCGATAGGGTGTAGAGGATGCCTGCAAGCATGGCCTGCCACGGTACCCAACGCCTTCGTCACTTCGAACCAGAAAGCGCCATAATCCTCCCTATCTGTCGGTTGAGCGAATTGCATTAGAGTCACAGCCGCCCTTATCTCGGGATTCCTCACCGTTGAAGGCTTACAGATGGTGGATCTGTGAGTTCGGAGGACAAGACTGCTAACTGTTTCCTTCGCTTAGACAGGAATAGTTTCTAATTTTTTATGCTTCAAACTTTGGTCACTGGAAAGGTTCGAATATGATACCATATGCTCTGAACAGAGGCATTGCAGGTTGTGGAAGTGGGGTTGTTATGTGAAATGCAAGGTGTTTTGTGATATATCAAGACTGGTCATCCGAAAGCACACTCACACAAGCAAATCAGGATGTGGGGTTGGACCATGAATAATGTATAAGAACAAGCATGCAGGAGGCCATTTCAAGGTTGCCCAGCCATTGCCAGAGTCGACACTAGGATTATCGATCCTTTGAGCTTTCGTATTTCTCATTGCCACCTCACCGTATGCCATCACCCTGCAGATGCCACGTCAACACACTGCCAGTACTAAATATCGACATATCCCTCGGTCATAGCAATTAAATTACCAACCGCGCAATATTAATCCCGCCATGGAAGTCGACGCTGCAACCCTTTTCAACGCACTTGGAGAGCGTTATGAAGACGCCTATGCCGACAGTCCCGGGCTGCTCCAAGTCACCGAATATGTGGTGAGCAAGCTTCCACACAGCAGCCATGTCCTCGACGTGGGTTGCGGAACCGGCAAACCGGTCGCTGCAGCGCTCGCAGCCGCCGGTCATACCGTCTACGGCATTGATGTTGCCGAGAATATGGTGAGAATTGCAGCCAGCCAAGTTCCAGGGACATTCTCGACGGCGGATATGCGAACCTACACTCCTCCGGTCAAAATGGACGCCGTGTTTGCAGTCTACTCGCTCTTTCAGATCCAACCAAGCGATATTAATAAAGTGGTGTATCGGTTCGCTGAGTGGTTGAAGGAGGATGGGATCTTGGTGCTTGGTGTGACGCCTTCCTCGGCCATTGTGGGAGGAAAGGGCGTACATGACCCCGTCTGGGATTGCATGAGGTTGAAAAGGACGTGGATGGAGAGGCCGGTGTCTGAGCTGTACTTTTCCCAGACAGCTTGGTTGAATTTACTGCGCGAAGCTGGTTTCGCAATTGAGGTTGAGAAGATGTTCGACTACATACCTAAGGACCCCAAGCATAAGCGGACCGAAACTCATTATTTGATCGTTGGGAGGAAATTGAAGCCACACCCGTTGCTGGGACCGTATCCTTTGCCTGAAGGCCTTCCCGGAAAGTCAATGCGTAACGAGCCAGCTTGGAGACGGCTGCAGGGCCACCTATTCTTGAAAGATGACGAGAAGATGTCCTCTGTGCTGGAGGGCCATCAAACGATACTGGATATTGGGGGTGGGCTGGAAGGTGAGCCATGGACGCATTCTTCCTCCATGTATGCCACATTCTGACCCTCGCAGACATCCTTGACACGGCATCAACAAGAAACAAGTCGGTGGAGACTTTGGCTACCCTTTTCAACAATCTCCCATACGCAGATGCCCAGTTTGATTGCGTCGTTGCAACCATGATTCTCGACTATATTGACGATCTCCGCGGTTTCTTGCTAGAAGTCGTCCGCGTGGTTGACAAGTCCTCCTCGAATGCGCGGGTCATTCTGATCCAGGGTGCACCATATAATGAAGTCCAGAGATTAGTGAACACCGTTTGTACTCCATTGAGCGGCAAGAACATGGGACCAGCCCATCAGGGCATGCTGCTCTACTCTGCCATGAAGATACTGGCCGATATCGGATTCGGAAGGACTTCCTTCCATCCTCTCAGTACTTCGTATTCCTTCGACGAGAATAGTCCATCCGATCGGAGCAACGAACTCGCCGAGATGTTGTGCGATGTTTGGTTTCCTGGCGAGGAAAAGCATGAGCAGATGAAGCAGCAGCTGATTTCCCCGATAGAGAATCTCCTGCGTGACCATCCCGGCTTCCTCCAGAACGAATTAGTGATTCTGGAAGCTGTGTTGGATGATCATTGAGTCTATATGCCCTACCCGTATCATCGCCTTTCTGAGGTTACTAATTTGAAGCGATAATTGAACTGCGGGTTAGAACCATGAAGGTTGCAATTTGTCTTCAAATTCTTGTAAAATCTTCGGCATTGATGTAAGTCATTCTCATAATCGAGACAATAGAACACATCTGACATAGGTCACAATCAATCAGCTCTTCAAAGGGTATCACAACACAAATGAGCCATGTCTCTTAAGCAATTGATCAAGCTCCATATCCATAATATTCTTCACAGAGGGGCAACTGAGCCAGACATTCACAAAGATAACAGACAGGACCAAGGGTATCAAATCGAGTTAAGAAGCAACAAACATCTTCAAATCATCAACACAAAATCTATACAATAACTCCATAATCAACACATGTTTCAACTCGTCGGAGCCTTCGTCTAACGATAACTGCAGCTCCTCATGTTCTCTCATCACAACACAGATCTCATCTTAGCCCAAGGCCGCATGTTGACCAGATATCCACGAAGCGTGCTCGAGGGCACTACTTCGACTTTCGGACGGCTCGTCTCGGCGAAGCACTCGAAAATCTCATTTTCCTCAAACAAGTAAGCAAAGAGGAACGGGGTGTGCCCATGCGCATTCTCAGCGCGTGGGTTTGCTCCAGCCTGCACAAGCAGGCGAGCCAAAGCCACTGAGCGCAGCACCACAGCAAAATGGAGGGGAGTCAGTCCATCGTTGTCTTTGATGTTCACATCTGCACCTCTCTCTATGAGGAGGCGGACCATCTCCTCTTGTCCTGCTTGTACAGCAACATGGAGGGGAGTGCGTCCTTTTGCATCTACAGCGTTGATATCATCGCCGTGTTCGATGAATGTCAGAGCAAAGTTGGGATATCCGAACTCTGCTGCGTCGTGGAGAGCAGTTCGCTCTTGGCCAATCTGCTTCTCAGGGTCCTCGGGCTTTGAGGACTCCTGAGCGCTGGTGCTGCGGTCGAGCTTCTGCTTCATAAACTTCTCAAGCTCTTGTGGGTTGGTTTGGTAGGAGAGTCTTTCCTTGAATCTGGACTGCATGGTGATTGTTTGAGAAGGTCTTTGCGATGGATATTGCGTTGGGTTATCACCTGGTTGATGGGGCGTATGATGGCGAACGAGCAGTTGAGAATATTGAGAAGAGAAAAGAGAGAAGAGAACGACGGGGGACGTTCTCAGTCCTCTCTTCCTGGGGATGTGCGACTCACAGTGACGTATAATGGTGACAGATTGATGACACCGTCATGTGATATCATTTACCCTATATCAGATACTCGGGGCCTCAGGCAACTACATGAGCGCTATTTCATATAAGCATGGACAGCGTGCAGTACTCTGCCTGACTAGGGTGTGGCCTGGCTAAACCGATCAGTTACTTCTCGTGGTGGCCCGGTTTTCAACTAAAAGTTGACAGTGGTGCGGGAGACAAGCAAACACTTCGGAGGGTGATAGGCTCATGTACATCTTCCGGGGAGAGGGCCTCAGCTGTCAGCCTCTCTGATGTCGTAGTAGGGGGCTTGTCAAGCAGAATATGCACTATCATTCCTACTATGCTGGAAATGGTCGCCTGGACTTTTTGTCCTAGTGATCTGATGGCTGTGAGGCTTGAACCACATTAATCTATTATGCTCTGGCTAAGCATTGGTTATTGGGCTATCATCTACCTACTTAGTAGTGACTCTCGCGTCTGTGGTTGACGAGCGAGTATCCCAAGTTTACAACTTTTAAAACTAGTAGTATATCTGGCTTGGTTTTGGGCTGAACAGGCTAGAAGTACGATGATTTATGAACGTCCTAGGTTTCTGTCACCTCGAAGGGCATCAAGGAATATGGCAAGGCCGTAAGCTATATAGTTAGCGGCCGCTAGTGTCTTTGCATGCCAGGGGACCCTGGCTGATCCTTGATAGTCAGGGGCTCCTGGGGTACTGGAATCTGCTATCCAACATGGTGGAGCCGGTGAAATGTCCAAATAAAAGCATATCTGATACTCACAATGTCATAATAACGTTTCAGACAGGAAATGACCATAATATATGCATTAGATATGAAGCTTACAACTATAAACTTGACCTTCGGCAAGCACGGGGCCGTCCTTTCTTCAACGTGTCCTTTTCGCCGATCCAGCTGAACAAGACACGTGTAGGTTGTTTTGGTCAGCAATACGGCCGTTGAGACGTCTACGCATTTCTACATCTGGCAATTACTATTACAAATCATCTTATTTTAGGCTGCAGTGGAAATTCTATTGCTTTGTAATTCAGATGGATTGAGAACATTCGACTCGTATCGAGGCGGGGCTTTGGAGTTAATCAGTTTGGTGAGCATCCAGGATAAGTATAAATGAGCAGGAAGTCCATCATTTAGATAGCGAAAGAACAACAGCAACCAAGATCATAAAAACAACAATTACCACTTCTTCCATTAAAGACTCAATCAAAATGACCTCCACTCTCTACACCTACACCGTCCCCACCTACCTCAAGGGCCTGGAAACCCTTACTCTCATCCTCAAAAAGGCCGAAGAATACGCCAAAGAAAACAACATCCCCCTCTCCGAGTTCGCCGAGGCCCGTCTCTACCCAGACATGCTCCCTTTGAGCTTCCAAGTGCAAACCGTCAGCAACACATCCAAGAACTCCGTCGCCCGACTCGCCGGCACCGAAAACGTGTCTATGGAAGACAACGAGAAAACTTTTGAGGAATTCTACGATCGCATCAACCGGACCGTCGAGGTGATCAAGGCCGTTGATCCCAAGCTCTTCGAGGGCAAAGAGCACACGGAGTTCCATGTGAAGTTGGGCTCGTATGAGTCGACCTTTACCGGCGAGTCGTACGTGAATCGGTTCGGGCTGCCGAATTTCTTCTTTCATTTGAACATTGCGTATGCGATCTTGAGAAGTAAGGGGGTGCCTCTTGGGAAGCTTGATTATCTCAAGTATTTTAATGCTTGATCTCCTGGTGTTTGCAAGTGAGCGAGTGGAATAGGCAAGACGAATCATGAGTCGTTATACATTATGCTACAAATACAGATTATGAGACAAATATGGTATGGTACATTGCTTGAACAGAATAAAATGACCACTATATCCTCCCATCGTAGATGACCGGCTTTGGTCAAACATGGCCTATCATCGTTAGTGGCACTGACATGGACGACAGGTCAGAGTCAGACTTACGTCCAAGAGGCTTAGCTCTCTTGGAGATGGACTTGGCCTGATGCTGCTTATGCTTGGCCAGTCGCGCCCTACCAAGCCAATCAGTGCTCGCGTACGGAATACACAAGCCAGCAGAACTTACTCTTCAGCCGCCTCGTGCTCCAGTCGTTTCACATGGTCCCTGGCTTCGCGCACCGCCATCCGGGATTCCCTCAGAGCGTGATCGGCCGCTTTCTCTGCCGACTCGGCGCGGAGGACCTGCTCCTTGGCTGCTGCGATGGACGGGTCTTCATGGTGTCGGCCGAGCAAACTGCGACGTTGGGTGTGTCCGCTCGAGTAGCTACCCGAGGAACGGCGAGAGGAGTGGCTGGAATGTGAGTTACGACCACCGAATAACCCGTGGCTGCGTTGGTTGGGCTCCTCGATGCTACGAGCCGAGGAGGAGCTGGATACTGAGTTGCGGTGGAAGAGAGGCATATTGTTCTTACTGGATGAGATAGGGGGCTTGATCGGATATGATTGTTTTTGATGACTTGGTGATAGGCAAGAATGAGAACTTCATTTCGCGATGACAGATTCTGCGATAACTATATAGACAATCTGCATGGGATGTGACGTCAAACGATGATCGCATAACAGCCACCATCATCATCCAGGTATGTATGGTGGTGTGCCGCCCTGGTCACTATGAGCGCGGCGCACTATATATGCGCTTCGTTGATTTGACGGCGGTCATCTTCTCAACAAGTCTTCCTTGTTGGTCCTTTCATCGCTCGATCGTAGTTTTTTGCTTTTCTGCCTGACATCATTCTTGGCCTTGTCCTCTTTCTAAACAACGGCCAGGTTTTATACACAAGAAGTGCACACTTCGTGACACCAATCAATGACGAAGTCGACGCAAGGAGACTGTATGTGTTTAATAGCCTGATAAAAGCAGCAGAGGCGATTATCAGTTATTGTCGATGATGATGAACCGTGGAGGTGGCGAGTGTCACAGTGATCGACAAAGATGCCGTCACTGACAATGCAGCGATCAATTGATTGGATGCAGCAACGGGCCACCTTGACCTATCAGTATCAGTAAGTCAATTGGTTAGTGTGCCCCTCGGCAGTTGAGGGAGGCTGAGCATGACAGAGCGCTAATTGAGGCTGAGACGTCAAAGTGACAGTCGTGTCAGTTGTGTTATATTGAATTATATGACCGCTTGCCCGATTTGGAAGTGATGTGATTTCGCCGAGCCGTCAAAGCCGTTTCCCTGAGCCGTTTCTTTGCTCAATAATTGGCGAATATTCACTCTAATTACAGCGTCAAATTAAAGGCATAAATAGGAGCTAGATAGTCATTTGTTTAGAAGAATCAGACCTTCATTGATTTTCGATTGGCCATAGAAATTGCTAGTGCCACATAAATCGTTACAGTATTATTGTTTTCAACATGTTAGTTGTGTCAGTTCAGTTGTTTTGATTTTTGATACATGTCGGTGAGTCACATGACGGACGCCTTGCCAGGTGGAGTACCTTGTCCCAGACTGTCACTTGTCAGCCGCTATTTAGAATCTCTCTAAGCTCTCTCTAGACTCTATCTAAGGCCACTGAAATCTCTGTTCACAATGGTTTCAGCTTTATCATCATCTCCTCGCTCACCATCATGGCGTCCAACTCCGCCCTCTCGCAGACAATTCAATCGCTGACTCTCAGCAAGATCCGCGAGTTGGAGAATCTGCGCAACACTTGTCAGTCGCGTAAATCTGTGATCCTCAGGTCAATTGCAGCCTGTGACGATTGGTTTGACAGATTGACATATCTCCTGGCTGGCACCAAGGAGCTGCATCCCGGCGCCTCTAAGGATGTCACCGTCGGTCATATCGAACGATGGCTTGATAAAGCTAGATACGACTCGTCAATTCCATCGAAGATGATAGAGGGTTTGAAAAGACATTGATCTCAAAATTGGACGCCCACAGTCGCAAATTGAGTCTTGCCGATCTCTATGCGCGCGTACTAACCGAGTGGATGAATCCTTCAAACGGTACAAGCAACCCCCAAAGCCAAGGATGATTCTGACGACGAAGATTTTCTGGTTGTGGAAGAACGCCAAAAGCAACGTCTTCAGCAATTATGCGACCAGTCCGAAGCGGTCGTCTTTGAGCCACGTGAGACTAACGAACAGGAGATCCATGCCTTTCTTGAAGATCTCTTCCTTGAGGATGAGGGGAAGCGTGCGCTGAGCAAACTACGTAGCTCTGTTAAGGACAGATGCAAAACAATTTGGACAGCTGAGGAACCATTCAACCGGATTTCATTGTCCAATTTCATTAATGGCCTGCTGACTCAGGAGCTGCTGAGTGACGGGAAGCGAGCCATGCTCAAAGACTTCCTGGACAACGAGGTCGCTATGACCGAGATTGCAGATGTCCTGAATATGCGATACGCAGACTTGAAGAACTGGGACCACGAAGTTGATGGAGGTGAAACTGATATCAAACTTACGGAAGAGGTCTCTAATGCTCTGGAAAAGGTGGAGTCTCGGATCGATTATCCCGTGGAGGATAACGAACTTAAATGGATTCTGCAACTGTATGCTCAAGAGCCGCTGAGACTGCTTGGGGGTTTGAGTCTGGTGGACAAGCGGTTCTTGCCTGTTGGAGCGTTGGCGATGGTCAAGGGGAAGAGGGTCACCTGGCAGATGGTGTTGTAAAATATTGACTCTACTCGTGGTGGGCTATCCGCACTCTGCATCTACTGGCATCTGTAAAATGTTTCCTTTAGCATGAATATTATACGACAGTGATAGCCATCATTCATTCTATATACTTGGCCATACTCCGAATCCGCTCCAGATGCTGTGCGCACATCCGCTACACCTTCCCCACACCTCCATCCGAATCTACCCCCGGTAAACTGTCCTCACTCTCTCCCTCCGTAGTCCCAGATAACTTCCCAGCCCTACAACGATTAGCCAATTCCTCCCTATCCCAAGAACCACTTACCTCTCCCTCTTCTCCAACCCGACCGTCACAAACGTCGCTAGAATGAGTAGCCCGGACAAAACCGTCACCGTAACGAACCCTTTCCTATACCCCGGCGCCTCAACCTGCCGCCAAACAACCTGCGGCAACCACGCCTGAAACACATACGCCATTTCATTCATGCTACCTACCACCAGTGCACGTTCCTCGTTATCCTCGGAACAGATCTCATGGGCCCATCTGTTATTGTCTTCAGTTTGTGATGCGTCTATCAAAAAGGGGACGACATACGCCATTAGAAGCCCGCTTAGGCCGTGTCCTGCTCCGGCGATGATGTAGCAGGTCCATTTCCACCCGGTGGGTATATTCCAGATAGCCAGGGAGGTGTATGAGATAATGTTGATAATCTGGATCGTTAGATTGAGGGGAGTTGGGGTGGGTGAGCGGGGCTTACAGCGCCGAAGATGACGGGTGGCCAGCGTTTGCCGCCGAGGATGGAGTCGGATGTCCCTATCTTGTCAGAAGGTATCAAAAACGGAGAGGAAACTGCTTACAAGCGTAGATCAGAGTGGTCACTACTTGAACTGCCCCAGTGGTAGTCGGGTAGGCGTTGATCTGGCCGACGGAGTACTTGGGGTCGTTTGAGTGTTTGAGGTATCTGTTTGATCAGCATGTATACAATGAGGGGGATAACTGATATATACAGCACTCACTGTTGAAATACAGGCTGCGACCCTGCAGAACCATTGTTGAAACACCTGGCCGTATCAGCTCTCAGTGTTATCGGACTCAGTGAAGATTAAACGTACAAATACAGCAGAGTCAGCAAATAGATATGCCACGACGAGAATATCTTCTTCAACTTCCTCCTCGTCAGCGGCCCTCTATTCTTCCGTCCTTCAAGCTGCATCCGTTTCTGTGACAGCGCGATTTCCTGCACACATCAGCATGTTCAGCTCCTGCGACAGAAACTCGACCTACCTCCTTGGTCAGGTACCACGGGTTCGAAATCTCCGGCACATCAGGCAGAATGAAGAACCCGCTCAGCGCAACCGGAAGCGATATAACACCGTCGATTATAAACAACCTAGATCGTTAGCTTTAGCTCTGCAAAATGAGTTGCAGTCGTAACATACCACTGCCACCCCTTGAACCCACCCCTTCCACCAAGATGATATACGCCCGCCATCAAGTACCCAGAAAACATACTCGCGATCCCACTACTCGTATGGAAGATACATGACCGCTTTGCCAGCTCGTCCTTGCGGTACCATGAGCCGATGATGTACTGCATGCCGGGGTAGAAAGTGCTTTCTGCGAGGCCTGTGGCTGTTACTACCCACCCCTGCCAACCACGGGAGATCACGTACCGACAAAAAAGCGCAGGACATAGAACTGAGCCGGGGTATTGCAGCGCGCCATTGCGAACGTCAGAACGGTCCATAGCAGCTGCCAACGTTAGCATCTAGCAGTCCAAGTCTAGAAGAAAATTGCTGATACCTCCATCGCCGGAATCCAATACCGCGGCCGGATGCGCGTCAGGAGCAGGTTGCTTGGTATCTCGCCAATTACATAGCCCACCGTCCAGCATGTCTGCATGTAATTGAGCTGGTTGCCATAGAGACTGAGGTCTTCTTTCCTGTACCCGGTCAGCGGATCGATATTAATGTCGGTAAGGCAGACGTACATCCCGGAGACAAACGCATTATTGATGTTGACCTGATCGAGGTACTTGATAAAATACCCTTGCATCACTGTCAGCTTGGCTACAATATTCACGGTTGATGTATTACCAAGGGAGGCAAAAGTTAATATCGCCGTGTCCAGCTTGAACAGCAGCTTGCGCTCTTCGGGGGACTTGTCCAATGTGTCCCAGATGTAACTGAGCCATTTCCGCTTGGGGGTTTTCTGTAGGTTGTCGACAATGGCTCTTTCGTCGATGACGACCGGTGAGGGGGCCATAATGTAAATGCCTGTAGAGCAGTCTGTGTGACTCCTGCTAGGAGGAGATATGGTTCTTCTATCTGCCTTTAAGGAATCAGCGCATTTTAACGGGCTCTGACACTAAACAGGCTCTGGCACTTGTTGAGGATCAACGTTTCCTTAAACCGAGTCGGCTGCCGCTGAGCTTGTTTCTATCTTGATATTACTGGGTCACCATGGTGGGACTTTGTAGCTAGGGGGATTCCTCATTGCCGGTAAGGCTTGCGCCATTTGAGTTGCGATAAGGATAGATACGTCAAGAGTGGCCATGTCAAGGAGAAGTCCCCGCGGCTGCCGCTGACTGACTCGTGGTAATGGCGAGTAACCGGTTCAAAGCTCGCCATAGGATTGTTGGATGATGTGCCAACCACAAATGCAAAGCGCTCCTTAAGTCGAACTAGGTACATGTGGGGTACAGGAAAGGAGGCACAAGGTGGGGGTTTGGTTTATATCGCTCTTGATGTATGTCCTCCGCCAATAGATAGTTTACGGCAGACTTCCGAGAAAGCCCCAGTCTCAGGGAAGCGGCCGGCGTCAATTGTCTAGATACAGTCTAAAATCATACCATCTCGCGACTCAGCTACACGTCTCCAACACCGGGAACTCACCCACCCCACTATCCCTCCTCGCTCCGCTGCCAAAAAGCTCTTTCAGTCGCTCCTTCTGAGCTTCCTTCGCCTCCAACCATGTCTTAGTATGTCCTTCAACGGCTGGTAATCCGTGAGAAGCCCGAGCCTTATTCACCCACTCCAAGATATCCGCTACGTAGTGCTCCTCCACATTCCTGAGTGAGTGGAATCCCCGTCCGCTCCCCTTCGCCTTGATGCGAGCAAGATATTCTGCCCTCATCTCTTCGGTGGGAGGCAGCTGGGCAATCCCAGAGAAGAAGGCTGCCACAGCGACGGCTTGAAACTCAAACAACGTGAATGTTGCTGTGTAGTACGGGACGCCTACGAACACCAATGTCGGGTCGGGAATGTAGAAGATGTCCTTGTGAAGGTTATGCACCTGCGTACCGTCCGTCACAAGAACTGTTTCATTCGCATCCGCGGGAGAGGCCACGTCGTCGTGATAGTCTGGAAGAAAGGGCAGAGTAATGTGGTATCCCGTGCAGATAATTATGCCATCAATACCGCATAGCTTCTGACCTGACTTAAGGTGGACAATCAACGGCAAATGCGCATCGTCCGGTAATGTCTTGTCGCTTTGCAACTCAAATCTGGCAATTTCGCTGATTCTTACTCCGTTTTCAGGAAGTACTGAAGCAGTCAGGTCAAATTCACCGTTGCGGGTGCTTTGGTATACGGCTTTGGCGATTGGGCCTATCTCGCGAGCAATGTCTGTCGAGGATACACCCCCGCCAATAAGGAGGATGTTCTATAAAATCTTAGTATCTTGGGGATTTCCACATAACCGCAACCCGACTGACTCACCTTGTTTTCAAATCCGTCGGGCCTTCTGTATCCCTTTGAGTGAAGGATTCGAGACGGCCAGAGTGCCTTCGCTTCCGGTAAGCCAGGAATGTCGGGAATTCGTGGCGCGTGGTAGTGGCCAGAGGCGACGACGACTGCGTCAAATGTCTACAACAGTCAGTCAAGTCTACACTGCGGTCTGACATGATAGCTCTTACTTCGCTGTGCCCCTCCTCTTGCACGACTCCACTTCGCTCATCTTCACGAAGAGTGGACCAAGTAACCTTCCATCCGCCGTCCTGCTTGCGCAGCTTCTTCACCCTCGCGCCATAGATAGTAACACCGTCAACGCCGGCCTTCCTGGATGTATCTTGAATGTATTCCTTCATGACAACGTGACTCACAAAGTCAGGTGTGTCACTTGGCCAGGCATTAAGCTTTGTGCGCATCAAGGGTGTCGGGACATTGTTCCTGAGCCCTTCGTAGCATGGACTACTCATGTTAGCCAATATTCTCTGATAATATGAGTTAAGCCTACCCAGGAGGTGCATGTTCCAGGACATGCTTATCCCTAACATCTAATGCTTCCGCATATTGTTCAGCGCGGGATGGTTGAACGGACGGATAGACGGGTTCAAGGGGCTTGCGCTCGTCGTACAACCTGTAGTCTCCTATCAGAAAGGCAGGAACAGGAAGTTTACAACAAGGCGTACCAGACTCCCCCTGCAGCATGATTCCTCTCAAACACCGTAACCTCAATTCCAGCAACGAGCAGATGCCCGGCTGAGACAACACCGCTGATTCCTGCGCCAATCACGGCCACGTGATGGATTTGACGAGTCATTGTAGCGATCGTGCTTCGATATTGCTCCGACGGCCAGGTCTCGACAGGAATTCCTTATGAGTGCCCTCGAAGCCATGGCAGGTTATTCTTTCCCAAATTGCACCATTGGGGATACGAATAACGATCGTGCGTAAGACTCCACAGAAACGCGCAATTCCTACTCCGGAAAGCATATTCCATGCAAGTCAAGCCTATTCGATCCATGGCTGATAGTCGTGTTGCTTTGAAATCCACTCATCTCAACGCAATCATATCCCTGAATGAGGATATTCAGATTTTGTCCGCATGACGGTCAAGACTCATGCAATCTGAGGGGCTCGGGGAAGATAAAGCAGGATGATAAGACAAGTGAGGGGAAGACAGGGCCAGGAGCGTGTCAAATATCGCAGTTGACCCCATATGATACATGGTGCAGAAGGCGTAATGGGTGATGGCGATGATGTGATCGCATACACAGAATTTCCCAAACATGTACTTGCTAACCAACTCAAGCGGGGATGATTCCGTGCCGTATAATTAAACTAGAATCGGCACTGTCTTGCACCAAAAACTGTCCATTCTCAAGGTTGTTACGCTCATCAAAGACTAGCACCATGGCTCCTGCTGCCATTGATCCCCGCATTGTCGACGTCGCAGAGCCTAGAAAAGAGACTCTTCCTCTCCCTCCCAACGCTCGGGAAAGACTCGAAAAGGCCGGCATCGATCTCTCAGCCGGGTATCCATACCGGCCTGCACGTCCTCTCTACGTGGATGATGTCTACAACATCCGGAACTATGATCGCCCTCACATCGACCCGGGATCCCGCGCCGATCCCGAGAAGAAGGCTTTGCTGTCAGCAGCGAAGGAGGTCATCCACCTCACCAAGCACATCGGGACCGAGATCGTGGGGTTGCAACTCAAGGATCTTAACGACAAGCAAAAAGACGAGTTGGGGCTCTTGATTGCGGAAAGGAGCGTTGTCTTCTTCCGAGACCAAGACATCTCCCCACAGCAGCAGAAGGAGCTAGGTGAATGGTTTGGTGAGGTCGAGATCCATGTACGTCGTTGCATCATCTCTGCCAAGTTGCTAGGACACTGGACTAATCCTTGCTCAGCCGCAAGTACCACAGGTTCCTGGAGTCCCCGGTGTTACTGTATTGTGGCCGGCCCTGCAGGCAGCAGAAACCCCGGCTGCGTTCCGCCGGCCTGGAGGCGCTTCCCGCTGGCATACAGATCTTGTACATGAGCGACAGCCAGCGGGTGTCACCCATCTTCACAATGATACGGTGCCCAGCACTGGAGGGGACACACTATGGGCAAGCGGTTACGCTGCTTACGAGAAGTTATCACCATCGTTCCGTCAATTTATCGACGGCAAGACAGCCATTTATCGCTCGGCCCATGCTTATTTGGACCGCAAGCATCCGGAAAAGGGGCCCATATATGTTGAGCGAGAGCATCCTCTTGTCCGAGTTCACCCTGCAACAGGGTGGAAGACTCTTTGGGTGAACCGAGCCATGACAGATCGTATTGTAGGCCTCGACAAAGCAGAGAGTGATGTCATCCTTGGATATCTGTGCGATGTCTATGAGAAGAACATTGACATTCAAGTTCGCTTCAAGTGGACACCAAGGACAAGCGCTTTGTGGGATAACAGGTAAGTTACGAATATGCTTCCTGCCATGTACTGCGTTCGATAACTGATTGTACAAGGATCACCATCCACAACGCCAGCTGGGATTACGAGGGAATCGAGCCGCGGCATGGCACAAGGGTGACCGCCCTGGCAGAGAAGCCTTTCTTTGATCCAAAGGCACCAACAAGACGAGAGAAGTTGGGTCTTCTGGGACCGGACGAGATCGAAGAATTGGCCAATCAGTTGGCCAGACAGTAGCGCAGCAAAACTTACTTCAATGCTTATACGAATTTCTGACGCCTCTTGCGGTTGCGACGCCTCGAAACATTTGAGGCTGAACCCACTGTAGCTGATGTAAATCACCTTGCGCGTGAATTTATTGAGTCCTACTGAGCGTTCTGTCTGTGTTGATTTTGCGTAGCCGTAGCAAATGCTAGTTGCGTGTACTGGGTGGTCAGAACCGTCTGTCGTTGGACACAGTCAGCACAGGCGGTTTCATGACTTATTCCCGCCGGAGGACATAGGCCCAATGAAAGACTTCAGGAGTGTGTGCAAAAGTGGACGTCTGGCCTTGTGGTGCTTTTATAGAGGTGCGTGACACGACGGTCCAATACTTCCCAGCGTATCCAAGGTTGTCAAAGCGAATGGTTGAATATGACAGCGCAACCCAGGTGCTGCCCTTCTGCGTCAGCGGGACAAGGTGCAATGCCAACAGCTCCACTGGAGACAGCATGAGTTCTCCAGTTTCTTCCAACGCCTCGCTTATGATCGGACAAATCGATGATGTATCGAATTCAGTTGAGAGGGTGACGGATGGCGACGTAGCAATGGCATCGCTCGTGCTTTTATCGACGACCACATCAAACGGCGCATAGCGTGCCAACTTGGCAACGTCGCTCCACGATCTCAGGTCAATCTGAAGCCAATGCATTGCCTGGTTTGCGTCCTTGCCACTCTCGAGCTCCCGGCCGATGCGGACGGCTTCTGCTGAGAAATCCACATTCTATTCAGAGACGATGGACTATTAGAATAAGCTCCAAAAGTCTGTAGACAAGAGGACGCACCACAATGCAGCTTCCCGGCCAATTCTGCTTACGAAAGGCCTCAGATAGTTTGACCCCCAGTCTGGAGATTCCTGGACCGAGGTGCAAAGCACGCGGGATAACATCGGATTGAGGACGATGGTCCAATTCGGACAGGGTAGTCTCGATCAGGATTTCACCCGAATTCAGCCATTCCCCGACATCTTTTCCAGTCGCAAATTTGACGTCCCAGTATGTGGGATCGTCATAGTCGGGAGCGCCTTTAACTTTCGGGTGCTCTCTTCGTGTCGACAGCGTCGTCATTCTCTGACGGGAACAAGAAACACAGTCGCGTGTGCGTTGCTGAAAAAGATGTTGCCAAGAGGAACCGGTCACGTGACTATCAGTGTCCCCAGGCTCCCAAAGCCGAAACTTTCAGTTCATAATGCTGCTCCAGAAAAAGCCAATGACTTCAAGAGGACTTGGATCTATGTGGATTCATTTTAATCCATATTTGAACGTTTTCCTAAAACCTTGCTCTCTTTCCACATCTGAATTGAAAAAATGCTGTAGAAGTACTGAGCTTTCTCCGAGGGAGATATATTTCTGAGCACCAATAGGTTCATGATTACAGGCCGTCCTATCCAACGTTGGCCAGGTCGCTATGGACGATCAAACTAGGCTGGGTGAACTGTCCGATATTTTACTGCTTCGTCTAGCTGGTGACTTATTCAAAGCAACCTTGAACCTTTATGTTATGATTACCGATGGATCGCGCAGATCAAAGCATTCGCCATGACTTCATAACGAGCTAGAACGCTTCTCCAAAGAGATGGCCCTCTCTGTTTGAGAGGCTATCTCGATAGATGTCTCTCCATATCTTCTGACTTTGCTCTCTACTCTCTATGAGCTTGAGAGAGTCGTCAAGGACAATTTACTCCGAGACGGGCGACTAGTCAGACGTGTTCTGAGACCTGCAGCTGCTCCTGGAGAAGACAGGTACCGTTCCCGTCGCGCCTAAAGCTACAGTAGGCTTGAGTCTGTTGGACGATGATCTACGAGTTCTTGATAGATTACCCAGTCGGCAGGAGATTGATAGGGTGCTTGCGAAGGTATATCCATTCCATCGTTATGATATTACGGACCTTATTATTGTACTAGGCCATGCAAGGGTGGGCTCACCCAAACGGTACGACCAAATAATGCCGATACTTTTCACTACTAACAGAGCTTAACCTAGTGGGTATTTTCCTGAAGCTGGTCAGTCCGAAGGGCTGGTAGACCACTGAAATCTGCTTGACTAATCGATGACATCTTGACTGGAATGTAGGCAATAGTGACATTCCACAAGAGTTCATATCGAGCCTGAGCGCCTTTTCTGGGGCACGAAGGTGGAGATGCTCTCACCTATTGATGCTAGATTTATGCAAAACCTCTGGGCAGAGCTGTCGCTGCATCTCCGAACATAAGGTGTTAAGCAATTGTCGAGCCTGGTGCTCTTGCAGCATTCATTCCGAAGACACACAGCATACGTTCATTATTTCCACTAACAAGACCTGCACTGCGTCCATGATTTGGCATATTCTGGGACTGTAAATCGTGCTCTTAACCTCAGGTGACAGTGGTCATATAGCCACTCATTATCAACGGAAGACTGATTATGGCTCTACCCCGTGGCTGTACACCTTCGCTTCTTTTGGCAATGAGATAGAAGATAGGGCCACGCCACTCTCATGTCCTATTATGGTGTAATGATGCGTTGAAGATCACCACTTAATGACTTGACCATAGCTCTTCTCAACACCAGGCTCACTCGATTCCATTGGGAGGCTGTGGTCAGGGCAGTGCTTAAACGGTGGCAATAAGATACCATGCCCTAGTCACCGTTATCCTATTGGCATGTTAGTGTCTCATACGTACATTAGGTTTACGGATGGGCGTCTCTGCATCACACACCCTTCGACCTACCCCAGATTGCCACCAGCGATCAAGAGCGATGCCCAATCATTGCCAGCACAAGCGAGGCGTAGCCGTCGTGAGAGGCCAGGGATATGCTGATAACCATGGTCGATGCCTACGAGCCAACGCCACCAGCCAGAATCGTCGACGTCGATTCTTGTATTACCTGAAAGCCCCTGTCGTGTGACTACCCCGCATCAGGATGGCGAGAAAAGAGTATATATAGGCTGGAGGATGCTCGTACTCCTCTCAAGTACAAGGTATCCCGTGTTTGCTAAACTTGTGACATCCTTCTACCAATACACCAATACATACCTGCAAAGTGATCCCATTTATCCCAACCTATCATCCAAAATGTCAGCTCCAATCATCCAGAATCTGTCCGCCCTGAGCTCCTCCGTCGCGAACTATTCCAGACAGCAACTTGGTACTCTACGAAACAGACTCTTCCAGAAAGGTATGTATTGACCTTTCATTTTCAACCAGAGGTGAGACCGAGGTCTGTGGGCAGACGACTAAAAGGTGAACTTTACAGAGAGATCCAAGACAACAGCAGGCCTCGCGCAGACATCCTTTGCACTGCACAGGCCGGTCTGGGTAGCAGGCGGGGGCGCCATGTACACAACCATGGGCGCCGTCTACCTCACACTGCGTTACATGAGCCGACTTAGATGATCGAGCGTTCCTTCGTGATGATCCGTACTCCTGGAGAGATGGAATTATTGCATTCGACATTACCTATTACGACCTGCAGCTAGACAGTGTCTTGCTTCTACTTACGATCACTTTCCTTTGTTTGGGTAGCATGGTCTGGATGGCCTGATTATTGCGCCACCAGTTGGCAGGGATGGAGTTTCATGTATGTGACTTGTCGTCTTACATTATCTACATAACAAATATTATTCGCCCGCCATGAGGGGTTGAATGACCAGCTGTTGCCTTGGTTGGTCTGACATCGCAAGTTGCATGGTCGTCAACTGGTAAAAGTACAATGCGTTTTAGGATTCCTGAGGGAGGGGAAGAAAGGGGCAGCACTAGTAATTTTGGGCAAGGAGGTGCAACTTACAGCAAGCCACATAATCATCACACCACACGGCCAGTACATACAAGGTACAAGCCGGAGGATTTTGGTTGTCCTGCAATAATCGTAGAGTTATGTAGAATTCTCGACGGTCTCGCTATCTACTAGTGAGCCCCTATCAGCTCTCAGTCTCCAGCGGTCGAGGCGGGCCACCACCCCAGATCCACCATAGCTTCTACCGGATCTCCCGGACTTAGTGAGTAGTGACATGTACCTCTTGAGTCCACTCAATCTCATCATGTGTTAATTCTGTGCCCAAATATGGTGGACCATGGCTATTGGCCGGTTCGATGCAACCCCGCCCGACAGCCAGCCAATAATGCACCTCTGTAGCATTCCCCAGATCCTTGGTCGACTAACCCCGCACTACGCTAACCAGTCAGATCCACTTGCCCCCCCCCCATTCTGTCGATTCTGAAACCTTGCCAGAAACCTTGATGGCTGTGTCTTCCGCATTCGTTACGACCAGTATTTCTGCCTTTATGGTGGGCATTCGAGGATAAGAGGAAGCGATTCCAAGCCTTGCTGGTTGTCCGGTCCACTTTGCCATTGCTCCCCACACAGTACTAAAGTAGTCGCATTCTTTCTTTGACCCACTCAGTTCCACTTGGAGCTGCCACTGAGAGACCTACGACCTAACCGGCGATGAGGGCTATGGATGTGATTACATGATCAACCACGCCTTGAGCAACAAGGGATGGATATGGTTCCCTTTTGAATCCCAGATTCTGCAGTAGCAACGACAATGTTGCTCCTAATCGATATGACCAATGTCCCCAATCCTAAGACTCTGATACACCATGGTCGCAAATAAATGGCTCACCAAAGATATACTATCAATCGAGTTCATTACTATTTGCTCAAATGACCTGTCTATTTCTTCGACGGCTAATAATTGGAGACATGTACACTAATCTTCATATCATTCATGAACAGCAGATCCGTTAGAAACGTTCCCTCAACCGATATGATTCGATCAACCCATCCTCATCTCCAATGCCTGGCTGTGCGTACGCGAGGCAGAGCTCTGAATAACACTTGGATGCCACACTGCCCACAACGCCATTGCAGTGATCATTGGCACCGAGTCAAATATGTACATGGTCCACTCATGACCAAGTAAATACCCGTCCTGACCCGCAGCGTACTCGATTACCCTAAATACCGACCGTATCAATATCAAAGCACTGATGGCATCCAAAACATGCAAGTGAGTCTTCCACGGCACGTCGGCATCAAAGATATGGCCGCTCGGAGCGCGGTTCATTCGCCGCTCGAATTCAAACGACGTGACCATGAACAGTCCGAACATGAGCACTTGAAGCACAAGCCCCGCGATGATGATGTTGTTGCCCATGTCCGCACTCGACCCGTTCGCCATAAGACCCGCTCCTGAGCCCTGGACGAGGAAAGAGAGGATGTCGCTCGCGACAAATATCTTTGTGAGCCAGTTGACGCGAATCACCGAGTGCTTCTCGGCTTGAATGCTGCGGATAAGGCGTCCGAGGACCATGTATACGGAAGCCGCGAAGAGGACTGGCCCAAGCAGAATAAAGACGCTCTGAATGATATAAGGGCCAAGCTGTCCGGTCTTCCCGTGCGAGTCGATTCGACCTATATAGCCGATGATTTCGACTGAGATCGGGGGTCAGTTAGTGTCAATCGGCAGACGCACAGCAAAGGGATACACATCACTTACACAATCCTCCAATGGCAAAAGGGATGCAGAACCGCGCCCGCGTCTTCCATATCTTCCAGGAATGAAAGGCTGTCATGCATACGAACAACAGGAGGAAGATGACAGCTGCTGGAATCGATGGGACATATTTCCAAAGGTAGTAGTCGCCCCTGTATGGCTCTAACTTTGCCATTGCAGGAATACGGTTTCGGCACAGCGGCTCGATAGGACTTGGGATGATGAGTAGAAAGACATGGCGATGGTGGATATGAATCGTTTATAAATTGAACACAGTGGATACAATTGCAGTCAAGTCAACTAGGCATCCTCCATTTCAAGAATAGAATAGAACCCACAATCATACTCTTCTATATAAGTTCTGTTGCTGCAGAGCCGAAGCTATACACGTATAGAGCCGAAGGGTGGGTAAAAAACTGCACATGGTCTGTGCATACGCGGATTTGCGTTCTTCCGATTCGTCGCGCGTCGCCTATTTCGAGCAGTGTCTGCGGTTTCGTATCGGCGTATCCGTCGTTTGACTTTTCGGGCCAGGGACAGCGCACTTTTTCTTCTGAACTGCAGCGGTACTGCGGAATGTGTCTTCCTGACCCCTGAGTGTCGCTTTTGGGCTTCCGCGTATTTGGAGGGCTTTGTCCGCCTTCCTGCGAGCCAGAGCCGAACCGAACACGACAGTCGTCTCTCGAATGAGATTTCGTCATCTTATTGGGTCTTGATAGGCTTGAAGCACAGTACTTGACTTGTCATTCGCAATGCCACGCAGGGCTCATAAGAAGTCCCGGAATGGTTGTCTGGAGTGCAAGCGCCGCCATATCAAAGTATTCCGTCCCGACTCCCCACGTGTCGCGAACCGAGCATGGCTAATCCTCTTACAGTGCAATGAAAACCGTCCCATATGTTCCAATTGCACCGTCTCAGAGCGGGTGTGTGAGTATGGGATCAATGTGTTCAAGGTCACACGGCCTGTAGACTCGCCATATCACTCTGCGGCTTCGGCGTCTCTCTCACCAGCGACCAATCTCCCGTCGGGCCGCTCCAGTCTCAGCCCGAATCCGGGGACTCCCCAAGATGCACCAGTGAACATGCTTCACATGGAGCTTTTTCACCATTTATATACAGAGACGTTGCCGGAGTTGGACCGCAGGAAATATGCCGATCATTTCCACAGTATTATGCCGCACCTCTTAAAAGCACCCTATGTGGTGAATGAGCTGCTCGCCTTCAGCGCCTTACACCTCAGCACCAAGCATCCGGAGCGACAAGGGTACTACCGGACTCATGCCGCCCAGCTCCAGACGCATGCTCTGGCAATCTTCAAGGAAACAGACTTGGAAGTGAATCAAGAAACGTGTGTGCCATTGTTCTTCTTCTCGGCTATTCTTGGGCTTCATACCCTCTGCGATGTGCTCGTATACAGGGACAACGATTTCGACCAGTTTGTGGACAAGTTCGTGCACTGTTTTCGACTCCAACGGGGTGTCAGAGCAATCTGTGGAAAAGCCTGGGCTTTGCTACACCAGTCAGTCCTCAAGCCGCTGATAACGGACGGTCAGTCCCTTTATCAATTCGATGGTCGGCTGGGGGCGGGGTGCGAGAAACTCCTTCACCTTGTTCAAGCGGCAAAACTCGGAGCTACCTTGACAGACATCTACAAACAAGCCATAGAGGACCTACAGACCTCGACGAATGCGTTGATAGCTGCTGGATCTTTTGCCGGAAGAAGTCATGGCAGCACTGGATGGCCTGTACTTGTTCCCCCGGAGTACATTGACCTATTACTGCAGCGGCGGCCAGAGGCGCTTGTGATCCTGGCTCATTATGCCATTTTACTTCATTCGTGCCGGGATTCGTGGATGTTTGGCGATGGGGGCCGATTCCTTATCGAGTCTATTCGTGATTTCCTGGGTCCGGATTGGACTGATTGGTTGGAATGGCCGATCAAAGCTCTGGATAGTCCTATCGAGCCGTTGCTACAGGAATTCAGGTGACGGCAACGGCCTGGCTGTCTACTGGAGCGGAACTATGCCTTCTCACATTCTTGCTCATGCTATCAAATTTATGGTATCTCTCCAGGAGATTACCATATCTCGAAATCGAGAGGATCACGGAACCTCCGAATCCAGATGACCCTTCCACTTGTTGGATCCATGACCGCCGAGAAATGCGTCATGTCGTTGGTTGTGGGATATGCCGCCGTCCACTGGATTATTTCTGCAGGTGTTGCAGCGACCTCATGGTTCTCAGAAGTTTCTGCACTCTCTTTGCCCACAGCGGCAGATGCCGAACCGGCCGGGGGATCTGCCATTCGACTTCTAGAGGAGCGTGTGCGACGCAAAGGATCATGACGTGGTTTCACATTGTGGGCCGACCTTCCAGCTTGAGCGACCTTTTTGTCCCAGTGTGCTTGCATACATGCTCTTCGCTCTTTACTATCTTGGATGAAGTCGGTCATCGAGATGGGCTCTCCACTGGTCAGCGCTGCGCCAAAAGTTATATCGGTGTCCCTGTCCTTCGACGGAAGCTCTGAGCCCAGGAAATCGTTATTCGTCGCAACGATGAACGACGAACTGGAGTCCATCCTTGCAGTCCGATGATCCTTTTCGATCACAGCGGCTTCAGCGCCGTCACATAGAACCAGATACGCCGCTGTAGATGGCGTGCGCATTACGTTCTGACAGATACTGCGCAGCGTCGGTCTCTCAACCCTCCGACGTCTCCTGACCAATACGCCCAGCATGCGACCAAACCAAGTCCCCCGTGGGTCCTCCGCCACAATGATATACTGCCTCAGCATCGACGAAATCGATCTCCTCAAGCCCAGAATAACAAGAAGATGACTCCCATAGAACCGCAAATCACCCAACCACCCACCCAAATCATGGTTCGGTCGAAAATTCAACGACACGCTCAGCCCCTTCCGGACACCGGTCAGCACACCCACAAACCCAATGTAGGTGATATTCGTCGCCAGCACGGCCTCATAGTCCGGCCCGCGGACATACTCAAACTGCACAAGCACGCGCCGCAACGCATCCATCCCCCAATCCAGGGTCCGGAAATGGAGCATGCGGGGCGACGTTTCTTGGTCCTGTGCCCGGGCCGCGCCGCTCGTGCAGCCCATCAGCACATCGAGGAGCACATTCAGCGAGACGATCAGATACATCTCGATCCCGGTTGCCTGGCTGATACCGCGGATCTCCTCCGTTTCCTCGTCGGAATTTACCCGGCGCAAGAATAAGCGCGCGAGGCGTTTGACCCATTGCAGCGAGAGATTGGGTGCGACGCTCTCAACCAGGCTATCGAAGAGAGCGGTGAGAGATCTGAGCTCGTTGCGATACTTCTTGGCAACTTCAACGTATCGCTCTGCTGGGGGGCGGGAGAGGTCGATCCTGTAGGTTGGCGGGACATCGCCCGGCTCTATGGTAGGCATAATGTTTGATGGTTTTGCTGCAGTTACATAGTATAGCTCTCATATACTTTGGTGCTTTTATATGCTTTCCAGTTAGAGTCAGACCGTTTGATTATTTCGAGCTCTGCAAGGGTTGTTGATGCCTGGGAGTGGCTGAGCACCCCGCAAGGGTCACGTGTCCGTCTGGCAAGGAAACAGGAGACAATTCAGAATAACGCAGATCGCAATAAGTCATCTCACGTAAAATAACGGCATTCATTCGGGATCAATGAAAATAGAATACATAAGCCTATGAGGATTCACCAGACACAATCACGTAATCAGCCATGTTCATCACTCAAAGCCAAACTCTCAACCGACAGAAGCAAATCCTCCACCGTCCGTAAGCTATTCTGCGGATCAAAGGCCGGATACCGACTCTGCAACGTATCAAGCAGAGACTTCTTCCACACATTACGCGCAAAATATCGTAGGATACGTGTAACCTCGGGACAAAGATCCGTATCCGCGAACCCCGCCGCATCAAGCGCATGTTGGATCGCGCGCAGCAGGTACCTGCACACGGGAAAGGAAAAGGAAATGTACCAGAGGCCGCTGATGCATGTCTCGAGGGACTGGCGCCAGCGGGGATCGCCGTCCTTGGCGAAGGGCATGGCGTTGAAGGCGCCGTAGGTGAGGGCATGGTTGAGGAAGTTGGAGGCGGATTTCCAGCCAAAGGTTTGTTTGAAAAGGAAGATGATCTCGCGCGTGGCGAGCTTGGCTTTGCTGCAGATTCTGAGGACGGAGGGGCTGGGGTCTCCTCCTGAGGTGAGGATGGGTTTGCAGAGGGCGATTACGCCAAGGTGGAAGTGGAGGCTATGGTTGTGAGCGACAGTGTGAGGAATATGGCAGGGGTTAATATGACTTACTGCATGATGAAGATGTGTGGCGGTGCGTCTTTTGAAGGATGGAGCGCGGGACTTAGTTCGACAAACCAGTTTGCCAGTCTTTCATGGATTAACATAAAGGCCTCGACAGTAGGGGCGACATGATGGGAATCCAAAATGAATTCGGTCACGTCATTGATAACTACGCTCAACTCAAACCTAGCTCTGACCGTTGAGAAGAGACGTGACGGGTAAAGGGGACCACTAAAAGGATAGGGGTGCCAGCGTTGACTATGGTCGAGAAACTCGGCGTCTGAATATGGGATTTCGTAAAAGGGCGGGTGCTCCAGACGGGGAGCATCATCAACTACACTTGCAGCGAGTCTGTAACGAGGTCAGATATGGTCGAAACGAAGTTCAACAGGGGCTGTTATTACGCTTGCCACTCAAAAAGGCCCCAGGCCGTGACTGCATGCGCTCTATTCCAGGCGGGTTCAACCAGCCCTGCGCTGCGGACACCAGACAACGGCTCATACAATCTGAGCTCATTTGCCATGTGGATCGCTGCCGCCAGGCAGGACCAGCCGATCTTGTCCTTACCCAGGCAGTTATAGGTCAGGTTCATGACAAGCAGTGCCTGGATTGAGGTCAAGGTGGGCCGTGATTGTGATATCCAGAGCTGCCGGGCTTCCGACAGGAAGCGGATACACATATCCATCTCCTTAAAACGATCCCACGGTCTTCGGAGACTATAGGAGTATAGCTGCGAAGTCCGTCAGGAAATCAAAGATCGAGGGACAGAAAGGCTCATCTTACACAGGCATGAGCTAATACAGCGTTTACAAGAAGTGGTGAACAGAACCTCGACTGCCCAGCTATCATATCAGCTAAGAACAAATGCTGATCAAACCAGGTGTAGCAGGGATAATCCCAGGTGAAATATAGAGAGAGCAGATGTGACACCAGTCGGTCACTGTCTGTGATGGTCGTCCATGGCTTTGCAGGAGCGAAAAGGATGGGCTCTTCGCACAGGGCCTGCAGCCTCGGTGAGCTAATCAACTTATACTCTGCTGCTAAGTTCGACAAGCCGACGTGGGCGTCAGCGAGTCGACCCAGGGAGACTTGGTGCAGATATTGCGCTGCTAATGTCGGATCCGAGCTACTGCGGATGGCATTGACTACCTTGGAGAGGTCTGCCGGTGCACAGTTGCGAACTCTCTCATATATAGCCCAGATGCTGTTCCAGTCTTCTGTCGAGGCCGTGCCTTGAACATCACACGCGCGTGTCTCGCTAGATTTGGACCTAATCATGGCCATCTTGCGGGCTTTGACATGCACCCTTGACACATCCGGTGGATGCCGACTTGACAACTGGGCCTCTTTCTCCAGCGGTTGCACCTTTTTCTTCAAAGTCGAGTTCTTACTCTCCATTTCAGCGCCTCGGCGCTTGGTACCGACTAGGCGGCGGTGACTGCTCTCCGCGTCAAGCAGGCATTCTATGCCCAGCGACGCACATGCCGTGCACGGACTTTTTCCGCTACACTGATGGCGGAAAGAAAGTCAACACCGCTAGGGGGTTGGGTACATCGTGTCACAACCTACTTTACGTTTCTTGGCACGACACTCCGCGCAAGCAGTCACAGCGATGTGACGGCGACGTTCGATATTCGACACCTTCGCAGCGCGCGGCGTGCCAGCGAAAGCTGGAGCGAGCACCGGCAACCTTGCTTCGTCTCCCATGGCGCCGGTGCTGCACTGAAGGCGGCGTGATATGAGCAGTTGGGTGCCAAGTATGAAGACATCAGATAGGGACAAAGCAACTCCGCGCGTATTGTCTCCATCTGACCCAGTGCGTCTGGTGCGAAGATCTTGATGTGCGTCCAAGTGGCGTGAGGTGGTTGCAAGAACTTTCGATATGAAGCAATTTGGATCGAACTCGAGATGGAGAGATCAAAGTTGTTGCCAAGCGAGCCGAAGGCACGTGCTTTTTTAGCGCACACTACCATTGGCTCGCTTAGTAACGCCAAGGCACCGCTGTTCGCGCGGCTTTTAAAAAGTGAGAAAATCCCTTGTTGTGATTCGCGAGACAACTCAGACTCGGATTTACATTCCGATGGAGACAGGATGTCATTCAACCTGGACTGAAGTCTGGAGAGTTCAGGAACAAATCTAAGGATGACCAGAAGGTGCAGAGCTACTTGAGGTTGGAACAGTGGAAACTGGAAGGAAGCGATGAAGACGACGGAGAGGTAGGGTCACGTCGCTCATTGTATGCCTAAGGCTGTAATATAAACCTGGAGGAGATACGACTTGAAGGGCCCATGGGGATAATGATAGCTCCTTGCGACTTGCGTCAACATCAATATGAGCCTGGAAAAACCCTCAGCTGAAAAGACTACAATCAGTTTCAGCACCCAAAGTACAGGGCAAGGTACGAGCCTATCGCCAAATGACTCATGAAAGAAGACTAGCATATTATTTTTAGATATAATTTGGAAACAAAGTCATGCTCATGCCTGGGAGCTCAGTCGTACATCGTGGCTATACTCGATCATCCACTGACCGTTTGGGCCCTAGACCCGGCCCAATCGCATCGCTTCCCCCGTCAGTGTGCACGATCACTTCTGTCGTGCGCAGTATTCTCGAGGATGACAGACGCTGAAGACGCGGATGAGACGCCAAGTTCTCCTCACTCCCCCCCTCAGACGCTGACAAGGATGTTCGGACAGCGTCGATATGCACATTGTACTTCTGAGCTTCATGCTCTAACCGGCTGCGTCTTATGGAGCCCAATGCATGGCTCGATGACTGTCCGTAGTAAGCGTTGTTCGTTCGCTTTCGTGAGCGGGAGTTGCTGGCTAAACTCCAAGTGCTTCCGATGACAGACTTGACAAGTGGCTTGATTGTGGGGAAACAGGCGGCGACGATGCCAACGTTGAGCTCAACACTGTAGAACATGTCAATTCCGTGCTGGGTGTCGAAGAAAAGAGGTCAACATACCAGTTCCATATGAGGAATTTAGGGTCTCTGGGCCACGGAACCTGAGTTAGCTCTGCAAGGGACTGAAACTGAACTGGATAGTGCACCTACCGCCATGCGTCTTGCTCCTCGAACACTCGGCTTTGGTAAACTGTTTTGGCGATAGCTGCGGCACAGGCACTGGCATTACATGAGCTTCCAACTAGCACTTTGGGACGAAACAACTCACAAGTACCCAAGACTGAGAATTCCCATTAAGGAGGCTCTAGTGCGCTTATTGACCTGGATATTATAGAACATGAAAACCGGCAGAGTTGCGAAAACAAAGTCAGTGGCGATATTGATAGCTATTGGAGGCACTGTCAGTAAACTGTTTTTTTAGAACAGAAAGAGGAACTTACCACTGTTGAATTCGCCAATAGCTAGGTAGGTTTTGCTTGAATAACACGTTGCTGTAGCCTTTTGGGTATAATCCCACGCTGCACTGACAGGTATACATTGGAATATCAGTGTTAGAATGCAGGCGATCGTGAAGAGTATGAGAAAGACTTTGGATAGTCAGCAGTCAGTCAAGTATCTTCAGCATGCCATTCCGAACTTACCCAGCGCCCCGATGATAAACCTTTTGATAAACTTATTCTGCGACGCGAATCGCAGCAAAAAGAAAGCAAGCGATATCTTGACCGAGCTTATCCCCAACACAATGACAATAGCATGGAAAAATGTCCACTTGGACAGGGGGCCCAAATCCTCCAAGCCAATATCGCGGTTGTAATGACCCAGTCCACGGTGTGTCTCTCCAATGAAACATGCAAGGACACCAAAAGCGCATGCCTGTCAGCAACGGATACAATTAGTACCGCCCGTCAAAGACTGTCTGGAGACCACAACCTACCTGGGCTATAAGGATGATCCCATCCTCAATGTCAAATCTTCGCAGAATGAATAATCGCACGTAGTAGCGCAGCACAACCAACAAGGCCGATAAACCCGTCAAAAAGCCCACAATGGCGAGAATTCGAGGCGCATTGGTTGGGCCTCTTGTGTGGAGGGGGAATTCGAATGTAGGCGTCGATTGCCGGGGAACCAAGGCCTCGAACGTCTGGTGAATTGGACTCGTCATCTCGAGTCCGTCCGTTCACGATCGCCCTCCTTTCAGTTCTTGGGTCTTGTCGATCTTTATCGGGAGCCGTTCATGGCAACGGGGGTCGAGATCCACCTATATGCCGCGTCGGGAAGGCAATCGTGTGAAGATCTGTGCAACCGTGCAAGACAGTACGATGCGTCTCGGGACATAAGAGTCTGGGACACTTCTGCCCTCTTATGGAGAAAATGAGATTTCGGTTGCTCTAGTCGATATGCAGGAACAATCGACAAATACATGGCTTCCCCCCGGCACTAAAGCCTCGGCAGCTGCAAAGCGCACAAGAGGTATCATAATTAAAGTTTTGCAGTTCTGTAAGACCAACACAGCATCCCAGCGTTTGAGAACACAAGGGGTTCTTCTGCTAGCTTTCTAGTGGAATACAGATGCTGCCCCGTATTGCCACAGAGACACGGCATGGTCCCGGACAGGGGCAAGGATACACTTCACTAATGGATATTCAGAATAGTCGGCCTACTCTCTCGAGAACGCGGTGCTTCCAATCTCGCTCAGATAGCAGCGGAGTTCGGTCCTTCATCTTCCCTTTCCTTGGAAATTCTACTACTGAGGAAACAAGAAGAGCAGGGGTCGTCGGAATCCCGACTCAGATGAATACACTGCTTCTCGGCATGTTGGCATAATCAGACTAGTGTTATGGCCAATATAGTGCGTACGTGAGATGCAGACTAGACAGGGGACCAAGTGCCAGCCGTGCTCTAGCTTCCCTCGACCAGACAGGAAAATTCTTGCTTGTGACTTACTTGCCACCCCCAGCGGGAGGACAGCTGAGCGAGAAACAAGTGGTACCCCTTGGAGTGCGAAAGTATTTCCTGGATCCCGGCATAACTCGTGCCACTGTATCAAGGAACGCCAATTGTCACCACAAGAGTGAATTGGCAGATGGAAAGGCGCTTTTACCACTTATATGACCGAGAAATGTCGCTTTTTCCGGTGGAGTCAAAGGCAGATCAGGTCGCACGGGACAAGGTGATTAAGAGAGTAATCTCCTCCGCTGCAACCAGCTGGCTCGAACCCATAGTAATAATAGTAACGGCATTGTGTCCGTACTCATTTGCCCCTAGCCGACTAGTTGCAGTAGCCCGGTTTGAGATAGAAGCATAGGCTGAATACAATCAAACCCAGCCAGGCCGATTTTATCCGGGTTATACTAGATAATACCAACGCTAAGCCGGGGACCCGGGAGCCCTCGCTTTTCCTTAACTCAGCTAGAGCAGTCGACAGCGCCGTTGACCGGTTCGGGAAAATGCCAAAGAATCTTTAACAAGAAGTGTCTCCATTCTCCAATACAGAATTGGATGAGCCGATGTCGGTTTCACTTCATTTAAAGTCAATGATTATTATAGGACAGGTTTCACAAACCCTGTCAACAAGATGTGGTCTAAGTACTCGATCTGGAGATAGTAGTACGGGGTATTCTCCACCAGCAGCGGGCGATTCACCTAAGAGGAGAATAGCGTCGGTCAGAGATTGGAAAGTCATGAATGGCGTCGAGATATCCCCACTTAGTGCCAATATAGCGTTCTGTCAATCAGGGTCCGTTGATCCATAGGCGAGGGCTAAATATGTCCTAGTCAAATGGGTATTATGGAAATGTGCCACGCAATGCCACTACAGTAGTCCCGGACGCTAGTGTGCCGTCCCTTGCCTTCACCGGAGAAAGTGAAAAGAATTTCCCTGGTTTACCTGGTAATTACCTTGTGCGGCGCAGGAGTTTAGCTCAATTTGTCTCTCTGCAATAATGACTTGTCCTGCAGATATTGTGCCACTGTGGGATAGTGTCCTATCCTTGAGCTCTCTCTTCCCGTCATTGGCCGGGTCTAGGCTCGAGAACGAGTCAGTGCAATTAAACATTACGATTGTCCGAAACATTTTAGTAAAAGTCCGGAATTGGAAGATGGACCCCCGTAAATTGTGGATTCCCTTGACTCAATTCAATCTGTTGCTGACAGTGGCAGGCTGGCCGTAACCCTAACGGAACAGGGGAGTCCGTTCTCTTCGACCTCAGGAGTCGCAAATTATCTGCCTTGACTGCTGTCACTGCATATGATCTTCCGGCATTGTATGGTCAAAAAATGGTCGGACTTTAGACCCAGTAATATAGACAGGTAATAATCAAGGCAGACTATCAAGCCTTCCATGCATATCTCGCTCCACAGGATATACCAGTTCAGTTTCCCAAGTTCACTGAATTACCATAAGCTAAACATGTGTGCTTGCCAATAGTTCAAGAGCTCTGTCTAGTCTTGGGCCCGTTCAACTAATATTATACTAATTTGCCCTTAGCTTGCATCTAAGCGGACAGTTATTCATATGCTTCGGTGCCGAATAATCCACGTTGTTCAGGCATTGTTTTCTCCCAGCGATATGTTTAAATAGCCTGAAATCAAGCGAAGCTTTTCTTTTTTTTTTCACTCGTTCCTGATCATCCTCTTTTACTTTTTCAAATTGTCCTTGTCGATCAGAGAAGCTTTCGGTATGCGGTTCACAATCCTCTCAACAGTTACTGCTTTGGCTGCAGTTGCGCCCACTGCAGCTTTTAGCATTGACCAGTGGGATGTCCTTGCTGGGAAGGCTCTTATCAATCAGGTCCTCTACCACTTCTCCAACCCGGATGCCAGCAAGTCATGCACCCCTCTTACCGCAACGGTTCGCCGAGAATGGTGAATCAGCCCCGTGTCGCAGCAGTAGGAGAGGACCCACTGACGCTGGATTCGCAGGGGCTCCCTCTCGAAACACGAGCGCAAAGAGTACACTGACGCAGTGCTGTGTCTCGCTTCTAAGCCTTCGAAACTGGATCCGACATTTGCTCCTGGCGCGCGCTCTCGCTACGATGACTTTGTTGCTGTCCATATCAACCAGACATGGTTTATCCACGGCACTGTATGTTTCCGTTGTCTAGAGAAAATGCTTGAGTCTAATGTCGACGTCCAGGGCAACTTTCTGACATGGCACCGTTACTTCACCTGGGCCTACGAACAAGCCCTCCGCAACGAATGCGGTTACACTGGCTACCAGCCATACTGGGCCTGGAACAAATACACCGATGACCCGCGCAACTCTCCCATGTTCGATGGCTCTGACTACAGTATGTCCGGAGACGGATCATACATCCCGCACAATGGTTCCGAGGCTGCTCCCGGTATCGTTCTAACTCCTGGAAACGGAGGTGGCTGTGTCTTCTCAGGCCCGTTCAAGAAGTAAGTCGTGCAGATATCTAGTGACGATTGACTAGCTAACAGGGGTTGCAGCTTCACCGTCAACCTCGGCCCTGTCTTCCCCAGTCTCAAGGTCCCAGGGATCGTCGCTCAGAACGGCTCCGGACTGAACTACAACCCCCGCTGTCTCCGCCGTGATATCTCCGAGGACGCAGCGAGCTGGACAACAACCAAGCACGTGGTTGATCTGATCGATAAGCAGAACAACATCCTTGACTTCCAGAATAGGATGCAGGGTGATTACCCTAATGGCTACCTGGGTATCCACAGCGGCGGCCACTATACCATTGGCGGTGATCCGGGTGGTGTACGTACTCATCATTCTTTTGTCGAGGTACAACACAAGCTAATAGGCGTATGCAATAGGATTTCTTCGTTTCCCCCGGTGACCCTGCTTTCTACCTCCACCATGCCGCCATCGACCGTGTCTTCTGGACGTGGCAGAATCAGGACCCCAAGTCGCGGACGTATGTCGTGGCAGGACAGACTATCCTTCCCACTCTGGTGCCGGACGCGCCCAATGCTACTCTGGATGATATCGTCGATATGAGCAGTGCGCTGGCTCCGCCGCAGACTATCCGGCAGCTGTTGGATACGACTGGTGGGCCATTCTGCTATGTTTATCTGTGATTAATCTTGGGGTGAGAATTAGAGAAGAAAACTTATTGTAATAAGCGAGCTATATACCGTTTATATAATATATCAGATATTGTAATGCAGAAAGATATGCATGTACTGGTGTTGCTGATAGCGGGGACCGCTTGAAGATTTTCCGATCATCTGGAAGAAGAAAGAATGAAACATAAATATCCTGCAGAGTAGCGACTTTGGAAGTCCCTTCACAGTATATTTCTTTGGGCCATAATTAGTAGTGTTGTGTACCTCCTTGGTTCCGCATACCGACAACCACCGCGGTTATATATATATATACACACAGAGGGGGGAACAATGCAGAACAGAGTCGAGTACTGAACTTCACCTCTTAGACAGAAAAGCAATAGCATCGATTGAGTAACGTTCTAATGGAAAACGATTAAAGTACCATAAACTCAACACTTTTTATAAGTGATCGATCCCTGATATCAGGCCAATGACGTGTGGATGCCCCGCCCTTCAGGCTCCGTGATTGTCTGGGTCAAGGCTCGCCCCAGATCTTATCTGAACGTTGACGGTTACACAGACATATCCCTGCTTCACACAACCACATCCCAGTATGTCCCAGATAGATATTCCAGGCAATTTCAAAGATGAAGTAAGAGACGAAGATAAACATGACGATACCCCACCTTCCGATCCAGGCCCAGCAGGCCCAGTCCTGAGGCTCGATGCTGGCAGAAATCGCACCAAACCAGCGCCTAAAGCTACCACAGAAACTTTAACACAAGGGCTTTCAGATGAAGACCTGTGGATGCTCATCCGGCGATTTAACAAAGTAAGTGATTACTGACAGTCTGTTCGGTCGCGATGTGTTGACCCCGAAAGCAAATATACCATGTCAAGGCAGCAGCCAATACCGCCTCGGAGGATCTCGATCTGAACAGGGCGCAGGATGAGCAGTTTCCACCAGAGAAGCTTCGGATCACGATCGAGCGTTTCTATACGTCGGTCGTGATTGGGGTGGTGGGCTTCTGCAGACATATCGCCCGGCTACGGTCGTGGAAAGAGCCACGGCGGACGGCGATTTTCTGTGCAGTAAGCTATGATACAGAGTTCCTCATTGATGAAATCGAATCTAATGCGTGCAGGGTTACTTTATTGCCTGGTTATTTGATGTGGTTATTTTTACACTGTCGGGGCTGTTGATTGCCTTGATTCTGTGTCCGCCACTCCGTCGGGCGCTTTTCCCTGGCGCATCTCCAGCGTCCACTGACTTGGAGAATTTGGCACCTGGAGATCCTCGGAAGCAGGTTAGTGTTACTGGGACCTCGGAAAGGCACAAAGGGGAGGCTGCCGAGCGGGAGGCTCACAACCTAGTCAACAATGTTGCGACCATTGCCATGAAGAGTGCTACTGGTAAATACGGACAGGCTGTGTCTGAAGATGCTGAAAAGGTTGCCGAGCCGGAGAGTCTGGAAGATGTTGTTGATGCGGCAGAAGGACTGGATGAGAGCGTTACAGCGGAGACGCAGAAGCCGATGAAGAGAAAGGTAGCCAAGGCTACCGACGAGATACTGCGGATGATAAATGACCTTACGGATACTTATGAGAAGTTCTGCAAGTATGTTTTCTTGATGGATAGTATAGAACAGTACTGACAGAAGTGAGCAGTCTCCTTTCACCGACACCTCCATTTATCACATACACCCCTCGTCTACGTCTCGTGGGAATCATGGCCACCGTATGCCTGCTATCGCTCGCTGTGTCGAGCAGTTTCATCATCAAGGCTACTGCCTTTACACTTGGTCTGGGCTTCTTCGGAGATCCAATCATCAATTACAGCACAGATTACCTCAATCGCAAGATTCCCAACTGGAGGGAACACCTCGACCTGCAAAAGTATAATCAATGTTCCTAGAGACGACCCCGTACTAACAAAGCATAGGACGCTCCTCAAAGGCATCCCGACCAATGCACAATTGACACTAACTCTGCTACGCATTGGCGAGATCAACTCCTCTCCTCTTCCTCCCCCACCGGACACCGAAGACAAGGAATCCTCGTCGCTCATCCGCAGCAAAGCACGCGCCCTCATCGCTCCCAACGCAACCCCAACTGCCCAAGAAGCCACCGACTCGACAGACTCATCTACAGACCACCAGACCGACCCAGCGCCAAAACAGCGAAAGAAGTGGTTTCTCAAAGTCCTCCGATTCGTCCGTCGTACAATCGCGACCGCAATCAAAAGCCACGGCGCATTCGACCGCGCCATGCGCATCGCCAACTCAGCACACACGCGAACCCTGCTGGAACTCCTAGCCAAGAAGGATTGGTTTGCGGCGTCGTCGGGGCCCCTCAAATTTGAAGCAAAGTTTCAGCGGAAGCGTGGGACGGCCGTGATAGACTCAGCTCAGGAACCGCCGGTGATGTACTTCACGACTACGCAGTCTGCATCGATTGGTGATTTGAAGCTGGAGAGCCAGAAGAAGGGATCAGTTTTGTTTCAGATTCCTGTTAGTGATATTACGGAGCTCAAAAAGACGGAAGGGCTGGGATGGAAGGGCAAGTTGATTGTTGAGTTGACCGCGGGGAGCAAAGAGGCTGCGGATGGATTGGTTATCTCCGGGAGCGAAAGCGAGCAGGCGTATCATTTGACTGGGATGAAAGCGAGAGATCAGTTTTTTAATCGGTTGATTGCTATTGATGCGCAGTTTTGGGAGAGTCATTAGCCTGTACTTGACGCGATTCCCTATATAATGAATGGTTTTATCCCGTCAATGATGCCAGGTGAGTGAGATTAGGCACCCGCACGTCGCCACCAGGCTGCCATGCTGTTCCCCACATTACCCCGAAGCTTGAAAACGTTGTTTAATCCTTGGATTTCTTCACCTAGCCATAGATTACTACCATCAATATGACAGAACCAGATATCCACCCTCCCAATTTCACATCGTGCTTGGACCAAACCCAAAGCCCACTCTTCTCGATAATACCCCCAGAAGTCCGCCGGGAAATCTTCGCCTACGCTCTTGCCGCATTTGAGGACACCAACAATCCATACAGCAAAGACACATACTGGACACGACCGGGCTATGACGCCCCGCACCGCACCCACACAGAGCTCCTCCGGAGCTGTAAACGCGTCTACCAGGAAGCCTGGTTCATGCCGTTCACATACGCCGAGCACGCCTTCTACCTAACATGGCACGACCGAGCACCGGAACAGCTCTTGCCAACGGCATTCCAGCAGTGCCTGGACTTAATCTATCAGATGCACGGCAAGGTCGAGGCTGGCAGGATCAGGATCTTCGCGCAGCTTTTCATGCTCGAAAAAGGACATGCGATGAAGGCGTTGCTGGACATGACGCATTTCTATCCCCGGAGCATCACGCTGACGATCCGGTACACGGATTTCTGGATGTGGGAGGACAACCAGCCTCTCTATATTAATGCGGAGTGGGTGAATAGGATCTGTTTCCCGGAAAGTGTGACGCGCTTCAGCATGGATTTTGAGAGTATTGAGCGTCGCAGGGACGAGGTCGAGTATATTGCCAACGAGGCGGCTGAGAAGTGGTTCTTCCGGCGGAAGGACGGGAAGTTCCTGACGGCTGATAAGGCTGATATGTCGGTGTCGCAGTGGACGGGGAGTTCTATTTTAAAGGGAGAGAGATGGATGAGGGATGAGGTTCGACCGGGTCAATTGGATTATTATGTTGTCACGGTCGTATGGAAGGTATCCCCTGAATTAGCGGAGGCGCCGTTACCCACGCCGTGTCCGACGGTCGAGCTACCGCGAGATTTCCACCAGCCGGCGCCTCCATTTACTGCAGCGGTGTGTGTGAGTGTTGCGGAATTGGAGGACGCGAATATAGCGCTGGATACACCGGCTGAGAAGACTTGGTTTCTGCTTGAGGCGCATCAAAGAGCGATGGAGGAGGTAGACGAAGACGCCGAACTCCAAGATGAAGGCATGTGGAGTGACTAGAGTGTATCATGCAAGGAGTTGTCAAGTGATCTATGAGTGGACAAGCTACTATTGCTGTGAATTATCCCTCGTTGCATGTTATGAGGGCGTTGAGGGATAATCACCGATTTACTGAATGCCTAGAGCAGGCAACTATGCCAGACGAGCCATGCGAGTCAACAAGAAGGATGTTGTCTCAGGAGCCAGGATCATAAGGCTCACCGTCGACATCCGTCCTCCACAGCCTGTCATGCGTCAGCTGAGTCCAAAGATATCAATCCAACAAGTAATCTTTACTTCTTCCTTCTGCCTCGTCTAAGAGAGTCCCACAGCAAGCATGGGAAATGACTCCCTCTTGGCTCGGGGCACACCTCCTAGTTCCTAGGCGTAGACTTGAAATGACTAGTCCTAGACTCCTAGCTACCAGCATTGTCTGGTCCACATTCCTCACATCGACCCCACAGTCATTTCCAGGAAAGAAACGCAGCTGACAAGAGCAAAGACCTTGCAATTGGCGCAAGCGATCGTAGATCCAACCTAATCTTATACGGGGCCGAACCTACGGCACATCGATTTCCGTCTGTCCGAGAATGCTGTAGCCTATAGTGTATCGAGAATCTGCATCTTGGTTAGCGAAACGAACGCGTTATCCACGTCGGATCCGACTCGGCCGAGCAGATCTCACGCATGGAAACTGGTAGAACCATAAAGATAGTCGCTCATTCCTGCCCTTCTGATGACTCGGTTAGGTTCAATAGTCTCATCGTATTTCTTGCCTTTCAACTGCTAGAAGCCGTATCCGGGTCGTCGGCTTTGCAGCCTTGCAGCCATGATTGTGTTTTGTGGCTTGGGGAATTAGCCACAATATGCTGCTCAGCCACACTCTTTGTGGAATTCCAAATATGCAAGGAGTGATCGACTGTCAATCTGATCTGTTGCTTTGTTCCGACGTACTCCGTCGTGCAATCCTGGACAAATTGTGGCTGGTGGCACTAGATAATGGCTGGCAATAATACTCGCCAGCGTCAACTAACCCTAGGGCCCCCCTACTGCTTGAGGTGCAAATGATGAGGTGAGGACCCCTACTTGAATAGGTACTTGGCACCCTAAACTTAAGGTACTACTGGGCAGAAGGACACGGGATCGTAGGTTTCTAACCCAATTTGAAGGCTAGACAGGTAAAGGTTCGCGGCTACTCCATAGATTTAGCGCCAGAACAGAAAGGTAAAAGGGGATGCATGAGACATGTATGTTTCACACGGCAGTAAGCTTTAGGTGGATTAGAAAGTCTGATTTGGATGAACTGCCAGACACTAAGCAAGTCCTTTAGCCGACCTGCTTCCCTACAAGTAATGGTGTTGCTTCATATCTGGCTAATGTGAGATAGGGCTGCGAACTTGGGATCTACAGCCATTCGAAAAGTATACCTAGTGTTAGTCCACGGTTCCATTGGTGGACTATTTGTGGATCTCCCTCGATGAGCTTGCTGGAGGTAATCTCAGATTCTATGATCATGTATCTGTCCAGTGGCCAGTCCGGGCTCTGTTGTATGTATCTCATTCTCCAGATACGACTACCTACAATGCATTAGTCTCGCAATCCTTTCCTGAAGTCGACAGCGCTGCAATGACGACAGTGGCCAATTCTTTGAATGAATAACTGATTCCTGCTTGGGGTAAAGGACGTGGTAACATCCCGAAACATGGATAGGTATCCCCGTCGATACTCTCTGATGACGAATAGTAGTGATTCCCTCAAGTCCACAAATAACGAGAATGTCAAACTGCAAGTCCACAAATCCAAACAACTTCGAGAACTTACTACCGAGGGAGGAACAGTCGGACTGAGACACCCCTCTCGATAACTTAATATCGGGAGATCCTCTTGCTTTGAAGGATCCATCAAGCTTCGTCAGGTATATTGGGTCGAACATACGAATACCATGATGGGGAAGAGGATTGGGCTAGACCTGACAGATTCCAAGATCGACATTCGCAAGTTCATCCAGGGCCCCCAGTCATAATGCATCGTCTTCCGCCTCATTATGAACCAGTCCGACAGCTCGGCCGCTTAATGTCTCCGGATACCCAGATAGGTCGAGACGCATGACCTTGCATGAGTCGATTTGACTACCTGTTCAAGATTGAGTATTGTTCTTTGTCCGGCTTGGTGGACAGACCCAAAGGAGATCCATGATAGAGTAGAGATGCATTAGAGTGTCGTTCTCCAGGTTTGTCTGTCCCGTGAATTATCAGGGGCCGAATTAACAGGATATAGACATGGTTCCTTATGTCTCACCAAAGACCCCGTATACATGGTCCATTGCTCTCGCTCAAGCGCAATCTCTTGTAAACACATAGGCAATGACGCGTCTACAGCCGCCATTGGATAAAGCACCTGCACCTGTAGAAGGATCAACGAGATACTGTTTTCGGCTGCAATTGCATTGGCGTCCATTGGCCCCTGTTTCAGTCGCCACCATACCGGTGTGACTCCAGCCAGACCATTCTTGACATAAGATACCGGCACGCTTCAGAGGGAATTTCGGGAATACACCTATATTCCTGTAGCCTTGCCTTGCACACTGCAAAATACCTTGGCGTGATCGTGCATGCTCCAGATACGGAGTAGTGGTGGCTGTTGACCAGATCCTTCCGCCGATCGTCCCGTTGGCACGCAAAAGTACCAAGGGCGTCCCACTGGCAGATGTCCTCTGTGCTCGAATCCTTAATAACCATTGATTCTCCCCTCCCCCTCAGGATTTCTTTTCCGATAAATCAAAATACGACCATGGAAATGACCCCGGTGATGCTCCTGCCTAGCTTACGGAAGTTCAAGTGCCCCTGGGCGCACTGTGAAAAGGTCAACATCACCCTCTCTTTGACCGCACATATCAAAACTCATAAAAGTGTCACAGTCCTTCAATCGCAAGTCCGACCTTTGCCGACATCACCGCATCCACACCAAGGAACGACCATACCACTGCACCGTCAAAGGCTGCAACAAGAGCTTCGTCCAGCGCAGCGCGCTAACCGTCCACTTCCGCACGCATACCGGCGAACGCCCACACGTCTGCGACATTGCCGGCTGCGAGAAGGCCTTCTCGGACGTAGGTCCTAGTTCCTACTCAACCACACCACACCCACGCCCACGTACTAACGGCTACCTCGCAGTCCTCAAGTCTAGCCCGCCACCGGCGCACCCACACCGGCACAAAGCTGTACAATTGCCCAGAGAGAACATGTCACAAGAGGTACGACTCACCTCCCGTACGGCAGGATGCAAGACAGAAGACTAAATGATACCCACTTGGATGTGCGTTTAGCTTCACCCGCAGAGAAACGCTAGCGAACCATCTCCACCGCCATCATCCGGCCATCATGGGCCTGGCGCATCCGCAATCGCATACGCATACGCATACCTGTGAAGACGCAGCTTTTACGGAATCGCCGTCCCTGTATCAGAGTATATTGCCGCTGGCGACGAGCGGGATCTTGGAACCGGCGTTCTCCATGCAGCATGACCTTCCCGTGAGCTACGCGACGACACAAATGGGTGTACCGCTCCATTCGGCCTTCCCGCTGGCAATGCATGAGATGCAGTATTCGCTCTCCAGCGATTCTCTACAGCAGTTCCAGATCCTCGGGATCGTGGGGCTCACAGATCATCGCGTATTAGATTCTCCACAGGCGCTGAGCAATGGTTATGAGTTCACTGGGTGAAGGTGGGCATATGATGGCGCAATTTTACCTGGGATTGGGCACTATGGCGAGGATTCCGGTCTCTTGGTGAGTAGGATCGCTTTACTTTGTACTGGGTGTTTAACTGGATCATGCGCAGCGGGCACAAAGAGGGTTGGGAAAAGTGGGATAAACTGGAATATTTATCCAAGGAGTCGGAATTGTGGTGATTCGGTGCATTGAAGATTGAAGACGCAGTTTCAATGTCATACTCAGAACCAGGCAATACTCAGCCCTTCTGAACAGTGGCTAAAGATGAGGTAGTAAAGCAGCTTAGTCGCTGTAATCGCGTTTCGTTCTCTCGTGGTCTAGATAATCCATTGTGTCTGAGAATCTTGTAATTTTGTAACCCATCTAACTCCAATCCGATTGTATCGCTCTATATATCATGAAAAAATTACTCCATTTCAATGGTGGCAGGAGGCTTGCTAGAAATGTCGTAGAGGACACGGGAGACTACAACGCGTCAGCACTCATCCGGCAATTTGATCAAGACTGGAACTTACCACCGTGGACCTCGTTGATGATGCGGGTAGCGCACTTGCTCAAGAACTCGTTGTCGAAGGGGAAGGCACGAGCGGTCATGACTGATATGGCTTAGTACAAAGTCTTCATCGATTTCCAATGTCAACTTACAGTCGGTGGTCTCAACAGCACGAAGAATGATGATCTCAGCGTAGACGCGCTTGTCACCCTGTAAGACGGGTTAGACTGGAAACGATTTAAGAACGCAACTAAACGCACCATCACACCGACGGCCTTGCTGGGATCCAGGGCAGCGTAAGCCTGAGAGATCTTGTCATACAGACCGGCCTCGCGGATCATGGAGATGAAAATGTGATCGGCCTTTCTGGCGATGTCGACACGCTCGGGGGTGACTTCACCGAGGACCCTGCCGTTGCATTAGACCCGGAGAAACTTTGTTGGCTACTGAACCAACGGGGAAACCTACCGAATGGCAATACCAGGGCCCGGGAAAGGATGCTTTGACGTCGTCAGCAACTCGAAGACCATGCCCACGGTGGAGTACTCACTCTCATAACAAGCTCGTGGGCAATGCCCAGCTCTCTTCCAAGCTGGCGAACCTCGTCCTTGAAGAGCTCGCGGAGTGGCTCAATGAGCTTCATTCCTTGTCCCTCAATCATACGCTCTGTAACAAATTAGTAACTGGTGTCGTAACGATTAAAATGGTAGTAGAACTTACTAGGCAGTGCACCGACATTGTGATGTGTCTAAAGAAATGTATGAGTAACAGACTCCCCAAAATAAACGGGGGAAGCAAACCTTGATGGTGGCGGAAGGACCCTTGAACGAGATACTCTCAATCACATCGGGGTACAGAGTACCCTGGAGGAACCACTTGACCTTAGCACCAGAGTGCTCGGCCAAGGCCTCAATCTTCTCCGCCTCCTCCTCAAAGACGTCAATGAAGGTGGCACCGATGAACATGCGCTTCTTCTCAGGATCAGTGACACCCTTGAGGCCATCCAAAAAGCGCTTGCAGGCATCAACGACAGTCAGGTTGATACCAAGGTGCTTGTTCAGGGTCTCAGCCACGGTCTCGCACTCGTTCAAACGCATGCATCCGTTGTTGACAAGAACGGCGTGGAAACGGTCACCGATAGCCTCCTTCATGAGCTTGGCGGCAACGGTGGAGTCCACACCACCACTCACGGCACCGAGAACGTGATCGGTCTCACCAACCAGCTTCCGAATGCGAAGGATTTCCTGGTCAACGAACTTCGACATGGTCCAGTTGGGGTTGGCACCACAGATGTCGACGGCGAAATTGCGGAGGAGCTTGGCTCCATCGGGGGTGTGCTGCGCTTTGTTAGACATTCATTCACCTTGGCGACTATCGAGCGAAAGGATCATACTGTAACTTCGGGGTGGAACTGAATGCCTATGACTTCATTAATATCTTGTTGAAGGGTTGCGCGCCGATAGGGGAATTACCATAAACAGGCTTGGTCTCGTGTGCGATACCGGCATACTCGGAGTTTGCGGTAGTCGCAATGGTGTGGAAGCCATCGGGCAGTTTGACAAGCTTGTCACCGTGACTCATCCATACCTTGACGTGCTCCTCCAGACCAGCGAACAGCTTGTCGACATGTCCCTGGTTGTCGAGTCTCTTGGCGTTCAGGTCGGCATGGCCGTATTCGCGAGCAGTACCGGCGACAACGTTGTCCTTTCCGAGTCGGTAGGCAATTTCCTGAAGACCGTAGCAGATTCCGAGAACGGGAACACCGAGTTCGAAGACCGCAGGGTCAGCGTGGGGGGCACCTGATGGTCGTTAGGTTAAATTCGTCATGTAGTTCGCAGGGTGTCGCATACCGTCCTCGTATACACTGTAGGGGCCGCCAGAAAGGATCTTGAAAAGCCTTGTTAGTGATCGTCTGTCTAGCGCAGCGGACCGAGATATGACTCACAATTCCCTTGGGCTTGAATGGAAGGTCGGCCAGCTTCTGAGTGCATGGCAGCATCTCACTGTACACTCCGATCTCACGCAGTCTTCTGGTAATGAGATGGGTCTAATCAGTCAGCACAGGCCGTCATGTATGCCGCAAGTCTTAACTCACATATTGCGATCCGAAATCCAGAGTAAGGATCGTGTCGAACGTAGCCGACGGAATCTGTTCTTCAGCCATTGTGACAGGGTTTGACAGAATGAGACTGTCAACAGTGAACGATGATGAGATGTCAGATGCAAGGGAAAGTTGTAATGACTAGTCTCTTAGATCAATTGCCTGGAGCACAGCCGATGACTGCTGGTACCCAGCAGCGAGAAGGTTGCAACGCGGTGACTCGAGGGGAAATTTTTCTCTATGCGGGGCGGTGAAACACGCGGGGTTGAGCAATATTCGGCAGAAAATTCTTCTATTTTGGGTTATCAGTCATGAACCAATCATCATCCTCAGATAAGCAAACCCGCCCTAACCTTAAATAGTATAGCTCAGATGTCACTTTTCTCTTGTCATTTATAGAGTACTTACGGAGGACACGCTTTTCTTAACCAGAGTCCCAATTCATCACTTGTATGGGTCATCCAAGATACATCAACTAGTGGAACTGTGAGCCAAGGACATCCCATGCATACAGACGACCTACTTATCTGTCTCTCTAGGACACTGCACAATCATCAACTTCAGCAGAGCGTTCTAAGTTCTAACACATGGTCTGTCGTCTGCGGGGTCCGATCGGACTCCAAACATGTGTTTAGCGTGACGGCTTCAAACCCATATCGGTGCTGAACTGAAGCCAAATCACCACCTATCCGGAGATATGGGATGCCAATGGTGTTTCCACTAGAACCTCACCCTGTGAAGGTGGTTTCATAGGGCGTATACATATTGATGAAAGGTATTCTTCGTAGCAGGGGAGATGCGAAGGGTGAGAATTCCACCTCGTCAGACCAACGTATTTGGATATAACCTCCAATGGACTACTCTATCTAGCCCTTAGACATTTCTCTTTTATTTGCTATTCGGCAATGATCTTGCATTGACTGCCGACGCCGACCGGATAACCGGCATTGATGCATCGGACAACCCCCGCCCATATTATTGGGGGAAAGTGTGCACAAGCCTGGTAATAAAGTGTGCGCATTTTAATCCTGCACAAGATTTGACCTTGGACCAATGGCCTTGTCTAGATGGGATACTAAGGCCAGTAGTGCCTCTGATCGAGCTGAGTGTCGGTTGATTCCGCACTGGGGAAAAGGCGGGGGAGGGGATTGTCAACAATGGGAAGATTCGCAGTCGTCGTCATGGGATCGATGAGCTGTTCGTCTTGACTTATTTGTTCGCTACAATCTAAAGAACACCCTTGTATGACATTCCGGAATTCTCTTTATTGTGGACCTTTTGTGCTATTTCCCGCAGATTGACGCTCCCTCATCTTGTCACTTATCCGAAAAGACCTCGGCTGTGTATACAAATAAATACAGTGCGCAATGCGCTGGCCGACCGCAGAACGTCACGATCATCAGGAGCTGTGGCAATGAGCTGTGAAAAGTCAATCAGTCCTTCGGACCTGGAAAAGAATTTGGTTGTGCAACTCGAGAATCCAACATCAGATTGCTTTGTAACAGACTATGTAGCCTCGCATGTAGTCGATTGGGACGGGCCCGATGACCTTGCCAGGCCAGTCAACTGGCACAAGAAGCGGAAATGGCTGAATGTGACCAGCGTTGCTTTCCTCACTTTCCTTACCCCGTTGGCTTCCTCAATGGTAGCACCCGCCGGGGGATTGGTAATCGAGAGCTTCAACATCACCAGTGAGTCGCTGGCCAGTTTTGTTGTATCGATCTACCTCGTGGGGTTCGCTGTTGGGCCTCTGGTACTTGGACCCTTATCCGAGATCTATGGTCGTCTTCGGGTCTATCAAGCTTGCAATGCCGTCTTCATTGTTTGGAATATAGCTTGTGCGGTTTCACCAAACATCGGTTCCTTACTAGCCTTCCGGCTTTTCGCTGGAATAGCGGGAAGTTGTCCGCTTACACTGGGTGCTGGCTCAATTGCAGACCTATTTGTGCCAGAGGAACGAGGTGCAGCCATGTCGATCTATTCGATGGGTCCGTTGATGGGACCGGTGGTTGGTCCTATTGCTGGAGGATATCTGGCCGAAGCCGCCGGGTGGAGGTGGATATTCTGGGTCATTTCCATGGCAGTCAGTATCCTTTCTGATATAGAAGAAACGATCCTCTAACCTTGTCAAGGGCGGTGCGGTATTTGCATTTTCGCTCCTCTTTCAAACAGAAACCTACGAACCGGTCCTTCTACAACGACGCGCTGACCAGCTCAGAAAAGAGACGGGTGACATGATCCTGCGATCTAAACTCGCCCCGAACATCAGCGCCAGAGACAATTTCATCCGGTCAATTGTCCGACCCACAAAAATGCTTTTTCTCTCTCCCATAGTGGCGATCTTCTCTGTCTACCTCGGTACGTACACACGATCACTGCCACACTCGCTCACTGACCGAACCAGGAATCGTCTACGGCTATCTCTACCTCCTCTTCACGACAATCACCTCCGTCTACCAAACCACCTACCAATTTTCCCAGGGTGCCGCCGGCCTGACTTATCTCGGGATCGGCGTCGGCTCCCTCATCGGGCTCCTCATCTTCGGCACCATCTCCGACAAAATCCTCATCTACCTGACGAAACGAAACAACGGCGTACGCGAGCCTGAATTTCGCATGCCCCCGCTCATCCCAGGAAGCCTTTTTATCCCGATCGGACTGTTCTGGTACGGCTGGTCCGCCGAGAAACAACTACACTGGATGATGCCTATCGTGGGGACCGGATTGGTGGGATTCGGCATGCTAGCGTCCTTCCTGCCTATCCAGACATACCTGGTCGATGCATTCAGTGAGCATGCTGCGTCTGTGACGGCTTCGATGACGGTGGTTCGATCGTTGATAGGGGCGTTTTTGCCGCTGGCAGGGCCCGCCATGTATGCGAGGCTAGGGCTGGGATGGGGGAATTCGATGCTGGGGTTCATTTCGTTGGCGATGCTGCCGCTCCCTGTGGTGTTTTACTACTATGGGAAGAGGATTCGAACGTATCCGATATTCAAAGTGACTTTTTAGCTTTTATTTATGGAGTGCGGGACTAGTGTATTCAAGGAATATGCATTATCAACGGGATTCAATTGTCATACACAAATGTATTTCGTTCAGCGCAGTCTCGATCTAAACTGCAGCTGGTCATAACAATCATGGCCGTATCTCCAATCATTCAAAGTCCAGAGTAAATTATCATGTCACATCAAAGCATGTCCGGTAAACCCCTCACTGAGAGTAAGCCTTGATAGCATCAGCAAACAATCCCTGAACCCACTTCTCTCCACCGTCAATCTCCTCCGCATCCTTAGCATCCACGATCTTCTCAAGAGCATTAGGAAGCTCGGAAGAGAGAACACTCAGATTGTTGAGAATACGCAGCATATCGTCGCTCTTGCCAATCTCTTTGACCTGAGATTCCTACTCAAACATTAGTCTCTCCCGTCATGTATATTATCTAGCGCAAAAGGATGACTCACCTTGGCGACGATATCAGCAAGCAGATCACCCATGAAAGTGGGGTAAGGCTTCGCAAGAGCCTGCATCACAAACTTGCTGTCTTCGTCGGAAAGAGGAGCGGTGGCATGAGCGGCGTCGATGGCGCGATGAAGAGATACTTCAACGGCAGCCTCCTTCTTGGTGATGGCGGTGTACTGGGCAGGGTGTCCATCGAAGGCCTTGATTGCGTTGTCCAGGTTGGTGTACTTGTTTGCGGCGGCGTTGAGATTGTGCACAACGTCTTTGACAGTGTTAGGGACTGGAAGGGCACTGGTGCTGCTTATGAGGGTGGTGGCCACGAGGGCGCTGAAGAGACTCTTGATAGCAACCATCTTGGTTGTTGTTGTAGACCAGGTTTGTTGTTTGGGAAGCGAAGGATGTAGATTGGCTTAGAGAAGCTTGACAGTGAGGAGAATGCAGGTGGATGGATAGAGGAGGAGGACAGAGAAGGTGAGGTGAAAAGGGAGTATTTATATCTTATGCATGTGAGGCAGATGAGGCTAAATGCTCGCTTAGAGAGAAAGGTGAATATGGGAAATCAAAGATGAGGTGATAATGTCAATAGTGGATCCATGATATGCGTGGAATATTCCTGGACGGTGGAGTAAGATAATTCGTGGCATTTTTATGACCTTAATATCAAGACAAAAAGATAGTGGATCACTTATGATATTCACGCAATACTCCGGATTAAAGTAAACCGTCACTCCCTAGATGACAGCCTGGCCATGACCGTATAGTTAAGCAGGACCTAATTATCAAGACTCCCCTTCCACCCGCTCTCTCTACAAAGCGTGAATATTTACACTGTATACTAATATGAATATGGACCCTTTGAATGGTCAAGCCAGTTATAAATATCCATGATCAGGCCACGCTAAAACATCCCCTCTTTCGCTGTCGTGCCTTCTCCCACTGGCGGCTCGGAACGCCCGATTGTTCGAGATACCTGAGCTTCAACAGCGGGACCGGTTGGCCTTGCTGCTTGAATCCACATTCCTGGAAATTACTGCAGGCTGAGAGAACTGTAACGACGAGATGCTACGCAAACGAGGCGACACATGGGCTATTGCTATACGTGAGATCTAGAGCCTTCTTCCCTTTATGCATGGCACTAGACCTTGCTGATGTGAGCACAGAATATAAGCCCCAAGCACAAGGCCCTGGCACTATGTTTGAGGACATAACTGACATGGGTGATGAGGTAAGAGATTCCATCCTCCGCCAGCGGTATGACGGGCAAGAGTTGACTTTGGCTAGTCAGTATACTTCCAGTGCCTTATCTTTGCATATAGAGACACGTGAATTGCGATTCCCGCGGCACGATGCACGATTGCGCACTGGCAATTTGGCAAATACCAGTTTGCTTCTACTCGGAAGATTAATCTGCGATTGGATTGCGCATTTACTGATTAGAGGCATTGCCACTCTAATCCACACTATACATGGGTGTTGGTTGGCTCAGCAATATATCGCAGCGGGTCACCGGCATCAGCCTTGACCGAATGTAATTGAGTCTGGCTTGGCATGTGCCTTCATGCATTATTCGATGCAATGGGAAAGTCCCCGGTGCCAATTGCGACACCGTGGGACAAAGGCGCCCTTGTTCGGCTCGAGCTATGCACCCTGAGAAATGTTTTCTCATCGCAGTGAGAGTGAGACAGACACGCCTTGTTGTGTTTGGTGCCATTAAGCCCTTACGAACACGCAGTCCGCTGAAACTCCGCGCATTATGAATTACTTAAAGGCAGTCCTGGTATGGACTATTGCGCGCATTTATCCACTTGAAGCAGACTGAATTCTAAATCTGTCCTCGACGGCAATTTAATCTGTACCAAAATGTGTGGTGCACTGGAGTGAGACATTCTTACTTGGCATGGACGGGAGGGGCCTGGGGACTGTAACGGCGGCCCGGATTGCTCTCTAGGTGGGGAAACCCAAATTGGAGAATGAAAGAAAAGAGAGGGTAAGACAGCATCCATATGGGAGAAGAACATGAGGTGGATATGCATTGCATTGTTCAAGGGTCGCAGTCCAAGCAACCGTGCGGCCGTGCCCTCGCCAGATGAGCAACTTCGATTGCGTCCTTGGGGTTTAGGGTTTAGAACAATTCGTGAAACTCGGACTTCCGCTTACTCCCGTCGAACTAGGAGACCTCGGTTCGAGGGGCCAATTTGACCCTGAGCCCTACGCTACAACCTGGTCATCAATATGCAACGGTACCATTCGCACCGCTCAGTTATGGTCATCAAGCAGGCAGCGTTATTCGTACTTAAGATGGCCAAAGGAAGCATCAGCCTGGTGGTGGAGAATAAAGCAACTGGTGGCATACAGCAAAGCATTCAACGCCTTCTACCAGATTCTTTCATTATGTTCGGATCAGCAAGGGAGTTTAGAAGCATTATAATAAAGACAACTGACACATCCTGTATACTCTCAGAGTACTGACAGCTTCATTTTATATTCTCTACTACACGATACATCCCATCTTGCATTCTACCCTTCATGGCTGCGCCAAGGACCAGCTTGTGGATTTCCTCGTCCACAGATTAGGCCTCAACATTCATCTCCGGGGTGATCAGCGCGATTCGGTTGGAGCAATAAGTGAGATTTATGTTACAGTAGGATAGCAGATATCGATTGCTCCCCGAAGACAAGCTCGCGGCAAAGCGCAATTGTTCGTTTCATTAACCACTGGACAAGCAGCGAGGCTCTCTTCGAGACGTCCCCCTAAGGCTTCCATTCGCTACTCGTCCAATTGATGTTTAGCAACTGGCTCTCGACAGCAAAAAGCCCGTTTAATTAAGAGAAAAAATAGCTCAGCACAAGGGCCGCGGTTGTCATCAGGCGTCTGACACAGAAGGGCAGATTCCAGAATACAAAGGCTCAAAAACTCCCCGAGGACAAAGGCAGCAGCGGTCAACGCCGCACTAATAAACTTCCTGGGGTGTCTGACAGTGCCGATTGCCAGCCTGCTAGCCTGCTAACCGAGTGTGGCTCACATGATAACCCTTACCTCTGAGACTTAGACATGGTGGTGTTGGCACCATGGTAAGCTCCCTATTCCCTCCAGTCCACCACATGTTGATGTATGGGCTGCGTACCTACTTCCAGCAAAAACCCTACTCATTCATCCGGTTCCTACCTGAGAAATTCCGGACAGCTGTGGACTCAAGACTATCAATTACATAGGCAATACCCTGGCACCAATGCCAAGCATTGAAGAACCCACGGTGACGTCAGTGCAGGCCAGCATGGTCACTAATTTGGAAATTATATATGGGAACAACATAGTAGGGATCTGACGTCCCAGCTTGCGTATCACGGTTGCGAACAAAATATACAAAATTGCGGACTCCGAGGTGGCGCGCTGAAATACGAGCACGTTAGTTTCGACCCGGAATGCCACTCAACGACAAGGATTACAGTGTGCTGTCGATATGTACAACTTGGTTGGTAGAATGACTGACCCTAATGATTGATTGTTTCGTATTTATTTACCATCATTGTCCTTCAAGCCCCTCATCTGGATTTTGCCTCCAGAGTCTCGTCATCCCTGTACCACAGACAGACGATATTCTCAGCGTCTGCAGATCGGACCAACGCCCACCAATCGGCCACTGACGGCGTACTCTATCGTGCGAGCCTCGCAGTGGCGCAGTTAGTTCTTGACGGGGATAAAAAAAAGCTAAGCGACATAGAATCTGTGGATCATAGCATGCTAGATATCGAAGCCAGACGTGACAAGTGAGGGAAAAGTCCAATCGATATGGGGGATCGCGGCGGACCGCAATGTTACACAATGTGCTGTCTTCAGGGATTGCCCCTGTCATTGCAAGGCAGAACAATTTCTGATATCTCACATCTCACATATAAGATGAGAGCATCGGGCAGCAGAGTTCGGCATTCATTCCTGCCTGCCCCAGAAATTCAGCGACCATCTACTCAATCGATCTCCAAAAGATGCACTCCGCTTTTATCCTCCTCGCGGCTCTGGCTGCCACCGTTTCCGTGGAGGGAGCCGATGTCCAAGTGTTCCAACCAGGCCCCACGACCCTTCCTTTGCACGCCGTTGAGGCTAGCGTCGTCGATGCCAATGCTGCCGCCACCACTCTCGCCATCAAGTGCGAGGGAAACATATGCCCCCCCGGTGATCACTGCGCCCTCTGCAGCCCTTTCACCATCACCCAGGGCCCGTCCACCTACAGCGTCAGCGCAGTCTACTCAGCCTCGGCGGGTGGAGTCGAGGAAACGCACACTGTAGTACAAGACTGCGACATCACCTCATCCACTGAGTCGGCCACATGCACACTGTCCGCCAAAGTGGAAGTCTCGGCACTCGGAAGAAAGACCGTCACCTCGTCCTCGGCGACGGTTACCTTTCACTCTGGCGATATCTGGTATACGCCTGTTTTGGTGACCGCTGGCGCGGAGAAGTTGACGGCTTCTCGAGCGACGCAGACAGTGTCTGAAACAACGCAGACAGGGTCTACAGCAACGCAGACGGCTGGAAATGATGGTTCTGTTGCTGTAAATGCTGCGCCGGGGAATATGGGGCTCGGTCAGGCTGCTGTTGTGGCTGTCGCTGCCGCTGCAATTAGGTTTTGGTAGCTGCTTCAAGGGGTTAAACTACATACACTCTGGAGTACATTTTGGTTGCTTTGCCTCTGAACTTCCGCACGCTCTGTCGGTAAGTCGTTATGCTGATAGTGTCCAGTCAAAAGCACCTTAGTAAAGTTCTTAGCGCCATCTTTATAATGGCAACATATTTCATCGTATTCTACTCCTGTCCTTTCTTATGTTCAGGAGCCTAGTAGTAGTAGTAGTAGTAGTAGTAGTAGTAGTAGTAGTAGTAGTAGTAGTAGTAGTATTCATACCCCATACGGTGGCCCTCTCGGGGAGCTTCTATGCCGAGGACTCAGGAGCCTTGTGGTTAGATGAAATAGCCTTAAGCAGACTATCTGACAGAATAGTCAGCCCACATCCATACCAGCGTTGCCAACGCGACAAAGAAGCAGCCAACGTTCCATGCCGTTGCCCAGTCTCCGAAAGTGAGCTTAGCCGCGACGACCAGAACAAAAAGCAAAGTCACGGCTAAAGGTAATACGATGTGCTGCGAGCCAAATTCCCAATCTTCTCGGATTCTCACACCGTGGAACCGTAGCTCGCTTAATTCAGGGCAATGCCATTCGTCAAATCTCCTCAAGATATCACTGCGTTTTCTGAATGAGTCTTCTGGTAATTGTAGAGCACAGGTCAACACTTACAGGTGGCTATATACTAGCCCTTCTCTGTTAAGGAAACCGTTTAATGCAGCAAGACGAGGGTCTGAAAAGAACATTGTCAATAAGGACCGCGTATCGAGACGCGAGAGTTCCCGTTGCGCGTCATGATACTTCTGCTCAGGGCATTCTGCGTCGTCGATTATGTATGAGACACAGTCCAGGAAACATTCTACTCTGCCTGTCGATAGATTGTATTGGCAAGGGGGTTCCTGTGGCCGGTAATTTGTAATGATTTCTTCCAATCGTCTTCTTTCGCCATCCAAATCCTCTGTTGTATACATTGCCGTATAGATCGGCTTCATTTTGCCTCCTGACTTCAGGCCGGCGATTGACATCTTGAAAGATCCGTCAGTATCACTAGCAGATAAACTGCACGCTGTACTGTGACCTGACAAACCTTGACAATATCCACCTGCCTAACGCCAAAGAAAGGCAAATATCTTCTCCAGTGCCCTCTATAAGAGTACCATGCCCGGTGGATTTCTCGCCAAACGGCCACCTCATCAGTTGAATTTACAATATTCACTGGGATAATGTGGCAATGGTGCTTTTCACCCCAGCAGAGAAGGACCGCAGCACTTATGCCATCTCCGAGCATCGGCTCCAAGGCTTCTCCGAGGTCACTTTTGCGACACTCGTGTGATCCTTTGGTAATGATGGATGGCTGAGAACCTGCACTCATTCGCTCGGCGCTTTCACGATCAATACGTCCCCTATTTCTGTTACCCGCTGATGTTGTTGATATATTGCGACCACTGCAATAAGTGCCCGCTCCTGATGGGGTCAGAAGATTCAGCTCAATCCCTGCAAATGAAGAACTTTGTATGTAATTCGCGTTGGAGACGGGTAATGTAGGTAATTCTGGTGCGAAGAAGACTGATAACAGTCTACTCATCCACAATCTATCAAGGTAATTATGTTGCCAACGTTCAACACGTCTATGTCCGTTGGAGCGATCTCTTGAAGTGTTTTGTTCATCCGCGTCAACACGCCTAGGCCCCAGCAAAGCCCGTGGTGGGGGATGGATACTAGCCATTTTGCTCGACTCAGAGAAGGACGTCTGGTATCTGACGGGAGGAAGGGTTCAAGTTTAGGGAACGGTGTCAATATATACGTCTGGCCAAGTGGACCACGCCCTGCCAACTAAACCACACCTGTCTAGTTTACATTTGAGATGGAGGGTGTACTTTCAAGGATTTTCGGAGTCTAGCGCTCCTTTATTGGACGCCAATTAATCCGTTTATGCAGCATGCCTCCCAAGTAGGTACCTCAGCCTTGCTAGACGTCTGTGTGGGCGGTTAACCATGCGTTATTACTGCAGGGCTGGAGACACTTGTATGCATTAGCGTGACCATAGTGAGGGCTATCTTATTCCAACGGTCTGCCAGTCTTGTCATAGGACCTCCGTGGAACTCAGACAAAGATCGACTGATTTGGCCAGTTTAAGAGTAAGAGCCTTACCCCCCTCCCATGAATGTTCACAGTCGTAACAAAACTGCTCTTCAGAAAGGCATCTCACAGATCTAAAGAAACTTCAATCTCCATCTGGAAGTCAGATATAGAGGTATGAAAACGATTATGTGTGATTTGTAGTGATTACATATAGCATGGCCGAATCAGAATACCGCGGAGTAGGGGGATCAGAATAACACAACCTTTTAGAATCTTAGATGATCGAACCCATTCAAGTATAAGCGATCCGGAAGGACGGCGCTTAAACCTATAACAGATAGACCATTATTTACTTTCATTGCGGGCTACTGAGTTCTTCACCCCCGATACCGCCCCCTAGAGAGCTCATCGTCAGGATCTCAGCTACATCACTGACACTCATGCTCAAAACATTACAAGATTCCTTTGGAGGCAAAGTCACTCTTCAAGAATTGACTGAGTTCGCTATAAGGCTTAAGTCTGGCTGAGCACAGGGGAGTTTACTACCCCCTGTGGTACTAAATGAGGATTTTGTGTTTCGATATCCTGACTATATGGATTCGAATTTCATAGCAATATGTAGTATATGCGGTCAATAACATAGTGAAATAATCCAAAATCCATTTTGTAGAAACAGTCCGCCTTGCGAGGCATCTAAGCACAGCCACCAAAATGCTAAGCATAGCCTCCCCCCTTATCTAGAAGGTTAAGCATCCATATCAGCCTCCTGTAATCCACAGGTTTTAACAACATTTCCTCGAAGCTCAATTACAGAGCCTGCATCATTATCATGTCGGTCCCCCTTGGATGGAAAGAAGCGCGTACTGGAAGTTCACAAAAGGCTATGTTGCATATTAAGGATTATGATGCGAATAACTAGGCTAGAGATACTGTTTTTCGAATAGTACGTGGGTGATTATTCTATAGGTACAATTTCAGAGACTCGACTTTATGCTTGGTGTTATTAATAGTAATAGATGCTCCGGGATAGTAGTAATCAATATCAGAGATTTCCAATTTCCCAAATCCCTTGGTAGGGATTTTCATGGTCCTGAAATTGGAAAAAAGGATCACGCGTAACGTCCATAAAGGAAACATCGCCTGGAAACCCCAAGCCCGACCACGACAATGCTTCCCGTGGTAATTGTCCTTGACTTGGGCCATTGTCAGCTGCAATCGAGTTCGTACTGCTCCAAGACTCGGACTGCGCGTTCTCAGAAGCCGCCCGATGGTGCACTGTACTCGAGCACGGCGGCAACGCTTGACCTCCATCAGAAGTATCTACCGTCCTTGCGGAATGATGGAAGATCTCGGTCTCGACTGTCGTCTGGTCTGGATGCTTCTGCCCGGGAGGCTGTAAGAAGGACGCATCGAAGAGACCGCCACCTGGAGAGGCGAATGGAGTCTTGGTAGAATTATAGCAGAGAATGTCCCACATCAGTGCCGTATCTATTGAAAGTGTCCTGCGTGGTTGACGATGATCGCCCGAATGTGGACTGACGGCAAATGCTGATTGTATGAGGCCCTGGATTTTTTGATGCTATGTTTATGTTAGAAGATCGGCCCAGGGGAGGGATGAGGACTCACAATTGCCTGGACTCGGGGCCATTTGGTGGCCAAGTCACTCAAGAATCTCGTGCACGTCTCCAGCTTCCTTTGAGCAGAGTCCCTCACAGTGGGATCCGCGGCACGACAGTAGTAAATAAGGATCGTGGCGGCGATCGCCACGACATGGCCAAGGAAAGGGTCAGACAGTTGGTATTCCTTCTCGGTGATCATGTCAATGAGGCGAGCCGTCCACGTTGTGTGGATGAGTGCCAGCTCCGATGATGTCTTCCAGAAGGTGTTTGGTACTGCAAGCTGAGCAGACTGCTGAGGTCGCCACGAGTAGAGGAAAGGGTGATTCAAGACGCTGTGCACTGCATGGTAGGTGAACTGGAGGTACAGCCAGGGACTCCAGTACTCACGGGCACGATTTAATTCTTCTGGCGAACGCTCCTGAAACCGTACAGAATCGTATCGATGGGAGGTGGGAAACTTTGTTTCAATGTCCATCAGGTGAGCCCCGATGATACAGTAACCAGAGTCCACAGACCAAGGTGGCATGGGGTCTCCGCTGGCACAGTGCGAAACGTAATGCTGCACTTCGCTCCAAAGAGTGGATAACTGCACCATGTACACCCAGATTCCTCCTAAGGCATCGTTTTTCTGAGGATTCTGAGGTGGCTTCATCCCCATCTCCCGTGGAGAGTCGATGTTGACAGCCATGTACTTCGGGTTGTGAATGTCCCGCAGCATATTCAACTGCATGCTGTGGGGAGCGTATTGCTGATTAAGAAGATGGATGCTCCAGAACACCCTTCGCCGCTCCTCCAATGCAGGCGTGGATTCGCCTTCGTGCTGCTCAATGTCGAGACCTGCACATTTGGCGAGGTTTGTGGCAAGACCAATGTGTAGCCAAGCGAGATGGGTGTCATTAGCTAAGGGCACATTAATGACGTGTGACTTTGTCAGTCCAGGATGGATCTCACCAATGTATTCAGCTAATGCAATCAAACAGAGACATTGTAAGGTTGAGAGGTCCACGGTCCCCTGGACTATTCGGAACATGACATAGCTGCGAGCGGCCTCGGCGTATTGCCGACACATCTGGTCTGTTCGTCCGTCCAGAAACGGATCGTTCGAGTAGCGCAACGCGAGACTGAGTATGCCAAATAACACCTCGCTGCGACATTGTTCTGGAATGGAAAGACTATCTGGAAGGAAGAGCCATAGAGGTTGCTTGTGGCAGTATTGGAAATAAAGAGCAATACCCTCCGCAACGACCTCTTTTGGCGGCATCGCAAAGGGCAACGTATCTGCACTGTCGAGGGCTGTCTCATCACTAGGATTCCCTGATGTCAGAGACATTTCCCGCGTCCTGCTTGATTCCGATGTATTCCCGTGACTATGGAGGCCGCGAGAATACGCCTTGGGGGTTTCGGCATGGCGACTGGGTCTGCATCGATCAGCACTCACTCTTATACAGGGAGGAATGACAGCTATCCGCACATTGATCCTTCCAATATTGATTCCATCTTCTCTTCAAGCTGCTGCAATCGGCTCTCCTGCTTCGAATTAGTCTGCTCACTCTCCGCTCTGCAGGCCAGCCAGCCAGCCATACCAAGACCCGGTCGCTGCCTGGGGATCTCTGCGACGAGTCATAGCTCCTGCTATACTGGCATGTTTGTTGAAGTCGCGTGCAGCTCGAACATGCCGGTCTCTCGCCCGGACATCTTGTCTTCTTCCGCCTACCGACAGTCGGCAATCAAAGCTTCTTACAAATACCATTTGCTTCTGACTCGTACTCACCTACAGTTCTCACAGGCTTGATGTGATCTCTTGCTAACACGATTATTCATCAGGAGTACCTGCAGAAGGGCAAAGAGACGGAGGATATAAACACGCTGATAAGGTATGTTATGGCGTAAAGGTGCTTTAAAGCCGAGGGGGCGCGGGGTATTGGCTTCTGCATGATAACACGCGGACTAGCCGATCGCCAGTTGGCACCCTTGTGACCCACCCAGGAAACGATACCCAGAAGTGGAAAAGACATACTCGCGGTACTCCGTACCTACCGAGCAAAAAACTACGGTCGCCAAGGCCATTGCCCTTCTTGTTTTAGTAGGTGAGCAGTGCCGCCCTGAGGTCGCGCGACTTGGGTGAGTGGGTGCGTGGTGGGGGCTGAGCGAGGTGAGCAAGCAGGGGTGACCCTCGCGCGATGCTCACCTTTTCACGCGCGATTGGTGAGCCAAGGCGCCATTGATCCTTCGCGCTGGAACTAGTTTCAGATTCCCGGAGAATCTTACTAGCCGTATCTTATTTCAATAGGTTATCATCTATAATTTCTGGAAGTTACAGTTAGTGAGGCAAGAACATGAACGGGAAATAAGGGCAGGAATATATAAAGTGCGTTAAATTAGGGACTAAGATATATGATTTTTAGGGAATAGGGAAATCCCATCCTTATCCCATCCTTATCCCATCCCACGGTCAGCCTACATCATTGAATTCCCGGCGATATGCTTGGATCAGTATAAAGTAAAGGTAATTAATCAAAATCATATACAGAGAGGGATGGAGATAGACCATTTCTTAGGCAACATCAGGCAAATAAATATCAACATGTCAGGGGATCCCCGCAATTCGCAGCCACTAACAATTCCCGTACAAACGCCTTTGCCCTCTATCCCCACTGCTAGCGCAAGGCTGACTCAAAAGATGTGAATTAAATAATCCTGACATTTTCCAGCTGTTGTCCAGCCTCCAGCATTGTTCGCAGCATTTCCTACGACGAGACTCGACTCGCACGAAGATCAGCACCGGTCCTTCGCAAAGAATTTTTCAGATACTGCAATGGCCTCGACAAAGCCAGACACTGCTTCCCAAGTGCAGAGTAAGGCTAGCAAGCGAAGCGAAGCTGTAAGCCTGCCTCCAGAAAAGTACACAGTCGGCTGGATCTGTGCAGTCCCCTCTGAGCTGATAGCTGCGCGTGCAATGCTCGATGATGAACATGCGCAGCTGAAAACCCAGCCCAAACATGATGAAAACAGCTATATTTTGGGATGTATTGGAGGGCATAACGTCACCATTGCCTGCCTACCAGAATATGGTACCAACCGAGCAGCGATTGCTGCTAAATCAATGCAATCTACGTTTCCCAGTCTCCGATTCGGTGTGTTGGTGGGTGTCGGAGGCGGTGTTCCCAGTTCAGAGAACGACATTCGACTTGGTGACCTTGTTGTGTCTCTACCATCTGCACAAGGGGGGGGCGTGATACAATACGACCTGGGCAGGATGGAAATTGACGGGTTTCGTCGTCTTGGAACTTTAAACAAGCCTCCAGTATTGTTGAGGACTGCCATAACTACCCTACGAGCAACACGCAATCTGGGGCGAGAAATATCCAGGCTAGTCAATGAAGCGTTCAAAGGTGATCAACGTGATCAACGTGATCAAGAGTCAGACGAAGAGTCGGACGAAGAATGGAGTTATCCCATGACGGCCAAGGACATCTTGTTCAGTGCAAATTACAAACACATCGACAAGAACCGCACCTGTGAGGGGTGTGTTGTCGCCGCGAAGAAGGACGACATTGTTGACCGGCCTCCACGGCGGAGCACAAATCCTAAAATCCATTACGGCAACATCGCTTCCGGCAATGCAGTGATGAAGGACGGTCTTGAACGTGATCGTCTTGCAGAGAGGGATAATGTCATTTGCTTCGAGATGGAAGCTGCTGGTTTGATGGATGATTTCCCATGTCTGGTCATCCGGGGCGTCTGTGACTATGCGGACTCGCACAAGAATAAGAAGTGGCAGCCTTATGCAGCTGCTGTCGCTGCGGCATTTGCTAAGAAACTTCTGCTTATAGTCACTCCGCAAGCTGTCATGGACAACTTGGAACCCATAAAGGGTGAGTAGTGTTGGTCCATCAATAGGTATCAAAAGAGTGACGAGTTGCAGAGAATGTGGCCGAAATCCGATCTATAGCAGCAGCCACGAGGACTGTGGTGGAAAGCATACATCTTGACAGCCAATTCAGAAAGATCAAAGACTGGCTGTCCCCGCCGGATCCATCAACGAACTTCGTGAAAGCACTGAAAATGCATTATGAAGGAACGGGTTTATGGTTTCTTGAGAGTGAACTCTTTCAGCAGTGGAAGTCTGGATCACGTCAGCACCTCTGGCTCTACGGAATTCCAGGCTGTGGAAAGACTGTTCTCACCTCGACAATCATCGATCACCTCCGCCAGAACCAAAGTTGTTCTTCAACTCTTGTCCTGGATTTCTTCTTCGATTTCAGTGATACTCGTAAGCAGTCACTTGATCAACTGGTTCGCTCACTAGTTGCGCAGCTTTACTCCAGGTGCAAAGATTCGCGAGGGGAGCTCGACGCCTTGTTCACAAACTGTGAAGGAGGCGATCAACAGCCAACAACTGACTCCCTCCGTGCAACACTGGAGGCAATGGTGCAGCATGTCCAGAATGTTCAAATTGTTATAGATGCCCTGGATGAGTGTCAAACAAGAAAAGACTTGCTGTCTTGGATGCGAGAGCTGGCGACTTCCGATCACAGAAACATTTATCTCCTTGCCACAAGTCGGAGGGAAGACGAACTAGAATCGGAGCTCAAATCCTGGCTTTCCGAAGAAAGCTTCATTCCCATTCAACAAGGTCCTGTGGATGCTGATATTGGGGCATACATACATGGCACTCTTCGTGCTGATAACGAATTCCGAAGATGGCGGTCGAAGCCTGCCGTGCTAGAAGAGATCGAGACAGAACTGAGGAAGAAGGCGGACGGAATGTAAGATAAATCACTGCATCATGGTCCTGGCGTAATCGGGATGATAAAAGCTCACCGTTTGCAGGTTTAGGTGGGCTGCATGCCAGCTCGACGTTTTAGAAAAGTGTCTGCATCTTCGAGAGGTTCGCGAAGCGCTCGCTTCACTTCCTGAGACACTAGACGAAACATATGCTCGAATCATGACCAATATAAAGAAGGAACACAGAAAAGACGCGATCAAAATCTTGCAGTTTTTAACTTTCTCGGAACGACCCTTGACGGTTGGAGAAGCCGTAGATGCAATAGTGGTCGACCTTACCGCGGATTGTCAGTTCAACCCCGAGGAAAGACTGCCTGTTCCTGGAGAGATCGTTAGGATTTGTTCCAGTCTGGTGTCTCTGACAACTAGAGAAAACGATGACAATAGGGAAGAGGCCGTGATGCTGCTTCAATTAGCCCATTTCTCCGTCAAAGAATATCTCTCGTCCGGGCGCGTGGAAAAGGTATTTCAAGCCAGCATGACCGAAATAAGTGCACGGGCATGTATTACAAGAGTCTGCCTGGCGTATATGTTCTACTTTGGAGGGAAATGCCCTGCGGAGGAAATCAGAGTACGATTTCCTCTGGCGCAATACTCTGCACGATATTGGATAGATCATGCAAGACATGCTGAATCTAGAAAGGACGTTCAGGAAAGCATCTTACAGTTCCTGCTGAATGAAAGTGAGGCGTACGCAGCCTGGGGCTACCTCTTTGACCCAGATAAACCACAGGCCCAAGATCCACGACGTTTTCACATGGCAAGTCCATTGTACTACGCGTCATCAGGAGGTCTCACATATACAGTACGGTTATTGCTGGAGAAGGAAGCTGATGTCAATGCCCAAGGTGGGTTCTATGGCAATGCTCTCCAGGCTGCTTCCCGGATAGGCAATGAGAAGATAGTGCAGTTGCTCCTGGAGAAGGGAGCTGTTGTCAATGCCCAAGGTGGCTACTATGGCAATGCTCTCTATGCTGCTTCCTGGGGAGGCCATGGGAAGATAGTGCAGTTGCTCCAGGAGAAGGGAGCTGATGTCAATGCCCAAGGTGGCTACTATGGCAATCCTCTCCAGGCTGCTTCCTATCACGGCGATGAGAAGATAGTGCAGGTGCTCCTGGACAAGGGAGCCGATGTCAATGCCCAAGGTGGCTACTATGGTAATGCTCTCCAGGCTGCTTCCTATCATGGTGATGAGAAGATAGTGCAGTTGCTCCTGGAGAAGGGAGCTGACATCAATGCCCAAGGTGGTGAATATGGCAATGCTCTCCAGGCTGCTTCCAATCGAGGCCATGAGAAGATAGTGCAGATGCTCCTGGAGAAGGGGGCTGATGTCAATGCACAAGGTGGCTACCGTGGCAATGCTCTCCAGGCTGCTTCCTGGGGAGGCCATGGGAAGATAGTGCAGATGCTACTGGAGAAGGGAGCCGATGTCAATGCCCAAGGTGGCTACTTTGGCAATGCTCTCCAGGCTGCTTCCTTTCAGGGCGATGAGAGGATAGTGCAGATGCTACTGGAGAAGGGAGCTGATGTCAATACCCAAGGTGGCTACTTTGGCAATGCTCTCCAGGCTGCTTCCTATCGACGGCATGAGAAGATAGTGCAGATGCTCCTGGAGAAGGGAGCCAATGTCAATGCCCAAGGTGGTAGAGATGGCAATGCTCTCTATGCTGCTTCCTCTCAAGGCTATGAGAAGATAGTGAAGTTCCTCCTAGAGAAGGAAGCTGATGTCAATGCCCAAGGTGGCTACTATGGCAATCCTCTCCAGGCTGCTTCCTATCACGGCGATGAGAAGATAGTGCAGGTGCTCCTGGACAAGGGAGCCGATGTCAATGCCCAAGGTGGCTACTATGGTAATGCTCTCCAGGCTGCTTCCTATCATGGTGATGAGAAGATAGTGCAGTTGCTCCTGGAGAAGGGAGCTGACATCAATGCCCAAGGTGGTGAATATGGCAATGCTCTCCAGGCTGCTTCCAATCGAGGCCATGAGAAGATAGTGCAGTTGCTCCTAGAGAAGGAAGCCTTACCTCCTCGAAGCGCCACCGATAGGAATTGGGGCACCGCAGAGCAGCGATACAACCAGCTTTATCAACCAGGGCAGCCACGAGATATCTTCGAGGTTTTCAGTATTCTTCAACGCTGTGGGCGTGGGGAATTACCCCGCCCTATTATCTTGCAGATTCTGGATTTTGCCAGATATTGGCTGCTTTCCAGAGTTTGCAGGAAGGACCTTGTAAGTCTTGCCGAAGAGGACTGTCAAGAAAGGACACCATATTTAACCTCTGAGCCTATCCGGGGTCATGATTCCCCCGTTCGTGAGATCAAATTCATCATTTGGAGCCACGACCAAGGATTCAGTTCCTATCCCGAGAATCACGGCACCTTTGAAAACTCTTGGACATGGTTTGAACTTGAGATTGAAAGGCCACCAAAGAAACTAGTCCTTGACAGCCAGGAGGATTGCTTGGCGACAAATTTACACGCATGCATGGAGTTCCAGCGCCATTCGAAAATATATGGCCGTGCAGGATCTAGACAAAACGTTGGCTGGATAGCAAGACTCCAAGCCGGTGACAGGGTTTCAATCATTCCGATGGCCCGTTTTCCTGCCTGGACAAATTACGTGCGAGAAGCGTCCATTGAGATATATAGTACATGCCTGTTGTCTCAGCCACGCGTCTGCGATGACTAGCTGGTACTTTTCAATAAAAAGGTCGATTTCAGTGTGACAGATATATTGACTTCGTTTCTCTGTACCATGTACCTAGGCTGCGGCAACATCCGCGACGTATCCAAATCCGCATATCCGTGGACATGGATGTAATCTGATATCTACATATCCGCAACGATACGATATGGATAGTAAATGGTATCCGCAATGTGGATTTGGATATTTTGCGGATAGGCAAACAATATAAACATGGCTAAATCCATTACTACATAATTTATGCATGTTTTGTTTGTAATTTATCATTCTAGGGGTGTATAGAAAAGTCACCTTTCGAAATCCAAGTATCAAGGTATAGAGTCGCAGTAAAGACTATAGGACAAATTGCAGAAAAGGAGATACTACTTGCAAGTCTTCTATTAGGCTATGTGACTATGGTTTGATAAATTCATAATCCTCGAACCCTGATCAATAATGCCTCGGAAAAGTTGGGGGCCTTCTTGAATTTTTAGCGGCCCTATTGGCCCGCAGCGTCTCCACTTTCTTACAACCACGCACCCTGCCATTAGAGGGGGGGGGGGTAAACACGCGAGCCCCAGACGCGCCCTTCATTCTTCTAACTAGTTTGACTAGCCAGGGAATCTCACATACCACGTTTAGTCCCATTATTAGTTTCCAAGATGGATCGATTTATATATCTTCCAGAACACAGGGTATTGATCTGCAAGCTATGCACTTATGCGGTCCCACCCACCTATCTACGCACACATTTGAAAGGCCACCAAAACCAAATCCCCGGCCTCAACAGCGCCGGAGCTATATCCGCTCTGGAAAAGGAGCTAAGGGAGCTCCCTTTGGTCGAGCCAGGTCATCACCACCCTTCATGACTATAGTGAGGCCAACCCTTGGTTAGACAAGACTCGATGGCGTGACTATACCCAGGGCTACACCTTCACGGAATTAGCCGCACTCGCATATATGCCCGATCCCGTGCAAGAACCCGTATTACAGCTATGGACAGAGAGCCTAGACGCCGTTGTCGACCAGGCTATTCGGTCGGTGTCCGACCACCGGGTCAATGCGTTTGACCTCGCCCGTATTAATAGCTTTATTGACGATGCCTACCGACGACCAAGTCATCGGCCGATCTTCTATCATCTCCAGCCCTCCACCAACCAGCGATATCGGCGGATCTGGAAACGCCTTCTCTGCTTTGTGTATCGCACGGCCCAGCCAAATCAGCCCATCCGGCTAGCCCATATCCTGACCGAAGCCCAGGCGGACCTTCTGCAGCAGATGTTAGAACTAGGTCAGCGGTTACAAGGATATACCGCTTCCGCCACCTGCCACTGTGCACGGCCCTGATCCGCCCCCCCGAAGACGCCACCAGAGTCGCATCGGCTGCCCTGGACCTAATAGGCCGTCCGCGAACCGACCCGCATTCGCTTTTTGCCCTCCTTCATTCGTCCGTGTCCCCCGGCCCCGGTGCGTCGCCATATTATTGTCTATTATTGAGAAGAAAAAAAAAAATAAAAATAAAAAGTAAATATGATCGCGTTGTACGCTCTGTTTCTCTTGCAATACTTAACTAATGTCTAAGGTTGCGCGGGAGTGGGCCCCATTCCACGCTTTTTGACCGTGCGCCCTTAGTAAAAAATGCGCTGGACCACAGCAACCTGTCCCGCCATTCCACGGCTCTTGCGCATGTACGACTCTCCCCGTCTCCCCCTCTTTCTGTTTTAATCTTTGTAATTAGGAGAGCATGTTTCCTGTATGCTTCAGATATAGATCTTGCAGAGAAGTTAACTACCTTAAGACCATAGCCTGCGCCAGCGGAAGTCGCCAAATCTAATTGAGATTATGATTCGAAGTCGCGAAGAAAAAGCAATGCGTGTCTTTAGACGCGACGCGTAGAGATGCTCACAACGCAAGTAGAGAGATGCGAAAACACTTTCAATCTCAGTATTCTGATTCAGTTAACGTATTTCAAGCCTTTGTCTTATCATGCAGTCTTCTCCAGCCTATCCAGTGTTCACGCGGGAATGGCCTTCTCTTCCCTTATACTTAGACTGGGGTGAAGATGTTGCAATTTGCACCCTTTGCCAGTACGCGATCTCTCTACTGAAGGCGTGCAGGCCAGCAGTCATTTCCGGAAGAAACATCAAATCCCAAAGACTCAACGAAATGGTCTAGATCAATATCTTCATAATCACCGTTTTAAAAGCGGCAGCTTAGCCAAACCACGGCCGAACGGGTCCCCATCTCATCCTGCCCTTCAGGTCTGTGCTGGATTTCAGTGTGTACGATGCCCCTATATAAGTACCAGTCTGGATCTCATGGGCCGGCACCTGAGGGGATCTCATACACTGGATAGACCCTCTGCACGCCTAGATCTGGATCTGCTGTACAGGCCCGTCTCCATACAGTCCTGGACCCAGTCAACTGTGACCCAATCATATTGGATAGTCGTTGGCGACTCAAGTGGCCTAGACAGAGATACTGTAAATGGGCCTCTGAAAGAACCACCATGCGCCGCTAATGTTACATTTTTACACAATCTCCGACAACGAGAGGCACAGTTTCATAAAGTCCAGCAACAGCAGGACAGCGCCACGTATACGGGGCGAGACATCTATGAAGGAACTCGCCCATGGCTGGAGCGGACACAATGGATCTCAACATACCAGGGCGTTCCACGTGATATCTTGAAGCGATTGATGCTTCTCCCAGGGATTAATTAGTGACTAATGATCCCTGTTAATTCTACCTGTCACATCTGCCTTGCACTAGCGCGGCTGTGTTGGTGTCATAATAGTTACTAGTAATATATACTGTATTCTTAGGATTATCATTATTTTTAACCCATCTCTCACTAAGATAGTGTTACAACACCAACACAGCCGTGCTAGTGCAAGGTGGATGTGACAGGCAGAATTGACAGGGATTATCTGTGAGAGCATCTATGAGATGCTCTCTATTGAGTGGTAGATAGCGTGGTAGTAGCAATGCCTTTGTAGTTGAACTAATCGCTGAGGTGCGAGCATCTCTCGCACCTCAGCAGAGATGATATCTCCGTGGGTCACGTGCTACCCACGTGACCACCTGCAGTTTGCTACGTACATGTTCTTCGCGTCTAACATTATCAGTCACTAATCAATCCTAAAATAATCACTGAGTAATCTAGATAAATGCTTAATCTAGACAGACTTTCATAGAAAAACCATATAGTAGGGCATGACTGAACATATTTTCCTACAAACCATTATCATGTGATGTGGTAGATAGGTATATAGGATTAATGATAGGAGGGTATTATAATCATCTACTATTCTACTATTATACCATATATCACCACTATTACCTAGAGGAACTATAGATATATAAGGATACTTATTACTATATATCTAGCATACTTACTTTTAGTTCCTCATGTTTAATAAAGATATCTTACTTAAGTATAAGTTCACTAGTCTAATTTATTAGTTACTCTCTACTATTAAGTATATATACTTAATAGGCCTTGCTTCTATCTCTACTATTATTATTCTTGTGTTACCTTTGGTTGTCTTTGATCCTCACTTTCCTCAGTTGGATCATTGTATCATTACATCATCAGGCTATCTGGTTGATAGGCCTCAGGCAAGTATTAGATATAGTCCAGGGACTATATCACCCTGTTCCCAAAGTAGTTGACTAGCAGAGAACAGCAGAGACGGATCCCAGGGTGTGACAGATAGAAGAAGAGTTCAATCTCACCATCCATTCTACAATATATATAAAGTTCAATGTCCTATGGTATATTAGAACAGACAAAACTTAGCTTTTAGGTCTCTTAGAGTACTTTATATTGGAGCCCACACTTATCTTTCTTTAATATATTAGGTATAAATATATTAATCTAAGCTCCAGAGTAGCAGTAGATCAGGATCATAAATATTAACTAAACCCTGTATCTTGGATGGATGAAAACAGGATTATTATCAGTCTATATAAAGATAAGAATATTTATAAGATTACAGTACATAAACATATATTTTACTCTTCTGATATCCTCAATAATGTCCTCTTTAATAAGTAATTTTAAATCCATTTTTTTACAGTTAGTATTGGGATATTCGTATTCGCGGTGGACGTGGAGCCTTCGAATCATGCGAGGGTAGGGGTAGGCCAGCGGCCGCCCCATACATGTCCCACCAACTTCGAGGTTCCAGTCTCCTTTTATATTTCAACCTAAGCTAAGAAGGAATGTAAGGTCTTAACTAACTATGTATAAATACTGACAACTACTGAATGTTGCTGCATCCCTAATAGACTTCTTCGAAGTCATATACATACTGGTCAATATCACAGTATCTACAGAAGTCCTTCAATAGCAAATCCACAGACCCTATAAACATTCTGAGTATCCTTCTTATTAAAACTAGACTTAGTAAGATATATAAACCCTGTAAAGAACCACTCAGCAGAATTTAGTATAGATGACTTTATAGGGTGCAGAGAGATAATTCCATATAAGAAGAAAATATAAAATTATATAAAATCCTTGATCATCACTAGATCTAGGACAGGCTGTCCTTCATGAAGGCCCTCTTCTTAGGACTTTTCATCCTCTTAGGACGCCCATCTACGTGTTTAAGAGATAAAGATTTAGAAAGATGAATAAGTATATATTTAAGGAGTATAGACAGCACTAACTTAATATAATCTAATAGAACTCATTCCTAGAGAACCTTAGATCTATCTGAATAGAAAGTCTTATAATATTATTAGTCCTTTTCTTAATTTACTCCTTAAATATAGCTATTGGCTTGGGCAACAGCCAGTCTATTAACCTTTTATCTTCCTTTAGGCATTTTCTGCAGCAGAGAGATACAGTATAACACAATGGGGGTATACAGTATTCACAGCAGAACTAAGAGAAGGAGTAGGTAGCAGATTTCAAAGCAGTGTGAGATGTCACTTAGGATGAAAGAGTAACAGAGAAGGTCTAGGAGGGCATGGCAGGACTACTTCGCGCCTTTTATTAGGGGGCCCACAGGGACCCTGATTTCTCAAGAGCCCCATGCTCCCTGTGTCCTAGTTAATGCATCATTAATGCCTAAGTGAAGCAGCTAGAAAACTGGCATGGAGGATAAGGGGTCAAGGGTGAGTGTTAGTGGTTGATCTGGTGAGTGAATCACCATGGATGGGTGAGGGAATCACCTTGAAGGCGTGAGCGAATCACCTTTGGAGGTGAGTGAATTACCTGACTCACCCGGCTCACCCTCTTAAAGCGGCAATGGCTGAAAGAGGAAAGGAAAAGTGCCCTCATAGAATTTTGCACGATATTACTACCTACCTAGGATACATACAATCGCGGCGTGTTTTGAGATCGGGACCACTGAGTCCTTCGTACTAAGTAGGGTCATCCTTGGCACCACGGTAGTTAGATTCCTACTTGATCATCATCTACTATCTCTTTCTCCTGCTGCTCTTCGGATATTTTATGGTCTTTTACTTTTTAAATATATAACTTCTATCCCATCTTCTTCTTCTTCCGCGCCATCTCTAGACCCAGCTTCAATAAAGGAACTAGTGGACGAAATTGATGGCGACTCGTTCTATCATCACCCATCCTGGCCCCAGCGATGGTCGCACCCGGAATTTACTGGTTACTATTTAATACTTGGGTAAAAGCACCATGGTCTGGACAGGAAAGACGATAGACCACACGCTTTCTCGCTAGCGATGAAAAGATTCCTCTCAAGACGCTCGAGATTTTCATTTGGATATTGCAGTCTCCCCCGCGGCAGCAAGGAAACACAGCTCAAAGAGTAAGACGTCTCGCAATAGTGCCGCATCTCCCATTGACCATCCAGCCAATGCGTGTGACACACCAGATATTGTGAATATGAGCTACGCAGTTATTATCGTCAACTCCGAGCGTGGGTTACCCTGACCGGGTTGAACACGACTGTATCTGACAAGAACCCCAGTCGGATCACTGTTGTCTCGTTATCATTTCGACTGGCCTGAGCGTATAGCGTCGCCCTCTCCCCAGATCCGTCCATTCTAGAGCGTTATGTTCAGTGATACAGCCGTTAGTGTTCAATAAGCTCACATAGGCCTCCCTCCCCTAACAATTATATCACATATCCTCGAAGGCATTGAAAGGACCAATTTGTTTATTTTTCCCACAGAAATACTCGCCCACTCGACTTCAATACGGCTTTTCAAATCATCCAAACTGTTATAGGTTCGCCTCCGGATACTTTTGCTCATATAGGACAAGACGTCCTCAGCCAGGTTGTAATCGGAAGCGGGTGGCGGGCACAGAATCAAGGAAAATCCAGTCCTCTGCAGATGCTCAGTGAGCCTCTTCTAGCAAAGGTTTTTTGACCGATTCTCATCTTCAAGGAGGGCCTGCGAGCTGGGAGCAGCACCTGTCGCCTCCAAAGGCCGGCAGAATGCAAGCACATCTGGTTTTGTAAAGTCAAGCAGATCCTCTTTCCGTTGAAAGCAAATGAGTAGCTTTTCATGGTTGTATCTAACAGGTGCCTAGCATAATATCATACGTTCACAATTTGCTCTCTCTTTCTATGGCATTCACTACAATAACGTTGGTCTCTTTGGACCGCAGCCTTGACCTCCCGGTCGGCATATAATGAGAATCGTATATCATAGACAAAAATAACGGAGCGCCAGTCTAATTTGAAGTTTGTGAGATGCGTAGAAAATGCTAGACGTGAGCGTTGTGCCTCCTTTATGAGCCACACCTTGTGGCACCTGGCACTCTTGCAATACCCTTCCTTCACTAACTGGTTCTGTATTGTTTGAGGATGTACTTGACTCGCAGCGGAGCTGATGGCAAATTCCCTTCCTGAGCACAGATTCGCGCCCTTAATGACGGAGATAATCTGGTTGATTGTCTTTGGTCGACTTTTCTTGGTCTACCTGGTTTTGAACGTCGTCTTGTTCCAGCAGCACTCATCATGTTGTGGCTCTATCTAGGATGCAGGTAGAATGAGGGTAAAACTTCCCTCTTTGCATGCTGCAGAAGGTAGGATGCTTTCCTTCTTTTATATTTCGTGCTATTGCAGCTAAGTAGAAAGATATGCTGCGGCTTGAAGCATTCCTTTTGCGTCACATCGAGTGGCTATATCTCTTCCAGATTATATATTTTAGCAGTGGTCTTATTAGTATTACTGGTTTCTGTTACAAGGATCAGCTAAATAATAGTCTCTAAACCATACTCTGCCACATACAATAATGGTGCAACTCCGCCTGTAATACTCTTAATAAAACTCTGTAACACATCCTTAAGCCTTTAGATTTTTGATATGCTCTAACTGGGCAGGGACTCAAGGTCTGACAAGGCCTGATCCACACTGACCTCCTCCGGAAGGGATGAATCATCATCATCATCATCATCATCATCATAGAGGTGTGCACGAACATGGCTAAGGAAAGATGTTGAGAATATTTCTTGAGCAGTAGCATCATCTGCATCAGCATAATCATTAAGGAATGCTTTTAAGAGCCTTACAGAGTCTAAGCTCTCTGTGGGTATTGTAAAATAGTGTTGGAAATCTGCTTCTTACGCCAGTCCTTAGAGAATCTTTGCTTGCAGATTCCAGCTGTTTAGGGTTTAATAATCACCTTTAATTATCATTATCTTCGTTATCTGAGAGCATCTTGAGTTCTTCAGCAGTCTTTCTCTATGGTTATCTTGGTAATAATAACTAGGGCAAATCTGTTGATCCTAAGTATATATAGAGGCCAACATTATGCAAAATATATCTAGCTATATTCCTTTTCTAGGCTCCCAACCCAACTTTAATACTAAAGAGACCTATTTACTTGTCATGAATCTTAGAATAATCAGACTACTTAGTTCACCTTAGCCGCGCGTCCCTCCTGAGGGTATGTAGTTGCGCGAAATACCACGCAATCTCCCTTAGCTGGTCTCCACTTTGTGCTTCCCTAGGTAGTATACCTACTGCTTAGTATAGTACCGTGCGCTACAATGGCTAAGCTATAAAATTGGCTCTGGATTAACTTATCTACTTTAGAACTAGGATGACTCGTTATCTAGCGTATTCCCTGCACCCGGGGCAACAAGGGAGACGAATACAAGTGATAGCGCGAAAAGCCCTCACCAACTAGCCATCAGACTTGTCCGACTCATCACGCACCAAAGGCTTCGGTGCGTATGGCGACAGATTATCTAATGTGGCGACCCACCGACTAGTGGGTAACGTTGTGGAAGATGTGCGTCCGAATGGTCCCTGTTGGGTCCTCCACCATCGAACAAATGATGATGTTTAAACAGGTCCCAAATCTATTAGTTGTTAGTAGTTATCTCACGGCATACAGAGCAGTAAAAAGGAATGATTGTTCTTCATGTATCAAGTTTCTAACAATCTAAATGTCAACTTTCCACGTCCAACTCACCCCAAGGATGACCTCAGGCGCAACCTTAGTTCAGTGCTTGAGGATCAAGGCAAGTATGAAGAGGGTGAAGCCATGTATCGGCGAGCTCTAGTAGGCAGGGAGAAGGTACTAGAACTAGAGCATCCAGACCTCTCACGAGTGTCAGCTATCTTGACTCAGTACTTACACGTCAGGGCAAGTATAGAGAGCCTGAAGCCATGCATTGGCGAGCTCTGAAAGGTCGAAAAAAGTCCTAGGACCCGAGCACCCCAGCACTCTGACACGGCTGGATGTGCGATCATCTGCATATGATGACGCCGGAGTGAAACACCCTGTCAGCAGTCGCGCTAACGTGTCCATTTGCTGTTTTCGCGGCAATTGGTAGACGTCCTGTCTAGTGCAGAGGCCAAGATATGGGAAGGACAGAAAGCGTCGGATCTGTTGTCAAATGTCCGGGAACAGAAGGAATCACTGTGCAGCTAATCCTTTTCCCAAAAGTAGTGCAGTGTACTCCTCTTTATCACTTCAAGAATATAATACGATCGGGTATGCCAACACAAAGAGGTTGTGAGAAGTGGAAATAGACCCCCTCTCCGGCGGTAAGCCAAGGATGTGAATTTCTATTCTTACTTGTTCTTCTTATTTGAAAAGATTAAATCACTTCGGCTTGGATGGTGCGGTGTTTGGCCATGGATGTCTTTTTCTATGTCAAATACCCCGGGACCTGCCCATTATGACTAGCAGACCATGGCATAATGGAAACCTTTTTATCAATTAAAAGTTCTATATGTGAACAGTACCTTGTGAATCCTTATCGCCATCTTGTTGCATTTATCTATGTGAAGGAGGAGCTGTAGTCACCAGATATGGCTTGGCTGTCATTCTTGCTACCTCATCCGTATCAGAGATCGGATACTATAGCAATAGATCGAGGCCAGAGTGCAGAAATGGAGTATCAATGCTACCTGCCCCGATGTTTCATGCAAGGTTAATCTGCAACCCGAGGGTCGCGTTCATCACGGCATTTCCGTAGAAGAACTCCGTCCTAAGATCTGTCAGTGAATATAGCGACAACAAGGACAGCCATAAATACCCAGCATTGCCGACGTTGACATATGTCGACTCGGTAAACCTTCCCAGATCGGCCATAGCGAGCAGCCAGTCCTTCAGATCGCCAGAGAAAGAGCCTTCAAATTGCTTAGTAGGCATCAGGGTGCTGACTGTTATCCCCGTGTCGGTATTGATATCTTCGTACAGCGTCCACGAGGTCCCGAAGAGGTTGTCAATAGTGGCAGCTGGCCCATTGGTCCAGCCGATGGGCAGTTGGCCGCCTTCATACTGCAGCCATAGCATGAGCTCACGCGACGAAGATGAAGTCGAGTCACCTTTGACATCGTTGGTCATGAAGTCGAAGCAAATGTTTCCTACAGATGATCAGCTGAGACGCATTTACGCCGTAGTGATGTTATCGCACCCTTGAACTCAGTGGTGTTGGTACGCGTCCAGTTGTAGACGGCGGGGATGGAGCTGATGGCGGACAGTTTCGTCTCAAGATTCTGGGTCAGACCGACAAAGGAGTACCCTTTGGGGACATTATTCCTATAACATGGCCTTGTTAATCGCTGTATCAACACGGAGTTCAAATCCTTACGTGCTCGCGACGTAGTCGATGTCTGTCACGCTGCTCCATAGAACCTCCTTGGTGCCGCTGTCGCTGGTGGTCATCCCGTCGTAATTCGTACATTGCGTGCCAACCATCTGAGCGGCATTGTACAACATATTGTACACAATCCATGGTGAATTCTCGAGAATGATGTAATCATTGTCTCCGCAGAGATCGGTCGCGGACTGAGCCCGAGAGGATATATCGTTCAGTGCCAATGCCGTATGAGCCAACGGCAGGGCCGCTATGGCAAGACACTGTCTGAAGGGAATCATGTTGAAGTTGTAATGTTTTAAACCAGCAGAGTGAATTGTTTGAAAGGTGTCAAAATCTTATAAACCATGCATTTTGCCCCTTACGGAGAGAGGGCTAATCTACTTCTCACATCCAAGTGGGCCTGGGACGGATCACTGTAGGGAAGACGCAATCTGAAACAGTGGTCTGTCTCTAATGTACATTTTCACTCTACGACTAAAATTGTATCTATAGAAGCAATCTAAGAAACAGGACACAACTGCCCACTATTATTCCACGAGTAAGGCACTGGACCTCCCAATCCTCCATGCCAATAGCTGTCAGCGCAAGAAACAATCCCTATGAATTATATCACTGCTTAAGGCTATAGAGGTGGTTGTAGTTAGAGCTATAGAACACCTACTGCAAGTTTAGCTTGAGTAAGTCTTCCTTACTTATATAGGAGCCTAAATCAGAGGTAATATATGCAGGATATCCATCTATATCAGCATTAGGAGCGTCTTTAATAGTGAAATTAAAGGTTATCATTATTATTAGTAGCTTAGGGAATGCCCTGATGGTTAATAAGATAATAATACTAATAGTGCTGCTGCTATTACTATAAAGCATCCAGAAGATATCTAAAGTCTCTATAGGCATGGCCGTGATGAAATAGCATTAGTAAGGACCAAAGATCTAGGCTACTATAGTGGTCAATCCTTAGAACTGTCCATCGCTCTACTTGATGAGAAACCTACTCAGTGGAAGGACTTTGTCGCTAAGAACCGTGAGAAATGGTGAAGCTCGATTGTGTTTCGCTAGTTGGAAGTCCTTGTTGGTTCTGACAAATCTTCGCGGAGGATAACTTCGTAGACAACTGAAATGTCCAATGTTTGGCCTAGTATGGATACATCATGATTTGTGCACTCCCAATTAGTGGAACAGGTCTACTATGTACTCCAGTTGACCCCCGTAATTTTATTAGCACAGTGAGACCTGCCCCTATTCTGTAGATGTTATACGGTCGCCTTAATATATATTATCTTATTTGTTGTCTCTTTTTAGATCAAAGTAATGTACAAGAAAGAAGAGGGTTATCCTTCAGAGCAGCATCACCTGAGATAAATACGGCATGCTTCTGAAATATACTCGGTCGCTATATAGTCGCTATATAGTCAAAAGGAGCTGTGGATATAGGACTTACACCACTGGAAGCATTCCATCAAAGGCAAGTTATCCAAGACTATCGAATCAGATCACATTAGACAAATCGAAGCTACCATTCCAAATCAGCAGATCCTGCCACCGAGCACGCTACCCCTAAGCAAAAAGCGACATCTTCTGCGGTCGCCTGGCCGGCTGAATGCTGCCGCGCCGGCCAGATCTCCCTGTTTATCTTTCCCTCCTCGTCTCGGTGACTTCTGAGCAAGGTTCTGACAGTATTCTGGAAGAACAGTGGCGCACTCTCCAGGTCAGGGTGGAGTTGACCATTTACAAACACACCAGCATTCAGGTTCCTCTGTGCAGCGTTACAAAGGTGTTTGTCCTCGTCCAGGACTCTCTTGAAGAAGGAGTCAATGTATTCAAAGTCCTCATCCGAAGCTTCTATGTGTCGGTAGACCTCGTACTCCATGGAGCAAGATGTTGCAGATGTCGGGACGCATCGCATCATGTAGAAGAAATGAGGCCTAGGGTGAGTTGATGTCAACGAAGGAGGTTGCTGAGAATCCAAAAGTAAAAGAAAGAAGCAACTCACGAGACTGTCATGCAGGCATTGGGAAAGTAGTAAGTGCTGGCATTCTGTATGTCTTCATCCACCTTATCCGGCTTCGGTCGGGAGAAATGCTGAATATGCCCGGGTGTGGAAACGGTATAGTAATATGAAAGATCGGCCAGCTTCGCCACGTCAGGATGCGCAACAGTGCAATGATAGCATTCATTATAGTTATCCGCCAGTGTTTTCCAGTTATAGTCGCCGGCCATCTGCCATGTATGGTCAAACTTGTACTGGGTGAAATCGAACCTCTGGAATCGTTCTTGCCGGTCGACACCGTCGAAATCTTCTTCCCAGGGGACTGGATTCGGTGAAGAGTCAAGATTGACCCAAATGAAGCCCAGTGCATCAGTATGGACATGCACGGGGAACAAGCTCTGATTCTCTTTCTGGAATCCCGGGACGACATCAAACTTGGGAGCTTTGGCTAGCTTTCCATTGAGGCTGTACGACCACCCATGATATTTGCACGACAGAATCTTGACGTTGCCCTCGTGTTCGGAGATGAGGGGATATGCACGATGGCGGCAGATATTGTGAAAGCCGTTCAAGTTACCTTCTCGGTCAAGGCATAACACAAAGGAGAATCCAGCTTCCTCAAACCGAAGGAAGTCACCGGGTTTTGTGAAGCGCAACTTGTGGGTAACTAAGATCCATTTCTTGGAAAAAATAGCTCTTCGCTCCAACTGATATATCTCTGGGGAGTAGTACCACGAAGCTGGGAGGGCTTTGGGTGGCTCATCTGGGAGCTTTTTGTCTCTTGCAACGGAGGGTGTATACCCAAACCAAGACGCAACTGTAGCAGCCATGGTGATAGTCTGACGTTTTGCAGGCAATTCAATACTAAATGGTCTCTCATACTCAGTCATGACATAATATATATGTCTTCCACATGTCGTGCCGTGAATCCAGTCAAGGTCCCCGGTCACGCGGCCAAATAATGGAAACGGAATGGTAGCTCTGACTCGGCATTGAACCAACGGAGAGTGCGCCGTGTTCGCAAATCAGACTATCCGTCAACAAGGCATTGCATTCGATGGGACTACAGACTGATAGTGGTCATGGGTTCAGCTCATCCGTCGGCGTTGACTCCGGTCACGGGATCGGGGCTAGGAGTTAGGCTTCCCTGCATATCTTCTAGGAGAGAAGGTTAAGAGTTAGTGTGTATAAACGGTATGATGCATTGAAACCATCCTGCAGTACCCGTTGGCCTTCAAAGAATGCTTCCTGAGATAAGGGGGACATCTCGGTTGCAGATCGTTTAGATTCCTGGAGTACACTTCTCTACGACAATACACGATAGGCTCCAGCCTGCTTTTGAGCTCCAATCGAGCTGCGTAATTAGCTCTTGATCTCCCAAAAGGCCTGTGCGTGTTCGTCAGCTGCCGACCCTCCCCTTGGCTGGTGCAAAGTCCAAAGATGTTTGGAGCTACGGGGTCGTGCAGTGCTGGATCTATATGTACAGCTAGTGGATACTATTTTGGACAGTAACCCTGCGGAGAGCTCTCTGCTCGGGACTTGCTACGGCTCGAGCCTTCAGCGATTGAGCTTGCTAATGACCGTATAACACGGAGCCCTCCGATCAGGTGTACCTAAAAGTTAGTGTGTCACTTAAGCAGTTAAATTACTTGAAACCCACACGGCAGACTTTCCTTCAACAAAGACCCTACTGCCGTGTCCTGTTCACAGCCCACTACACCATGGGATCCATCAACGTGTCCGAGAATCCCTCAAAATTTATTCTGACAGCAGAGGCTCTGAACAATGCACTGCCCGGTTTTCACATGGCCACAAGAGCCATTCATGCCGATGACTTCGTCAGTCCTCACCGTGCCATTGCCCCTGGCATGCATACCGCGGTGAACTTCCGCTATGCACGCGATCCAGATGAGCTGGTGCCCGAGGAGAATAAGGATGTAAGAGCTTTGTCTATTTTCATCTGTTTTTCCACCCTAACGAGACCGGCAGCCAAATGCGCCTTTTGATTCCCACATATATTCCCGCTACACAGCACCCAATTCCAATCGCCTGGAGGTCTTGCTGCGCAGCCTCATAGGCGGTGAAGTAATCACGTACTCGACGGAACTCTCAGCTTTTCACGCCATGCTCATCCTCCTCAACCCAAAGCGGATCTTCATTGGAGACGGATACCATGGATGCCATAGTGTTGTGGACATTATCCACAGACTGACAGGCATCCAAAAACTGGATCTGACGCAGATCGATCAAGCCGGCCCGGGGGATATCATCCACGTCGAAATGCCACTCAACCCTACCGGCGAGGCGCGCAATCTAGCCTACTACCGTGCCAAAGCGAGCGAGAAGGGGGCCTACTTGACTGTGGACTCGACCTTTGCTCCGCCCCCGCTGCAGAACCCCTTGGAGTTTGGAACTGACATTGTGATGCACAGTGGAACGAAGTACGTGGGCGGCCATTCCGATATGCTTTGCGGGATCTTGGTTATCCACCCCAACCGAGTTAAGGAGGGATGGTTGAAAACGCTCCGTACGGATCACCAATACATGGTAGTGTCATGGGGAGCTTCGAGGGCTGGTTGGGGATCCGGTCTGCTCGCACCATGCAGCTCCGCGTGACGAGACAAGCTCAAACGGCAGAAAGGCTGGCTAGGTGGTTACATGAGCAGCTGCAGGACGAAACGTCTCCTATTGCAAAGGTTCTGAGCCATGTCCAACACGTTTCGCTCCAGGAAGATGACTTGAAGAACGGCTGGCTGCAGAAGCAGATGCCGGGAGGGTTTGGGCCTGTTTTTGCTGTTTGGACGAAGAACCCGGAGCATGCGCGCCGACTGCCCAGCAGAATGTTCATCTTTCAGCACGCAACTAGTCTTGGAGGGGTTGAAAGTCTGATGGAGTGGCGGGCGATGAGTGATGCGCGCTGCGACCACAGATTGTTACGGATCAGTTGCGGGATTGAAGAGTTTGATGATTTAAAGGCTGATTTTCTGCAAGGACTGCAGTCGCTATTGCGGGACTTTCCCTAAGATAGATTATCTCTATTCATCTGAATCGATTTGGTTGCTGTTATACGAACTATGTAGCTGAGAGACAAGCCAGACAAATAGATAGCCACTCGGTTCTTAAGATCTCCGTACTATTTACTTCAGACTTCCAGGACTAAAGAGCAGTTAACTCAACACCATAGCCCTTTGGCTCGCATTGGAAGTCATTTTGATATCCGATCAAGTGATCGGGGGGAGAGCGGGTAGCGGAGAACTGCCCGATCATCTGATCGTATCTATGACGGGGAACGGGTTCAACGCCCACTGCAAGTAACCAAGATCTGTACCCATTCACTTCCGCTGTGCATCTAATTCGTTTATTCCTATCATCGGTTACTTCATCTAATAATCAAAGAGGATTTAATCCATCTCTGCAGTAGCTGAGTCACGTGGACGGGCCGATATGCAGGCATTTGTGGTAAAGAGGGGATCATGTAGCCCATAAAGTCACGGCAAGTCACGATGCACAGGTGTCATTACTTATCTTCGTAACAGAGACACAAAAAATGGAACATTTTGACGTCGCAGTTGTCGGACTCGGCGTCCTTGGAAGCGGAGCGGCGTACTATGCTGCCAAAAAAGGCGCCAAAGTGATTGCATTCGAGCAGTTCGAGCTGGGCCATGTGCGCGGCGCTTCCCATGATACTTCGCGTATTGTACGCACCTCGAATTTTGCACCCGAATATGTGGCCCTGGCCAAATCAGCCTACAAGGACTGGGCCGAGCTTGAGAAGATTACCGGCTACGAGATGTTGACGACCACCGGCGGTGTGGTCTTCTTCGCTCCGGATTCACCGACATCAGCGAGCGACTTTGCAAGAAGTCTGGATACTCACAACGTTCCGTATGAGCTGCTCGACGCCCAGGAGGTGAAGAGGCGATGGCCTCAGTTCAATATTCCCCACAGCGTGTCTACAGTGTACACAGCCGACTCGGGTATCGCCCATGCTGCGAAGACCGTCAGCACCCTGCAGTCTCTGGCGCGTTCCCACGGCGCCATTCTGAAGGACAACACCCCAGTGGAACGCCTTACTCCCCAGGCCTCCGGCGGTGTCATAATCGAGACCCCCAAGGGACGATTCCACGCAGGCAAGGTGATCCTTGCAACAGACGCATGGATCAATAAACTCCTCGCTCCGCTTTGCGTACACATCCCCGTTTCCGTGATGCAGGAACAAGTAACATACTTCAAGCCCACCGACGCAGGTACATTCGAGCCAAACCGATTCCCCGTCTGGATCTGGCACGGGGCCAGCTGCTTCTACGGATTCCCGTGCTACGGCGAGCCGACGATCAAGGCTGGCCGAGATTATTCCAACAATCTCATGACGCCGGAGCAACGCACGTTTGTCCACTCGCCGCAACTGCTTGAGCAGCTGACCTCCTTTATGAATGGCTTCATCCCCGACAAGGATCGCCAACCGCTGCGCACGATTACTTGTCAGTATACGATCACGCCTGATCGACGTTTCATCATCAGCCCGTTGGAAAATTACCCCGATATCATTGTTGGCTTGGGTGCTGCCCATGCATTCAAGTTCGCCCCTGCTTTTGGTCGTGTGCTAGCGGAGCTGGCAGTCGATGGCCGGACGGATGAGGATATTTCGCAGTGGGGCATTCCGAAAAGCGCTACTCGAAACGGAAAGCTTTGAAGGAATACCTGAGTAATTACTGATTATCATGCTATCGCTTGGTTGAGGGAGGAATCAGCTACGCTGGAGCTCGATATTGCATTCCATTGTTTCAGACAAATAATTTTGAAGGCCTATTGCTTACATTGTTGAATCCCGCCTGGCTTGTTAGCCTGGGGCTGAAAGCTCAGCTGTATGGTTCGCTCAGGAAAGAATTAGGCTTATATAACTTATGGACTGATCATTTTTGGCACTAAGCCTCAGGAAATGTTATGCATCAATGATGAATCCACTTCAGAGCGCCCTGTACGTTACTAAATGGACAACTGGGTTGATCGCGACCAATCACTAGCAATCTTACGGTTTCATCCTTAGGCATGTATACGCAACAGTAGTAACCCCGAGCATTCTCTTCGGCAAGTAAAGAGACATATCCTATCCTAATGGGGACCAGCAGGTCATGTGTCTGTGTGGAGGGCCAGTTTTTATTCTGTTTGTAATCAGAGAAACCTTGATTCAGCCTCCAAGCCCTCAACCTCCTCCAGTGAAACCATTAACAACACAAAATCAAGCTTAAAAATGACAAAAGACCCCAACATCTCAGCTTGACGAGCACAACCTCCGCAAAAGGTGCCTTGAATCTCTACAGATTCTTCACTCTGGTGAGAATATCCTGCATCTTTCCATAATCACCCGCGTTGAGGTTGTTGTACAGAAGGCACGCAGAGCCACAGGGAGTCGGCACTGGACCACCGGCCGGTTCGCCGTCGATGACGGTTCCAAGAACCATGTAGACAGAAGGCAGGCCGTGAATTCGAGCACCTGAGAAGGGTCAACTAGATTCAAAGTTGGTGTTATTGTTATTGCTATCCGCTCACCATTGTTCTCAACAGGACCGGTAATCGTAATCGTGACGGCTGGGTTCATCAAGGCCCCAACGCACATGTCGAAGTTGTACTGAGGCACTCCAGGGGGGTGCTGGGGCGGCAACGATGGCGTCACACTCGTCGAACCTGTTGCCGAAATGCCTGGCAAGTTTGGCACCAGTAAAACTGGTTGCAGCGGAACCGACTTGGGCGACGGTCATGGCAATTGCGTCACCATAAGAGGAATGGCAACGAACGGGCACTGGACCTGCCGGCCCACCAGGTAGATGGCTGCGGCGCCGCCGATGGCCTTGAGGGACAAGGGAGACATAAGTTTGAATGGAAGAGCTTGAGATTTAGTTTGGGAATTCGTTGTGAGTTTTGCGTCTTGTTGTGATGACGAGAGGAGAAGAAGCAGACAGAGGTGAGGGTAGACAGGTGCTTTGATATCCATTTCAGAGAAACCTACAACAGGGCCATACGTTTTATATACCGCATAGTCTTCTGATCAAGGAATGCTCATAGTCCAACCAGAGCATGAAGCTGATAGTGTCAATGTTGGTGCTCATGAGTATAGCAGCTGAAGCATGAGCTGACAGATTCTGAAGCAGGTACTCGATAGGAGCCAAGTAAGGCATTGCCCTAAAGAGGTTGCTGTATGATCCTATGTAAAGGTCTAGATCGGAAATGGTGTTGGTTCTTGCTCGCTCTTTGTTAGCGTAGGTCTACTGTCTTACAGCGTCCCCGATATAACTAAACTAACTCTACTGCTGAATCGCGCCATGATCCAACACGTTCCTCCTGCGGGATGCCCAGACGTGCATATACTTTAATCATTGCAAAGGGGGATAGACATATATGGATTAACAGCCCCATACCCTAGCTCAAGGAACGCAGGATGTCTTAAACTGCGGAGTGATACGCTAATCGCAGCAGGCGAGCGTGTTGGAATGAGCTCCTGTGGGAAAAGCGGCTCGGGAAGCTGAAAGACGCATAATTGATCCATAGAACAATACTGTTATGATAACGCCTACTGTGTGGTTTTTCTGTAAAAGGTCCGTTCGAGATAAGCGCTTCCCGGGATCGCTCAGTGAACCCTTCAGGATCGATTGGTAGTCGATGATTCTCTCAATTGTGCCCGTCACATCTGCCTTACACTAATGCGGCTGTGTTGGTGTCGTAACAACTAGCAGGTCGCGCAGCTTAGGCGGATCCTAGGGTTTGACACTAGGCTGAATGCTTCCTGCAAACAGCATGGGCAATCTAATATACTATAGGGTGGCAATGCAGAAGAGGATGTATTACGGGTCAGCCTACCTCTCTAAAGGACCAGACCCCTTTAACCTAAAGAAGTTAATCAAAATCCTAATGAAGGGGAACCACATTTGGTCATATCCTACGTTGTGACCCAGCGGGGTATTGCGACGTGGCAAACATCTCTATAGTAGCGAGAGACGGCCAGCTCTGGAACATCCAGTATGGAACGGTCTAGCTTCCTCCTAGCATGCAAATTATTGGTCTGTCCAGTACTAATGATGTAACAATTCATCCTGTTGCTCCACTGTCTGAATTCTAGCTATGGGCTTTATCAATGCGCTAATTGTATCTACATTGGTATTGATGGCTTGATGACGCTTGGGAATAGATCCTGTTGAATCGTAAGATAGGAAGGATACGTATTAGCTAAATGGCGATATTAGACTTCCGGCTATTTGGAATTACATCCTAATGATAATCCGATTCTATGGGCCTGGCGGCTGGGGACGTCCGAGCCAAGGATTGGGGCGTCCTGGGGGCGGCAGAACCTTGATTTGCATCTACTTGGCGAGCGCCCGGGCCCCGGGGCTCACAGCCACACCCGCCGAACAGCTCCACTGAAGAATGAGATTAGGTATTGCCAGCTTGGCCTAATCTACTCATGTTTCGCAGTCTCCCTGTTTCAGTGTCTCAGTAAATCCTCATACGAGGAGCGATAAAAACAAGAAAAAGAAAAAGGAAAAGGGAAAATGCCTCATACAATTTACTTTATACCTATAGACTGTTAAGGCAGGTCACAGGTGGCCTGCCATTATGCAGGATGCGACGATAACGGAACAGGTACGGGCGGGGCCAAAACAACCGCTGATGTAACTAAAGTTATCGAGGCAGCCTGGTGGGGCCCTGAGCCCCAGGGCCCCATTCTTGACCACGAGCGGTCTATCCCCCGTCCACTCAATGAGTCTAAGAGAACTTGAAACTACAGACCATACCTACCACTTACAACTCTCCATATCTATTGCTGGACATACATTGCACATTTATCGTCGAACAATCACATACCGGGTTGTTAACAATGGATTCGGACTCTGACTCATACGAGAAACCTGGCGGAAAACTCGTTGAGCCCGCCGTCCTCTTCTTATCAGGTCAATCTGTCCTCACTGAGGCTGCAACTCCAACCCCGCTTTACCAACTGAACAGTGACATCACGTCAATCTCAAATAAGGACTCGTCCGTGACACTCGAAAGAGTCGAGCACGATGTATCTGAGATCGATGGCGTCACTGCTGGCACGCGGCAAAAGCGGCATCTTTTCTACCTCGCACACCCTGTGAATGCGCAATACCGGTCCGACATACCTGCTAAGTATTACATCACTTCTGCAGCACCCGAGATGGTGGGCAATATTCGCCTCGAGACATCCGAAGCACGGTTGCAAAGGACATCCTTCAAAGCGATGTTAAGCCCCCACAAAACCGCTTCGGATAAGCCATTGTTCGACGAGGGCACCCAACAAGTCCTATTGTTTGATATCTACTCAGATTGGAAGGTCGGTCGCAATTGCTATAAGTGGAGCGACTCCAATGGCAGACAGGTCGCTATTGAAGAAAAAGAGAATGACAGATATAAATTATCCATTACGAGGAGTATGCCGCAGGAGTTGAGGGATGCATTGGTTGCTGCATGGCTATTGAGACTGTGGCACGACACGGCTGAGAGTAAACAAGCGAAAAGGCAATGTGAGTTATATCGAATCTTCGCGGCAGTTACTAGGGCCCTGTCTTTTGGCTTGGCTAACTTTTCTTTCCAGTCTTTGAAAGCATGACATCACCAGAAGCGTATCGGGAAAGCATGAAGCCATATGTTCCGAGGCAGTGCATAATCATGTGAGATTAGTTAGGTAGTAACCGTGACTGCGACTACATATTCAGCTCCTTTAGAAGCTTGGAACTCCTATAGCTGCTCATCTGTCTACGACGGGGACGTCAGCTTATGTAGGGTCTTGCCGCTAGCTTATGCATTCGATGTACTGTTACATTAGTATTTGTGCACCGAAACGGTATTTATTGATTGTTCCTGTGCTATTTGCCTCGTTCTTCTTAGTTTCATACTTATTATTGTACTTGCGAGACAGTCGCTGTTGATGGCACTGTCTCGCTCACGCGGCCATGTTACCATTCAAGAACCGCCTCACCCGCTATGGCCAAAAAAACTCTTACACATGCCAGATACATAAAGTAGAGCGCTCTTCGGCCTGATAATAAGAGCCCCATTTTCCGATCTAGACCCTTATGCAGGTCATAATGCGATTTGGGGCAATGCATTGCTTGGCCCATTAGACACCTGCTTCAACCCACGGCCACGACATCCACGGAGGCATAGATACGTCAGGGCCAAAGGCCAGACGAGTGTTGTTGCGGGGATGCGGATAGAATTGCCTTGGACAATGTTCCACCGGATGATTTTCTCAAGGCTTTCTATCTGATGAATCATCAGTGCCAACAAAGGTTGCCGTGTGCATCTGGCCTAAGGAACAGCAATCTACATGTCGCGCAGACGTTAGACAAGACCAATCAATGATCTGACTCGATACTTATCTCCTTGGCCCACTGAACACATTAATATCGTGCAGCTGGAGTGGCGCAGTTACTACAAACTACGTCATGGAAAGCCAGTAGATACTCTGTCTCATAATGTCTATGAGCCAGAGTCAATAAAATTGTCCAGTATCCTGGATTTCTCTTCTCAACTTGAAATGTAATGAGTATGAAAGTCATCATTGCCCTTACCGCAAAATGCATGACAAGGGTACCTATGATCCCGGGCGCCTGAAACAAGACTATCAGCCTGATCTTCCTAAAGTGTTGATAAACACTCAGATCTACAAGCCGTGAACCAAATCTCTTCAACTCCGTGTCCCTCCACTGGTCCTACTTCTCCTTGAATCACGATATGTGTCTTCGCTCCTCTGTCATGTCTGCTTTGGAAAGTGCTTGTCGCACTGAAATAAGGAAGACCAAAAGTCGGAAAGATAGGGAGGGGAACAGGACTTAGGAACATCCTAACCCGAGCGGGGATATCGTGGTGTTGTAGTAGAGAAAAAATTTCAAAAAATGGACTCGCGGGGAATCGAACCCCGGACCACCCCCATGCTAAGGGGGTATTATACCACTAAACCACAAGCCCAGTTGTTGAAATACGATTGGCGTTCTTTGCTACATAAGCTAGCTAATTATATAAGTCTCACCCGATGTTCGTCCATATAGGCTCTGTATAAAAAAGAAAGAGATAATAGGAAAAGTTTGCAACATATTTAAATGGTGTTATCCTGCCAACAGGTGATGTAAGAAATGTATCACCGGACTAAGCGAAGCTAACAGTGCTCTGCACACAGGCAACCATCAAAATATATTGTCTATCCTAGTTTTGGATAGTGCTTGAGAATTTCAGTGCTGTAGCACCATCAAGCCCAGCAGCATCTGCACCATAATCAAGAAGAAGACGAGTCATAGCCACCAATTTATCTCTAACAACTTGCGGATATGGAACCACTAGGTGGCTGGGGTTCCGAGGGCTTGGGTACCGCCCAGTGCTCTGTCCCAACCAGATGGCTTCACTTGGCTTCGCAGCCCGCGAGAGGGGTCCTATGCCATTGCAATCTGCCATCTTCGGATCGGCGCCAGCTTGAAGGAGAATCTTGGCCATGGAGTAATGATCATTGATCACTGCGCTATCTAGCGAGGTTGTGCCATCCCACCGGAAATTCACATCAGCACCTTCCGCCAACAGCAAGTGAATTAGCTCGTCGTTGCCATGGTGGGCAGCGACCCAGAGTGCGTTCCCGAGCTCCTGAAGCCGCTGAGCAGCGTCGAGAAGTTGTCGACGTTCAGCATCCCTCAGCAGGAGCTTAATAACGTCTGGATAGCCACGACGCACCGCGGCAACCAGAGCTGGGTCCATTCTACGGGTCTTCCAGGGTTCACCCCTCTCTGCAGAAAAAATTGTAATATCGCGATATGACCGTGCCATATGGCCCGATTCAGCGGCAACTCGTAATCTTCCTCCTTTATCCTCTCACTCATGCCACCTAGGTCCAAAAGGAGCTCGACAATGTGTAAGTGACCGTACCATATGGCAGTTATGAGCGGATGGTGAGTAAGTGTGTGTTTTTGCTCTGGACATCATCTCGAGGGTGCATAAAGATCAACCCCTGCGTCCAGTAGGCTGATGAGGGTAGATGCATACCCTCCCTGGGCTGCCCAAAACTACGCAAGGGGAGTTAGAGACGCTCCACAACCTATATCCATTCAAGAAGCCTTGCAACGTTACGTGAGTCAATAAAGGACCTCGGCAATGAGGGAAATTGCAGGGTAGTATCCCAGAAAATTAGGCAGTCTTACTGCAACTGCAGTCAGGGGCTAGCAAATAGCGCGGCCATTACTGGTTATAAATAGTCTACATAAGGTTTGTGGCGCTATAGCATAGCCCTGTCAAGCCTTTGGGATGTGAGACAACAAGCCTATGCGGCCACCTGCTGACTCGCTGAGATGCACTTGATTGAGCAATCATCCATAACTATCCATACAGTCGGCCAGAGATAGGTTTGGCAAAAGGTAAGATTGGATGTATTTCCCAAACCACTGTGGATTGCTACGCCGGCACATAGAGGGCGGTTCCAATTATGCACAGATCATTCTCTCTAGCAGGATGACAAGCGTATGATGTGCTTTCAGGCGCTAAATTCGACTCTGTATTGATGGCTATACTTTTCGACAACTAATCCCATGCAGGTGGCCTAAAACTGATTCCTGCAAGTTACGATCGGACCTAACGAGATCAGACAGAAGCCAGTCAGTTAGCGGATGGCGATCATTGCCAATGCGGACTTACCATGGGCGATTTCGCTGCAAGGCTAAATTCCCAGGGCACCTATGCACGGCAGTGATAGAGAACATCGTCCATTCTCTGGGCCATCCTGTCCGCTCATATCTAGTCCTCAAGTTCAGGCTCCTATGTATAGTATACAGTATACTACCCGGATGACCCAGACTGGACCCGCGTATGCACTGACCAAGTGTGGGTTATTGCACAGCCTAGCCTGATGGAGATGGGCAAGATGTATTCCACTCCCGCCCAAGAGAATCTGTTTCTATTATGAATGACTGCATATCCACCTACCTTACGGCCAATTTCATACATTACATTAAGCTGTCAGTTTCTGAAATCTTTGCTGCCTTTCAGGGATTTCGTCCCTCTAATGTACCTCTATATCTTCATCTTCGCAGATCAGCGTGCAAGCCTAGTTATGGCGATTGACGCAGTAAGCAGATGTTGATCAAGGCAGCAACGCCTGAACAATTCTACAAATTTGTTATCTATGACTATCTGAGACCCCACAGACTAGGGCCAGCCTGCACCGGTTGAGGAGATAAACTTCGAAGAAAAGACAAGAAAATGATAGAGAAAATTAGGGCTTCGGATCTATATCGCAAAGACCGACGCTTTCCAGAGATTGTAGGAAAGCGCTAATATCTCCGGGATAGTTGTACCCGAACACGACCATTACAATCCACATCAAGGCTGCATCAAACACATACAACGTCCACTCGTGTTTCAATAGGTAACCATCGTTTCCCATAACGAATTCAGCCACGCGGAACACTGACCGAATCATGATGAGGAGACCCACAACGTGCAGGGTACGCAAGTGAGACTTCCAGGGGATATCAACAGAGGTGGACAGGCCTCTTGGGTGTCGCCGCATCCGAGTCTGGAAGACGATCGCTGTGATAAGGAAAAAGCCGAACATGATAACCTGAATGAGAAGACCACCGACGACAATCTTGTTCCCTAGATCGGCCAGAGAGCTTTGCACCATCATCCCAGAAGCTCCTCCTTGCACCACGAAAGACAACACATCTCCGGTAACAAACACCTTTGTGAGCCAGTTGATGCGGATAAGCGAGTATTGCTCTCCTCTGACTGCGCGAATGATACGACCCAGGACCATGTAGATTGTTGCGGCAAAAAGCGCAGGTCCCAGTAAGATGAATACGCTTTGGATGCAGTACGGCATCATTCGGCCGGTCTTGTCGTGGGCGGATGCTCGCGCGCAGTAACCAACGAATTCAACTGAGAGAGTTAGATTAGGATCGAGCGACTAGGATAACATAAGCATAACTGATAATACTTACAGAAACCTCCGAGGGCGAAACAAATGCAGAAGTAGGTCTTCATTCTCCATATCTTCCAGACGTGGTAGAGAGTAGCGGCCAAGAAGAGAAGGGCAAATATTACTGCAGCGGCCTTAGAGGGAACGTAATGCCAAAGGTAGTAGCCTTTATATGATTGCAGTTCAGTCATTGTATCTCTCTGAACTGGGTTCTTGATAGGTTGAGTACTGCTCCTTCGGAGGCTATACGCCAGTGAATTGTATGGGTGATCGAAGACAATGCAGTCAAGAAGGGTGTAACTTCATAAATATGGCTGGCAAAGAGCTTAACTAGGTTTTATACTGAAGAGTAAGTCGTTCTGCCGTGAGAGATGATTTCATCCATCTTGTACTAGCTCCGTGATATGCCCGCTTATACGCGTATTCTGTCCCAAGGTAGGCAGCAGTGGGACTCTGGCGACCTCATATAGAATATGAGTACTGAGTCCTTCTTGACGCTGCATGTGGAGATCGTCGTCTTGTATTTACCGTCTGCGGAACTAGCCTATTGTTCTCAGGCAATCTTTCAATCATCGATGGAGTTGAAGTAACTCGATTAGCAGCAAATCAAATTATGTACCCGACACCGAGCGGCCACCAGAACATGACTTGGGCCTCAATCGAAGGATTATATTTCACACTGACGCAACTGAATCCAAGCACTACCCATACATAATAACATAGTTGTGCGCTAGGGCAGCTGGTTTTCATATGCTTATCTGATGGCAGTTATTGCACAGTTGTGCGTGCTCATTATCTTATTGTTGAAGTACAAATAGCCTCTGTGCCTGGAAAAGGTTCTAAATGATACACACCTATGCTTAACGTTCTCCTTTTTCTTTTGCCATGCGTAATGAGGGCCAGAATCAGACACATCATGGTAATCAACAGCTAGACTTCGTCCTCCCTTGTGTGAGCAAAGTTTGTGCCAGAATACTTGCATTTAATGAAGGCAGATGAAGACAGTTCGAGAATGCATGCTTAAGTTCATCTACCCAGCCCTAGTCTCAAAACCAGATATCCAAACCTGGTACTGCGCCGCAAGTATCTTGACTCTGCCATCGGGATTGGTCAAAAATCTGTCCCTATGAAGACTGTGAATCTGAAATAGTTAATTCGCGCCTAGAGTTGGACGGTTAATCGTCCGAATTTTCGTTCTCGATTTTTGCTGCCTGAGAAGTTGGGGCCGGATATAATAACCCCATTCTCGCAAGTGTTGCTCTTAGTTGCCACCAATGTCACTTGTCCGCCTGTTCTACCCATTGTGTCTTCAAAGTAAGCCAATCCTCAATTGAGTAATTTGCTATCTCATTTACGATCTGGAGCAGAAATTCCATGCTGGAATGCTGACTCTTTGTTGTCAGCCCTCTTGGTGATTTCCTAGACACCCCAACCGGCACCGCTTCCGTCAAAGCAGGAACTGGAGACACAGGTGTCATGCCTGCTGGGACTAATGTTACGGATGAAAGCAGGCAGTCCCAACTGTACCCCATGGTCTGTGGTAAGTCTCGACATAATCTCCTTTCGTGCTACGTACTAAGAATTTATGAATACTAGCTTCTGAATCCCACAAGGACTCGTGACCCTGGCTACATATACACCGCTCCGCCGCTGCTACCAACTGCCCCGGGCACGATTCTGGGATGCTACCTGTACAAAAACCCCGGCAAGTATACCGAGCTCTGCCGTCATTTTGCCAACCAATACAGGATCTCAACCGACCAACTATTCGCCTGCAACCCGAGCCGCGATAGAAACATCAGCACTTGTACTTTGTCATCGCAACAGTTACTGCGTTCTGCAGTACGAAAATAGTACAGGTGAGCTTTGAACAAAGGAGCTTGGACCATGAGACACCATGTCTAATAGATATAGCACCCTCGGACGATATCACGACCTACTGTTATCCGGGAATGAACGCCGGAACAGCCTCGAACTGCAACTGTTTCAGCTATGTCATGTTAGATGACGCTTATAAGGTAGGCCGTCCGCGCACTACCCAATCTTGTTGACCTGCCAAAGTGTATGGTTAGTACATTGGACTTCGTTGCTCATACCTTCTGGACAGAATTTGGATGTGATGATTTTGCCTCAGCCTACGAGATTACTATATCTGAGCTCCTTGCATGGAACTCTTGGCTTATGGGGAATTGTGGTACAGCGCTTTATGCCAATCTAGAGGAGAGCGCAACCCGCGCCGTTTGCATCGGGACGAGCACCGCTAGCCTTGAACCAACCACCCTGCCCGAAACCACAGCCCACACTACAGCCTATAGAGCCAAATATGATTGAGTTTGAAGATATGTTTGGCTTCAGCTGCTATGTTTGGGACGTTCTTCCAGAGGTATCGATACTGATCAAAGCCGATACACTAGCGTGCTTGAACAATCCTAGTGCCACAATACTCCAATAGCATAGTCTCATTCCAGAGCCATACTGTCAAGAGGTAGACTGGACATCGGTACTCTCAGAGCGACCTCACCTCGCAGACACCACCTTCGAATTCTTTGTATCATCCCTCTTCCCCACTTTCGTAACGCCAACCTGAATTGAAGAATACCAGGTCTATACCGTTTTTATCCTCCGTCTATCGTACCGCCGTCGTGTCTGGATTGGGCCCTGGCCATCAATTGACCATCTCCACGCTTCGTCACTGAGACATTGTCCTCTGACTCATGCGGTTCAGCACTCGAATATGTTCCTCCTTCAGCGCCTTGAACTCGGCATCTAACTGATTATGCCACGGATAGAGAACGAAGACCTGGAACGCGAGCGCCGAGGAGGCGACTGCGAAGTTGACAAGGGAGATTCCGCGTGTGATGATCATGTTTTGCTAACTGGTGATCAGACTTGAGTCGAACAGATGGGAGGATATCTGGCATATGTGAGATACTTACACGAGGACGAGGTCACATAAACCGATAAGCTTCATAATGGTAGGTATGGGTCGATGAATAGGAAGAGGAAGGCAGTGTCTTTATAATCCGGGTCAATGGGACATCCGGGTCCGCCCCTTTCACGTGTGGATGTCCTGTCCCCACTGTTTGTGGGTAAATTTGGTGGCTTTGAGGATGCCTGCCACAGCCCGACGGTTAGTACTTATCCGAGGCGAAAAAGCAGGCCGACATTTTTCGTGGCTCTACTTGAGAGTTACTCGTGGTAAACAGGCTGCTAACTATTTTGTCCTTTGGTTCTTGGACTTGTTTTCAAAGAACGTAACATCGACCACGCTCCTCACCTGTTTAAACGGTGTAAATATGCTCATTGTATTTACTGCCCGCTCTGTTAGTTCCAGAATAACTACCTGTGACGGCCAGGGATGTTGTGAAAGCCTTCAAGATGGTGGAGCCCGGAGATGGTTCGTATCTGTCGGATCCGACAGCTGAAGGTCTATGATTGGTCAACCGGAGCGTCTTCAGTACAGTGGGGGTTCAAAAGTATTCGGACCCCCCATTTTCCCGCTGTAATCACCGCTTTCCATTTCTAACTATCCTGCCCACCCATGGGTGCATACACAACACAATTTGAATGTAATCCAACATCCATCCAGATGCGTAATCTAAGGAGCATATACCTACTATTAATGCTCAGATCTATGAGCGGCATGATATTAAAAGGGAGAGCCAACGAAATACAAGTTTCTATAGGGGCAGAATAGACCAAAATGGAAAGCGGTGTCCAAATACTTTTGAACCCCCACTGTAGGTACTCGGCGCCTGCCATGTCAGAGAACGGAAATGCCCATAGTTTTGTTTTTTTGAGATGTTTAATTATTGGATTCTCCGGCTCATAGGGAGACAGTGTTTGATTTAAGGCCTTCCTAATCACCAAAACGTGCGGTGTCTGGATTTAGGGAAGGATGCCATTCTATCGTATATTGACCGCGCCTTAAAGATATATATATATCCCTGACAAGCAATAATGCACCCCAAAGCTCATTGATATATTTCCGAAACTCCTTCAAGTTTATGCAAAGAATTCCGACCCGGAAGGTATCCTCTTTGCTTTGATATTATAAGGGTTAGGAGACCTTCTGATCAGTTATGACTTTAAACAGGTTGACGGAGCATTGATATTAGAACTTGACGAAACCATCAATCGCTACAACACGGCCCTTCGAGGGCAGCTAGGTTATCCAAAAAAGTCAACCATCGAGCACTAACTTGTCATCTTTCGGATATCGTTCTCTAGAACACTTACGCTCATATCGTGGGAAAATGAGCTGCATAGATGAGGGCCGATTGAATCTTGACTTCCTAGATGAGGCAATTGTCCTGAAAGTCTTCATCACATAAGGATCCGCAAAGCTGAAGACCCCGAACAATGTTGAGCAAGGATTTGGGCAATTTCATCTTTCAACCGCTTCGTATTATTCGGACTCGAACTTACTTGCTTATGCTATGCGACGCTGTGATAGGACGCAGCTGAAGAAAGCAAACCCCAGTTCAATCCAAGCGTCTCCAGCGACGATCATTTTCTCTCCAGGTAGGCAAGTTAGGACATTGTTAACATCTCAACTGCACCATAAACATATAGATAGAATACCACAATTGCCTTTCTGTTTGATTAGGAATGGGATACGCAAGACGTCAATGTCGTCACATTGCTTCATATTCATGAATGTAACTTACGGAAAAGGGTCCAAGTATTCATTAATCTTTGCGCTAATGCATGGGAAAAGTTTGCCAAGTGAACAACCACGATCATCCCTGCATGCCTCAATGAAGTATCCATGTAAATCAAGCCTGGATCAAATACTGGTTCTAAGGTCCTGGACATGAGGTGGTGCAGCCTTACGTCGACCAGCCGTATTCAAAACTGGACCGCATATATCACCATTTTGCAGCACGAATTTGTCCGTAGTTTACAACCAATAGTTAGTTAATGAGCTCTGTCTCTTCAGAACAGCATGTGACCTCGACAGAGACGCACTTCGGATCACACACCTCTTGTACACCTGCATTGAAGCGGAGGAGAAATGGCCGCATTGTAGGCTGTGTGGATAGAAATTGTAATGTTGAGTTTGAGTTTGGGACAACAGATTATGAACCTAGGTTATTCTACATGCAGCCAGCCTTTTGCTGGGCCTAGATATCAATAGCCTCCACCTATCTACTTGTTGTTGAAAGGTCAGTCCACCCAGCATCGAGTCGACAAATCAACATTCAGAAGACACATTCATCTCGTCAGGAATTAATCAATTGACATTAGCTCATTGATACCTTGATCTGGCTTCAGCGTCATCTACATGTAGACTGCTGAGGAACAGCCATGTGTCACATGTGCAGGCAGCCGAATCCCGTCGCCGTGTGGTTCAGTCTTCTACAAACGCGTCCAGAAGATTCAGCCAAAGCTGATTGCAGAAATGTTGAGCATTCTACCATTTCGGACAACCTCCGACCTATTTACTACTTATTTTGATAACTATTCTGGGGACAATCAACCTACAGGCATTACTTGATATGGTGGCAGGCCATAGAATCAAAACTAGCAGCACCAACAAAGAACTGGGGGGTATTTCATCGCAATGGGTAAGAGAAAGGAACGCAGGGATAGGTTTTCTAGAATAATAGGAAATTATTGACAAGCAAGGGAGATTGGTCGGCTTGATCGTCCGTTAAGAAATCGTGTATGACATGTCAAGCTTAACTTCATTAGCATGTAAGCCTTAACTTCTGACAGTTTTGCAAGAAAAGGACTTGCTTGGACATTCAGCTTTTGGAAACTGCGAGATTCGTCGATTAACTGAACAGACAAAGAAATTTCATGTAAGCTTAGCAAACATTGACTGAGCAATATGGCGTTGTATCCGGATAGATACGTGGACGGAATAGGATGGGAAGTATGATGTATCACATTCGACAAATGATTGATCCACCCACGGCATTTGAACCTTGCTTCAACCTTATCGGAGAAGGCTCAGGCCTCCTTGATTTGTTCAGACAAGGCTGTGAGGTCCAGCAAGGGCAAGCCGGTAGAAAGAAGTAAATTGCAGATTGACAGGGATTTCGATCCACTTTCGGGCAAACACACCAACACTTGCATCATTTAGTACCTGTCAACCATGACACGCATCGATAAAGAACCGCTTACTATTTATGCTTTGCGCTCAGTCGTTCGATTCTCGTAGTGATCAGCATCAGATCATTCCCCCAAGTTATTGCCAGAGTTTCTAACCCCTCCAGATTGTGAAAACGGCGCAATTCTGGTGCCAGATCGGCCACCCGCAAACTCGGCGGACAGGTCTATGGGACAAAGATGATGCTAGCGTGTCAATAATGTGATGTGTGAGCGACCGAATATTGAAACTTTCGGGCCCTGCAAAGCTTGATAGAGAAAGAGGAAGAATGTGACCGATCTGGCAGCGATGACTGCCGAGTATCTATCGGTCCTGGGAAACATTTAATATGCAGCACCGTTGCCATCGTCGAGATGGCTCTGGTGATTTCAAATAATTGCAGCCACCTTGCTCGTTCTTCAACGGTTGATTCAGTCTGACCCTCGTTTCTTGACGTTTTTGCAGAACCTTCGGACAGACTGCCCGCCATGTCACTCGATCAGGTGTCCGGCAATGGCACTCCAGGCGACTTTCAACATCCAAACCAGAATCTGCGTCGGTCTATTATCATTGCGCTGTACTTTGCCTTCATCTTGTCCACGGCTGCTGTTGTCTTGCGCCTAGTGGCGAGAAAGATCAATGGGACGAGATTGTACCTCGATGATTATCTGATTCTCGTGGCCTTGGTATTATCGTTTATCCTAGAAATTGTCACCACATGCTGATTATCGCCAAGTTGTTCAAATATGGATGCTCAATAGGGGTGACCATTCGTGAGTTGTCCGCGCTCTTCTGCGAGCTCAACTACTGACAATTGCAGTCCTGTTCAATGGCTTAGGCTCGCATATAGACATGATTCCTGAGAAGAACCTGGAAGTGTACTATCAGGTAAGTACGCGAGTCGAATTTGAACAAGGACAAGTGCTGACATGACCGGGCAGATCGGATGGTCCAACTCCTTCGTGTACACCGGATGTATCCTCTTCATCAAGCTCTCGATTCTCGCCTTATACAAACGGCTCTTCTCCGTTCCTCGCATGATAATCTTCGCCAATGCTATCGCGGCTTTTGTCATCCTCTGGGCTCTAGGTATATTTCTGGTCGGTGCCTTGATGTGCTTGCCGGTCGAGAAGTTCTGGAAGCCTTCGATCGAGGGATCGTGCATCGACTCGAACAGTTTCTATTACGGACAGCAGATTCCAAATATTTTGACGGACCTGATCATTCTCATTATGCCATTGAAGGTTGTTTGGGCTCTACCAATCTCAAAGACGCAGAGACTTTTGCTTTCCGGAGTGTTCATGGTTGGCGGACTGTAAGTGGCGTGTCCAGCCATATTGTGCCGCGGTCACTAACCGCACACCAGGACATTGATTTTCGATATTGTACGATTGGTCGCTATGATCGAGTTCACGAAAGCTGGGCCCGATATCACCTGTGAGTAGTAATCTGCCCGCTGTCTTGCTCTTACATCTAACCATTCGTTCCGCAGACAACCAAATTCCTGTTGTTGTCTGGACGTGCATTGAAGCGGCAGTAGGCATCACAGCGGCGTGTCTTCCCAACCTGAAGCCTCTATTCAAAGTTGCCCACCGTCAATTCTGGTCTCGGATCGGATCGCCGTCCAAGGAGGAGAAATCCAGAAGATCCCACGGGCTGTCCGAATCCACCACTCTTTACGCTTATGCCACGCAGACTCAGTACAGTCATCACACTGAATGCACTAAAGCATAGTCTTTAGTGTTCCTGTCTTTGTCCATTTTCGTCTTTCCATCACGGTTTATTTCATTGCCGAGAAAAGCCATACTCGCCTTTCGTTCACTCCCCTTCTCTTCATTGATATATACTTTCCCAATCATCATGTACAAACTATACCAAGTGGCTGTTTGATAAATACAGTTGAATTTCAAATATTATACACATAAAAACAAAGGAATGCTTATCAATTCGAAGGGTGGGTGGCCCACGGCAGGATACCCGGCATGCCAATATCAACTCCAAACAAGCACTTTAAACAGTACCCGAGAATCCCCCCCTCTACTTTTTGCTTGAATGAGTTGTGCTGATATAGCTCTATCACCCTTCGTCATATTATGACCTACTCATGAAAACATGCATATCAGTCCTATCCATGTTCCAAGGCCTACGTCATCCCGATGTCACCTCCGGCCCTTCCTATATCGTCCTATATATGCCAGAGGACAACAGCAATTTTGACCTTCCTCCATCTCTATCAATATTGCAAGTAAAACAAACCCAGAATCGAATCACCATGACCGGAAAAAAGATCCTCATCATCCTCACCGACGCCAAATCCTTCCCCCTGAAGAAAACCTCCGGCCCCGACGCCGGCAAAACAGTCGAACAACCATCCGGCTTCTTCCTCATGGAGCTCGCCAAACCTCTCGAGAAAATCCTCGCCGCCGGCTACGAAGTAACCTTCGCCTCACCCAAGGGCCTCGAACCCGCTCCGGACCCGCTCAGCGAATCCCTCCCCGCCTTCGCAGGCAACTTCTACGAACGCCGGCGCGAGAACGACCTCATCGACCGCATGAAGCGCGAGAACGGGTTTAGTCGCCCCAGACCGCTCGGCACCATTAGCGACGCGGAGCTGGATTCCTTCGCGGGGGTGTTCATCCCCGGGGGCCATGCGCCGCTGTCGGATTTAGGTGGCGATAAGGAGGTGGGTCGGGTGCTGCGGCATTTCCACGCGAAGAAAAAGCCCACCGCGTCGATTTGTCATGGTCCGATTGCGTTTCTGAGTACGAAGCAGGCGGGGGATGGGTCGTTTATCTACAAGGGGTATAAGATCACGTGCTGGAGCGATGCGGAGGAGAAGGTCATGGAGACTATGTTGGGTGGGGAGGTCAAGAAGGTGGAGTCATCTCTGCGCAATGAAGGTGCTGAGATGGTCGAAGGGCCCCGGGAGAAGGTTGGGAGTATCACTGTTGACCGTGAGTTGGTGACGGGGGGCAATCCTCTGGCGGCGAATGCGTTAGGGGATCAGTTTTTGAAGATGCTTAGTGTTCATTGAGTGTGTGCACGTGTACGTCCCGGTCGGGGGCTGAGTGTTTCAATTCAATGCCGAAACCGTGATAGCCCCTAGCTTTGAATATCTTGGGAGCAGACATGCATCGGAATGTGGCTTTGAATATCTTGGAAGCAGACATGCATCGGAACGTGGCCATCCCTGTTTCCATTTTGGTCACTCCTTATCTTATCCATATATTATCGTATCATCTGCTTAACGATAAGCCATTTTCGGACGCCAAACATGTTTCCTCTTTTGGCGTTACAGCAGTGTCTTTTACATCGTAGATCGGTGCTGCATGACCTAGACGTCATATAATTATTGAATTAGCTGCTATCTTTAGGTAAAATTAATGACTTACAATTTGAAGATATGCTGTCTCTGGTTTCAATCATGAAGGCTGTATATTTCTGTTCTAGGCTGACGGACGGGAACGAATGCGGAAGAATGCTGCTGTTCACTTGGCAGGTCATGCAGATATCGCACTCAACCACTTCAATATCGAACTCTTAAAGTACATTTAAACATGGATTTTCCTGTTGTTGAGAGAGAAGAGAAAACATGCAACCTGCTATTCGATTTCTTGAAGACGGAGTTTGGTATCGAAGAAAGTCACAATGCATTTCTCGATAGGCAGCTTGTTTCTATGCCTGATCGCTTCGGCATCATGCACAGCAGCGTCTCCTCTATATATTCAGCGTTCCCGAAGAACACCCCTCACCACAAGCACTTGGAAACCGTCAGCATTCACAGATCCACCTACCGACAAGGCCACAACACCACATGTCCTTGAACTTACCAAGATCAACAACAAGGGCAACGCCCGCAGCGCAGTCGAGCTCAACAGCCAAGTTAGAACTGGGTCTGCAAATCTAGTCTCCTTCGCTGAAGGAGTCGGGTTCGCAACATCAATCACAATCGGCAACCAGACATTCGAGGTGGTCATTGACACAGGTTCCAGCGACTTATGGGTCGTGCGAGACGGGTTCATATGCATCGACCCTGAGAGCAGGAGGGAGGTCGCACAGTCAGAGTGCGAATTCGGGCCGGCATACGCACCTAATACCACATTCCACGAAATCGTCGGCGAGTTCCTGGATATTAAGTACGCAGACGGGGAGATCCTCTCCGGCGTCATCGGTACCGAGAACGTAACATTAGCCGGCATCACGGTCAACCAGACGATCGGGGTAATGGATTACGCGGGTTGGTATGGCGACGGTGTCACGTCGGGCTTGATGGGTCTCGCGTATTCTTCTCTGTGGGTTTATCGGTCCTATCGTTATAATTGTCTACTGATGGTGTGTACAGCGCGAACGCCTACACGACGGATTACAAGCAACCAAGCCTCTACAACCCCATTTTCGCAACCATGTACGAGCAGGGCCTCATCGATCCCGTCTTCAGCATGGTAATGAACCGCAATGCTTCCAATGGCACAGCAGCCGGGTACCTGACTCTGGGTGGATTGCCGCCTATCGACATCAACGGAAATTTCAGTACCACGCCTATCCTGATCACGAATATCAAGGGTTATCCGAAGGATTATGATTTTTACACTGTCAATATTGATGGAGTGGCGCTAGGCAACAGGAGCTTGCCAGAGGCTGGCGGCGGCATTCAGTATCTTGTAAGGATGTACCGGGTAGTTCCTGGATGGGCGAGGCTAATAATCACAGATCGACTCAGGCACGACGCTCAATTACTACCCGAACTCCGTGGCGGACGCTATCAACGCGGCTTTCATTCCCCCAGCGGTGTACAATGATTACGATGGGGCATATGTGGTGGATTGTAACGCGACAGCGCCAGTTCATGGTGTCACGATTGGGGGCTCGACATTCTACATCAATTCAACGGATATGATATTGCCAGGCGGAACGGATAATTCGGGAAACAAAACCTGCATTAGCGGGGTCAATGCTGGGGGAGATGTCGGTCAGGGTATATTTGTCCTGGGGGGAACGTTTTTGAGAAATGTGGTGGCAGTGTTCGATGTCGGGGCTGCAGAAATGCGGTTTGCGGCGAGTGCATAATCTTGGAAGAAGTGCATATATAATTATAGATATAGACTGTTTATAATCTGCTTAGTGTGATATATTGTTCAACAACGCCTCATGTAATGGCCTGATGAGGCTTCCCTTATACCTATCGCTTCAATCGGTCTGGCACGAACAGAGATATATGGATCTCATCCCACATGCTGCACGGTAGCCGAGCCAATTTTAATCTCCTCGCCCGTCGATTGCCTCTGCTTGATCTGTCGCTGTAGTTCCTCATCCTCATGCTGAATATACTTCAATGGCCGACCTGTTGAGATTGCATCCGGGTCTCCCGTTACGATCAGCGGCGGGTTGGAACGGTAGTATGCGTCGAGGTCCTCCAGACTTCGATTTGCTAGCGATTGTCAGCTTCTTTCGAATAGGCTACTTTGAATTCCACTCACCGGTCTCCGGGTACAGATAGTATATAATCGGAAGAGAAGCCGCGTTGGTGATTGTCCACACGATCCAGAATTTCCAGCCGATGTTCTGTATCCCAATAGGTGTGATTTCGACAATGACAAAATTTGTAATCCTGTGCACCGTGAATATATAAACATATGGACCAGAAAGAGGATAGTAACATACCAGTTCGTCGCAGACGAGACAGCCGCACCCTTCGTCCGCATAGGAAGAGAATTGATCTCTGTCGGATACAGCCAAGGAACACCCAGCATGCCGATTCCAAACGCAATGTAATACAGAAAGAAGAATGCCACTGAAGCGGTACCATACTTTGGGTCGTTCTCCGCAAATCGAAGGAGGATAGTGATGATCAGGAAACAAGCAAACTGGCCAAAGGTCGACATCAGCATTAGGCCCCTTCGACCGAACCGCTCCACCATGATGACTGCTACACAGGCGAACACGAAGTAGGATGTCGCGTTGCAGGCACTGAGGAGTCGTGACATGCTGTTTGACAGGCCGACAGAGTTGATCAGCACCAGAGGAAGGTAGTAGGACATGATATTGATTCCTGTGCATTGTTAGCCTGTGTTTATCTAGTTGTAGGGAGACATACCTTGGAATTGCTGGAGAGCCTGCGTTCCCGCACCAAGAAGTATCCGCCGCAATGTCTTGGTGTCATTTGTCTTTTGGCGGCGTAGTAATAGATCTGTCCAGGAGACGGCATTTTCGCGCTCGTAGTTGATACTGTATTCGATTTCGTTGTACTGGGTGATGATGTACGGATCATCGACTGGCTTGGCCTCGATGCGGGAGATTACATCTAGAGCTTGCTCATTGTGACCGTGCGAGAGAAGCCATCTAAAATGCATTAGCCGTGGGCCGTGGGGTGAATTGGGAACAGCCAACCTTGGGGACTCAGGAAGCCATGGTACAGTCGCGTAGAGGATGAAGATGAAGAAAAATTGCAGTGCGATGGGCAGCCTCCATGCGAGCGCACCACCTTTGAAAGAAAGCCCGTAGTTGATCCAATTGACCAGCGCAAAGCCAGAGACATTCAGTGCCATTTCCAGAATGACCAGCTTTCCTCGCCATTTGAGGGTGGCAGTCTCGGTTTGCCATACGGGGGCCGTGGATGTGTTGATTCCGTTGCCAATACTACGCATGTCAGCGCTTTGCGATTGTATGTAGGTCGAGAATAGTCTACTCACCCCAGAATAACCCGGCCGACGAACATCTGCGCCAAGCTGTAGGAGCTGGCTTGAAGGATGGTCCCGACTGCCATTATGGTTGTTCCCAGGAGAATAGACTTCTTCCGACCGAGCCTTTCGGAGACGATGAAAGCTAGAATCGAGCCGAGAAAGCAGCCGACGTCGTAGATGGCTGTGACGGTCGATAGTGTTTTCGTCTTGGTTGGCCCGACGAGGTCATGAACGACTAGGAAGTCCTCTGTGACGACAACCCCGCCTAAGAGACTTATTAGCCCAGTGATAGTATGAACGGGCCTGTGTACATACTAAACACTCCCTGGTCATAGCCGAACAATGTCATGTCCGTAGCACAGGCAATCTGCTCAAGTCTTATTATTGAATTGATTTCAAATTCTCGGTACTTACTGTGATCCAGAGGGTCAGCCATCCCCCAGTGAGCCCAAAGTAGGGCTTCTTGTCGTGCTTCGGAGTTAACATATTTCGCTGCGTTGAACTGCGGGAGAGTACGCTTGATAACCTCGATGATCATGTTGGCTGATGGATATGGCACTCTTATATACTACCACAGAAAGGACAAAGACAGGCGATCTGCACGACCGAGACCCACAGGGCAGGTTTCGCAGTGTGGGTTGGGGTAACATCCTGTGTCAGCATCTTAGCCGAACATGGTCATGGTAAATATCTCTCATTAGGAGGACTGCTTTGAAATGGTCTAACCCTTCACAAGACAATACTGCGGCACAATTACAGTTTACAGGGGACTATAAGTAGCCATAATGCGTACACCAATCTCAGGTCGTCCATAGTGAAAGGTCGAAATATACTAACTATAGAGCTTCTTGCCTCTACCCGGATTGCGTAACAGTTTGATATGACTTGCCGAGGTGACACTACCGGCGCTGATCAAACCTTTTGAGAAGGATTCAACCACCCTGTGGTTGCCATTAACTATAACTCAAATACCGTGAGCTAACCCGATATTATTACTCGTAGACAACATCTCCATCAAGGGAATATCCAGTTTCTGTCCTTCGGAATAAGCCCGACATGCGGGGAACCCCAGAATTCCCTTCTCCAGGTTCCCCGCCGGAGATCACCCTGGTGTTGCCGGATCCGGAAGGTGAAGTGACAGATCCGGATCTCACTTCAGCCTGAATTCCATATCCAACGGAGTACAATACTGTGTGGTAGTCGGAATAACTCCAGCGGTCTGCTGAGAGCATGCGTCATGTTAGTTGTGCGATTTACTGAGATCTCAGCTATCGTACGCAGGTGATTGATAATGCTCCTTGGAAGTTGTTTGGACGATGAACATGTTTTGAACTGGTTGAACCTCTAGTTTACAAGCATTGACGTTGGGAATACAATCATTAAATAGCCCGCTAATAAGCCTGCTCTAAATCCTTTTACTCAAATCCCGACACCATCCCATCAAACCTGCCCAACTCCCACCCAAGCATCACAGCACCCACAAAATCCGTAACCCCCAGCGCCAAGAATTCCCAAAATCCCTCCTCACTCATGCGGCGCCCGCGCAAGAGGACATTCACACCTAAAGCAGTGGTGACAAACAGTCGAATCGGCACAGTGACGTGCAGCCACTGATTTTCTTCAATGGGCATGTACGAGCTCAGGAAATACGGTAGCTGCAAGGCACATGCTACAACACCGAAGAGGGCATTGGTGTCTGCGATTCGACCGGTAGAAGGGGCTGATACGAAGACTTCGCGTCCAGTGAGGTGTTTAAAGGGCGAGGTCCGAAACAGCGAGACGTAGAGGCCCAGGCCGAGGACGGTGGTGCTTGTAAGTAGCACGTGGGGTGGGAGGTTGACTGGGCGGAAAGTGAACATTGAGATGATGGTTGTAAAAACAGCCACAATTATCAGGTTATCTATGCAAGATGGTCATCGGAGGTGCTGAGCGAGTTTGTCGTGTGTTTATATGCAGATTGAACTGCGTGAGTCAGAAAGGAATACGAGGATCGGGATAAGTAGGTGACATTGTCACTTGATGGGACGCACCTCCGCAGCGTCCCGTACAGACCACTCTATACATCTCAGCAGGATATGACCGACATAACGCGTCTTCCTGTTCAAAGCCGTACCATGAATCTCGATCACAATAGGGGACGAGGCCTATTCGGTGATATTGACGATTCAACACACGCCACACCAGGCGGAGGGGACCATGCTAATGAGGAGAGATAGTCTCATGCCGCTCCGATTCACGACCATGATTATATATCTCTGCTCTTTCGCAGGTAATAGTCTATACAGTTATTCGATCTTCACAGACGCAAGCCTCCGCATGTGCAAAAGGCGCCAGAAATGGGCATGGCGCCAAGGCCTTCCCGATTAGGAAGCCAGTCTCCTATTGGTTGGATTGCCAATTTGAGGATACTGAGGTAGGTCATGTCAATTCAACATGACAATTGACTCGGATTTAGATCGAAACTCCGCTCGTAGCATCGTCGTTGAGTCCGTAAACCCCGATGGTATGGGTGCAGATAACTCAGGGACAGAGACATATAATCCAGCCGTTTCCTTGTGCAGAGATGAGAGCAAACAACAACTTCATTTATATACTGACCATCATCACTTATCACTACCAGGCCTACACATCATGGCTTCTGCAGCTCAAACTCAACGCCGGAATCTCCCTCTTCTAGCTACCACGGAAATCTGCTCCGGTGGTACCTACATCGTTACTGGCGCCAACACGGGCCTAGGCTTCGAGGCAGCCAAGCACCTGGTCAGGCTCGAAGCTGCAAAGGTCATCCTCGCCGTACGTAACATCAGCGCAGGTGAGAAGGCTAAGAAGGATATCGAAGAGTTAACAGGAAGGATTGGTGTCGCCGACGTCTGGCCGCTCGATCTGGCAAGCTATGACTCTGTCAAGGCATTTGCACGGAAGGCGACTGCAGAGCTCAATAGGATTGATGCTGTGATCGAAAATGCGGCTGTTGCAGTCTCAGTGCGCGTCCTCGCTGAAGGTCACAGCCTGTCTGTCACTGTCAATGTGCTCAGTACGTTCCTTCTTGCGGTGCTTATCTTGCCCAAGATGAGGGAAACTGCGGAGCGATATGGAATTGTACCCCATCTGACCCTCGTGACCAGTCGGGTTGGATTCGATGCTAAGGACCTCTGGGATAAGATCAAAGATGATCCGGTGAACAAGACGGATGGAGATGACATTCCACCGATGCGCACGTAAGTCTTCAGCAGACGCGTATAAACTTCTTTAGCTGGTGCTGAAGTCATGAATCAGATATCCACTTTCCAAGGTCTTGACAACCATGGCACTACGTCATCTTGCAACTCTGTTACCGGTGGATCGCACCGGAGTTGTGTTGAATCTGGTCTGTCCGGGACTTTGCAAGACTGACCTGAGCCGCAACGCACCAGCACAATTTCGGGATGACCTCGCCAAGCGTCACGCAGAATATGGACGGTCTGCTGAGGACGGCAGTCGCACGCTTCTTCACGGGGCTGTGGTAGGAAAGGAGAGTCATGGGTGCTTGCTCCATTCCTGTGAAATTGGAGAGTAAGTCGAGTAAGTCGAGTATTCCCTCATGACCTGGGATGGCCGGTGCTGATAAAGATCTGTGTTCAGGAATGTAGTGCCAAGTTGGGTAACAGACGACGAAGGAAAGAAATGGCAACAACATAGCTGGGAAAGTATTGCCGAAGTGTTGGAGTCCATTGAGCCTGGATGTGTAGAAAGGATCTTAAATTGAGGAACCCGTCTGCAAGGTGGCTGTGCCTGAAATTTGAAAGTCAGTTTGTCGGTGATTAGTTTGTGTGAGATTGATGCCAGAGGGTCTTCCCAGCAGTATCGTGAACTGCGTTGACCCACGGGTATTTCGCAAGCATGTTCTGGACTTGTTCCCATGTTCTCAATTTCAGAGTATCGATAGTCTCCTTTGATTTCGAAATCCACGTAGGATGAGTCCCCAGCTGGGAGGATGACGCTGCTCCAATGTAAAGCGTCCAGAGTAATATTTCCCGGACATCTAGTCCGTCATCTGCAAGATCTTGAGCGACATTGAGCAGTAAGTTAGAAAGAAGAGCGTTATGAGCAGTACGATAATCTAGTCCCGGCAAGAATGTAACCAGAAACGCAGTGAGACCTAGATGGATTGCGTTCTCAATTGGGCATTTGGGACGACACCCACCGAGGGTGTACATATTCCCCAAGCGATAGCCAAGGACGAGCAGGTCGCTGTGGAAAACGCAGGACTTCAGCTTGGGACCCACTCCATTAGTTGCGTCATTGAGCATTGAAGCAAGGGATGCCACTTCAATGAAGATATCTTGAATATCGCGGCGCAGACTTCCTAGCAAAGGAGACCGGTAGGATTTGCTGGAACCCGCATGATTCTGTCGCTTGTCCCCGTAGATTTCATTTATTATCCTGTTTTCCTTGATGGCGTCCTCCAGGCTAAATAGCGTCGATGAGCCCAGCTGCAGAGCATACTCAAGATCAACACTACAATAGTCAGCATGGTCGGCAGATGTGCAGTGCCGCTGAAGGGCATACCGCAGTATTTTTTGAACAAGTATATGATGGCTCTTCGAAATCTGCAACAGCCCGCCTTGTAGCTGGACCATTCTGCGTAAAGCTTGAACATGTACAACTCCTCGTTGATATTCGCTCTGATGGCGCTCGTATTGAGCCATGCTTACTATAACTGCCATGGTCGTATCGCTGATCGCTTCCTGGCAGGATAGTCGTTGATTAATCAAACGAAACGTGTGGGATATGTGACTCATGGCTTGCAGGATACCCTCTTGCCTGGTGACGAGGTCGTTAAGGCAGAGTATGGAGGTTGCCACGGCGCAATGAAAGCCTGCCGAGGAGCAGTGAGCTTGAGTTCTTACTATGTGGTGTCATTCGACCTTCTGAACTCACAAGCTTGATCGATAAATATATACCGCACAAACATCGACGAGGCCAGACTCGTAGAGTCAATTGCTTTGCTCAGTTGAGGCGCGTATCGTGTGGCGCATAGGAATCCAACGACTGCATGTGAAAAAACAGGTCAGCAGCAGAGGCTATGGCAATATTGAGTGAAGGAGATGACCATACCTCTTTTGACAAGCGCCTTCGATTTCCCAGACAGCTGCACTGGAAAGACCAGTCCATCGTCTATCGGCCGTTCAATCTGGGGACTTTCTTTCACCGGACCAGGCCCCTTCCTTATTATGCCAGGGAGGCCAAATGAAGATATAGTCGTTGTTGACGCGTGTTTTCTCGATGATCGCACGATTGTTTTGCCTGTATTCTTTCCCGTGGCCGCATGGCGACGGATCTGCTTTCGAGCGGCTTGATCGATGCTGAGTTTGTTGTCAATAAACTGAAAGGACATCCCGATCGTCTAGGATACAATATAGCAATACAGCGTACTTTGAGCAACGAAGAAGGAGTGGTAAGAGATCGAATGATGATTTGGTGATTTTCTGTCCTGGTGAGATTGAGCTGTCGGAGTTAACGGAGCTAATCACCAGAGGCGTGTCCTTTAACCTTACGCACGACTCCTGAAATTTCATGTGTCTTGTCGTCCAGAGAGTCACAGGGCTTGTCTTAAATTGACGCTGCCTCCGAGGAAACCGGAGTGAGGATAGGTATGGCTAACTTGTTGCGTCGAGTGCTGTGTAGCCTCGGCGACATGGCTACAACTAACCATCTACCAAGTCTCCAATTTGCTTCTTTGAACTTATGAGACTCGTGAAGGATGGGTTGTGTCCATGTCATGCCGATGGCGCCACCAGTAATAATGTCCGATCGCCAGCTAGGATAATCGGTCCTCGTATAGCCTGTGTCTAATGCAACCTCATTCCGACCTTATGACTCATACGAAGTATATAAGTCATACACAACTCCTCAGCAGACGATGCGAAAATCCTGCTATTTGGAGCCCACCGCAGCAATGAGTAACATCGTCCTTATCCCCCAGGCATTTCCCACACTAAAAGAAAGGGACAAAATCGTCGACCTGTACAAACATCTCCGCTTAGCAGGCCTCAAACAAGATCCAAAGGCCTTTTCAGCGACGTACGAGACAGAAGCAGAGTTTCCCTACGAAAAGTGGCTGGCCCGGATTCAGAACCCGCAGGCACGAACCTTTATCGCCCTGGACGAGGGTGAAGCCGCCCCTTTATCGGGCGATGCGTTGACGGCCCTTTTGTCGAGGGAATGGCTGGGAACTGTGACTATCGTAGGACCGAGACTTGCGTTCAGCAGTGAAATTGATCTCAACGCGCCGTGGAGGGTATTTACGGAAGGCGATCGGTATACGACGCCACAAGCGGATGACAGAAACGTCGTCGCCGTGTATATGATTGCCGGCATGTTTGTGCTTCCAGCGTCAAGAGGAAGGGGCAATGGTCGTCGACTTGTTGAAGAGGCGGCCAGATATACCCGAGGCGCTTCTCCAGCTACAGAGCGAACCCTACTGGTCCTACTGGTCGAAGCAGACAACGAACCTGCAAGGAAACTCTACGAAAGATGCGGGTTTCAGGAGTCCAACGAGGAAGTGGCATTGGGTGGACAACAGACAGTCGGGATGATATTAGACTGGAAAGGAATGCAATAGAGTGCGAATCGAGCCCCGATGGTCAAAACATGGGCCATACTTAAGCAAGACCGAGGTCGTTCAACCGGTCGAAGGGGCGTATGTTTATACCACCGGCCAACTGCTTGGAGTAAATGCATGGCAACTTCTGAACATTACAAGTTGCCACGAACAAGATCGGCTCCCTGCCGAGCGCAAAGCGTCATTATCGCTGGATCATGTTTGGCCAAGTCCTAATATGGACGATACCTATGGAAGCTTGCCAGCTATAGGCGCATCTGATTCTTGCAACCTTCAATTTATTTCTATTCAATTTGTATTAGAGCAATAACGATATTATTATACACCATTCCTACCGCAAAAGCGACCGGAAGATGCTTGTCTGTCAACGCGACTGAGATGGCGCAGGCGGAGATTGAGAGGAAAGGGAGACTGCATCAGATCGTTTTGTGAGACATGACGGTTCATTTATTTCGATACCCTTGCCTACTAATTCTACATCAACTGTGGTCATCATTTGGTTCTGGTGTCTGACCCGCTTCGTCCCCTGTAAGCCCTAGTGGATTATTGTGGTTGCCTGTCCACCGCCCCTCCGCTCTTCTTGTGTTTGTCTCTCGCCTTCATGACATTTGTTTCTTCTATCTTCCTGTACAACAACTACGCTAAACCCTATCAGCGGCCGAGATGACTTCGGGTGGCTCAGAGACCCCTTTCTGGGGTCCGATTACTGCAAACTCCAAGTTAGCACTCAACCTCCTGTGCCGACGGCTTCCTTGCAGATATTGTCAGCTAACTAGTATCATACAGCTTTTGTGAAGAGGTAGCTATGGATCACAGCACTTATACATCAAATTCTATCTCACAGCTGATTGTTTTCTTGATGACTTAGGACTACATGGTTACCAGATACGCTGCGGAATTCATCAACACCTTGACTAACGTAGTATACAGTAAGCGCTTTCTTCTGTGTTGGTTGAGATGAGAATTCTACTGAAAAACATGTCCAGTAATCTACGCCATCTATGGACTCTACCACCTGCGGCATAAACCAAATGCTGGTTTCCTTCGCACCGTACCCTACTTGGGTTTAATGGCAGTGGGAATCTGTTCCGCTCTGTTTCACATCAGCCTCAAGTACCACACCCAGATGTGTATGTCTCCATTATCATGTCTTTTTGCTACCTCTGATGATTTTCCCTGGCTTACTCTATTCATCAGTGGACGACCTCTCCATGATGTTCACAACAACACCCGTGCTCCACCGCGTCATGACCGCCAATGCCAGCCCAAGGGTCACGATCATCGTGGGCATGGTCCTAGGGGCAACCCTTCTCGCCCTAGTAATTTACCACGTAAAGACGGATGAACTGCTCCTGCACTCTCTGTTCTTCGTTGGCTCCGTAACCGCTATCGGAATCTCTACCATGCGAATGATAAACGCTCGCACACGGGCGGGCTCAAAGGCTCGAAGGCAGATCTGGGGGATGGTACGGTTTGGCGCTGGTAATATACTCACCTTATTCCGATAGTGAAATTTGCTAATTTCATTGCGAAGGTATATTCAATCTGGGTTACTGGCTCTGGCTGGTTGATGGGTGGATGTGCTCCTACTTGAAAAGCATCAGGCAGACAGTGGGTCTTCCCTGGGCGTTTTTGTTGGAGCTTCATGGGTGGTATGTACCAGTTCAATAGCTATTTCAGTCCCCATTGCCTTTCTTGAATAACAATACTCACACCGAATCGGCAGGTGGCACATATGCACGGGAATTGGCGCCTATATCTTCATCGCGGTGATTGATCATCTTGTATCAGGGGACGATCACAGAGATATCCCCGGATCCCTGGCCTGGCCTGCTCCGTGGGCCGCTCAGTCGGTCTTCGCGGGAAATGGATCAGACAAGAAACAAGCATGAGCATATAACTATAGATCTCTGGCCGCGGCGAGCTTAGGGTAATTTGGGACATATACCTCGAGAAGTAATAATTAAGTCGACCAGCGCTGAGACTGTACCTCCTGTTCAGCCGGCATCCCATGTTCATGATATTCAGCTGTGTTCATTGATAATGCACTCTCTTGTTGATGGCCATGGAGATATAGAGGCAGGTGTACGTGACATGAACGTGGCCAACAAGGCGACGCAAAGAATGAATCCGTTGTTAGATTCTCCACAGCCATTAATATGCACCAAATGATGCGACTATCTGCTAGTCTGGTACCTGTACTACCAATCGGATCTCATATTGCTGACACGATGGATAGGGGGCGTGAGACGAAACATCTAAAAATTATGACCTATCGAGTTCCTGCATAAAGAGTGCACACCCGGCGCCTTGGCTGAGGCTGAGACCGAGCCAATATCACAGTGACATTATCGGCTAAACAGATCGGGTCTAGATACTGGTAAGCTTACAAGTCACTTGTCCAGTGGTGTATTATCCATCAGGCCGACTTGCAATTTCGAATGAACCCAGTTTTCATCCTCTAAGAGTACGGATACGATGATCTCCATCGGCACCCATCGCCTCTACCTCTCCATCAGCGGCCCACCCCGCCGCAACCCCCCAGATCCTATCGTAGTTTTCATCGCCGGCGCAGGCGACGTCGCATCGTCGTACTGCGCTGTTCAACGCCTTGTCGCGCCTTTCTCCCCGCTTGTTCTTTACGACCGCTCCGGCCTCGGTCGCAGCGAAAGTAATCCCAACGCCCCCAGCCCAACGGCGACGTCAGCAGCCGCAGAGTTACACACCCTACTCAAAACTGCAAACATCACTCCACCACTTATTCTAGCCGCTCATTCTTATGGAGCCATCATCGCCCGAGAATACCTCCATTCCTACTCGAGCGATGTTGCGGGCATGGTCCTCATGGATGCCTCGACCGAACGAAATATCGAGTTATTCCAGAACCCAGATTTGAATCTTAATGCCCTGGTTGGTAATCTGAAGTTCGCCGAGGTCACGGGTCTGCGTGCTGCAGCTCAGCTCTCAAGGGAAGAATGGAGGGTGAGAGCGATGGACACTGCGCGGGGAGTGGCTACTTCTCAGGCAGAAGCGATGGCGCGGAAGGAGGTTTGTCGTGGGCTTGCTGAGAAAGAGCAGTTTAAGAAGCAGGCGCTGGGGGATCGGCCGTTGAGCGTGATTCGGTGTAATGGGTTGATGGACTACCGGAGACTCTATGAGAAGGCTGTCGAGGCTGGGAATGGGACGGACGCACAGCGAGCGGCGTTCCATGAGCTGCTGGAAAAGTGGGCTGGGATGGATCGTGAGATGCAGGAAGAGCAGTTGAGATTGTCTAGACGGAGTCGCATGGTTCATTTGCCGGACTGTGGGCATAATGTGCATTTGATTCGACCGGAAGTTGTTGCGGACGAGATTCGATGGGTAAGAGAGCAGGTTCTAGGTCAGACGATAGAATCTGCTCTTTGATCTTATGCATCGTTGCCGGAACGCATTATTGCCTGCTTTTAGGCGACCTCTCTTTACATAGTCCTATCAGGAGCAGCAAAATCTTTGATTTCTTGTGTCCTTCGGAGGGATCCCGGCTTCCTATATTGATTGCAGCTTGACTGAGTGGTGTCGACTTGGCGTGTGCCCAGCCGCTGATTACCAAGCTGATAGAACACTCAGGATCTACTCATACTGAGGACTCGTCTCTCTGACTTTGTGGTATATGGAAAGGCCCACCACAGGTTCTGGAACAAAAGGATGCATCAACTGCCAAAGAGGTACAGCAGGAACCCATAAAACTACGCGCGTCACCCTATGTCCGTCTCCGTCGACCCGTGCAGCATATGCATTTTTGCCTTTACCGAAGCCCCTCCAAAATGATGAGAGTCGCGTGCTTGACCCACATCATGGCAGAGAGGGCGATGGATGGGAAACAGCTAACGAACCAGTCCTGACACGGCGTTGTCCTTGTTCGAGGGGGTCTTCGTTCTTATATGTTCCTTTTGGGACTCAAAGGCTCCTTTAGTCTTGCTAAATTCAAACTGTCCATGGACTGTCGTTCGATGCGTGGCCGGCTATTTCCCTTGGATACGTACTTGGCGCCTTCTGGAATGCGATTGTTATCTCCTTGCCTGATTTCCTGTGGTAAAACGGTCTTGTGTTTCTTGGCTTATGACAGGAATGCCATTGTCAATGCCTACCAAGCATTCCTCAAAACTGAAATGAATGTTTGTGTTCCATGTCTTCCGGCTTACCACGGTGGATCGTAGGATCCCTAGTCGTTTGCCCAGCTTGACTACACCAGCATAATGTAGTTTTCAATTTTGACAGCACTTTTCGTGCAAACTTTGGCTTCACATCACCAGCAATGCACCGGTGAAGCTTGAGCTAGGGATATGGTTGGGAAGTTCTGACCGACCTAAAAATATTACTTGACTTATATTTGCTAATTGAAATTCGGGCTCAACTCCTTCGCTGGTTTGCGACATCATCCTATAACTAGTTAACATATGAAGAAGGCTTAGTAAGTAAACTATGGCTAGTACGGATAGCAGCCTCCCACCCAGGAGAGAGGAGCCGATCTTTGAACCACTTTCATCACCATGTGGTGCAGCGCACCCTCCATGTCGTTTATCTTGCTTCTAAGAGAACACCGCCGTTGGAAATTCCAGCAGGCGATTTAGTCGAGAGAGAATCTACATAGCGCGGCGCGTTTTCTGCGGTCAAAATTCTGTGGCGTATGAAGAAATCGATCAAAACCCTCGAACTATTCGGCTTGAATCTCCCTTTCGTCAGTGCATTCATAACGTCATTGACTCTCCACAGGCGAAAGAGCTCCACCTCCTAACCGCCAGGTTTCAGATCGTACCTACATCTAGCTCAAGTTCGTAGGTCTATTGAAGCTTAGGCTGCAAGAGTCCAGTCTCTCCACCGGCCTTCGGTCCTCTGATACGGAAACGGAAATAGATAACACAGCCTGTTGGTGTAAGTGAGCTATGACGAGCAATACAGAGGTGCAGGGAGATATACACTGAGGTACTAGAGGGGTACCAGTTCCTTAATAAACATCGACCATTCTTACTCAAACCTCCATCTTGAAAATGTAGTGCAAAGCCACTCCTAAACTCCCCACAGTCAACGTTCCCATAGTCAATCCCAGCCTCTCAACCAAACTATGGGGCACCAGAACTGTCTTGTAGACAGGCAACCGCATAATCGGGAACGCACACCAGGGAACAGTCACATATAAACCTGCGAATGCGACCCAGCCGTACCCGATCAACCTGCGAAATGCCTCTTTCCCCAACACATAACGTAACAGCCCATTTCCTTCACGAACATACCGTCTTACGTAAGACTGTATCCCGTCTTCAAGCATGATAATAAACGGATGGAGAGTCATGATGAGCAGGAATCCTGTGTGGCCAGGAAAGTCGCACCATATGGCGCTCATATAATGGAACCCTGCGGAGAGAGTGAACATGAGGATTAGCTCAGTGTAGCGCTTTCCTGCACTATTCGCAGGAAGCCCGAGGAGATTCATAGATATCCCTCGGCAGATACTGCACAGCGGCCAGCGCAGAAATTGATGCCAGAGTTGTCTAACAAAGCCTCAATTGGTTGCACTAATTCTTTATAATAGTGATAACTTACCCCCAGAAATTTCGAAGCGTGTATGCATTTGCTATACTCCCAAAGAGCGGCGGCCAATCCTCGGGAGGCGTCAACTTGATACCCACGGATATGACAGAAAAGCATCGATAAGCCCAATCTAATAATAGTCTTAGAGCCACCATAAACACGATGGCAATAGCAAGACGCGCGCCTTGTTGTATTGCTGTCGGGTTGTAATAGCCCAAGAACTCTGTGCCTGGAGCATGTGTGAAGGATTGCAACTGGTAAAATCGCGCAAAGTAGCCAAAGTAGAGGAGATCCAGAGCTAAATATTGCCACATCAAGATAGCAGTCTGGCGGATCAGAAACCTCATCCGATCAACACTACCGTCCGCCGAAGTGACCCACGCTGGAAATGGCGGGATATTCTTTACTTGCCATTTGGTTCCCACTCCGCGGGTACTTGTAGCAAGTCTGAGAGCGAGGCGAAGCCGAGAGGGCTTACCGGGGCGTTTCCCAGGTTCGTGCTTGGTTGTCAAAGAATTATCTTCGAGGCCGACGAAGCATAACAGGTTCATCAGATGGGCGGTTCTGATTGCGGAGAAGAACGTGTGCGGCATGCGTAGGACTGGACTGCTGTACAGGCTCGGCAGGCTGGTTATTTCAATGTACAACAGGAGGCACAAGAAAAGCACACCAAAGCCTTGATAAAGTGAGTATCTGGCTCTGGTGCCAGCCAGTATTGTTGTAGCAAGTCCACATTGGGCAAATATGCAGTATAATGGTAAAAGCATTTGGATAGATATCCCACAAAGCGTGTATCCTTTGGAACTTCAAGTATTTAGACTCGAGCCTCTGCTGCGTCTGCTCATCAGCAGAGTAGTATACTGCGCTCTTATACTGAAGCCAAACACCTTCAACTGAGTATCAAGAACCCTAGTTGACATTCTCCATGAGCAAGGGTTCATTAGTTGAACTGTACAGGAATGCACCCTATTTCCCATGCGTTCCGCGCCCATCTGGGAGAGGGATGGAATCTGATGTACCACGCACTGTACGTCTGTACCTATCGTTTGTGACCTGAACCACCAATGTTGATTGGCCTTCCGGTGACCCCCTTGCCCCTGGGAAAGCATATGCTGAAGACAGGAACAAATTTTCTTGTAGTCTACCAAACTAAAAATTAATTTTCACAATCTGCGCTGTCATATACTCGGCGGGACATTACATTCTTGAACCGACCTGATGTCGGTTTTGATCTAAGTACGTGACTGCATATCTCCGCTTACTTGCAACATTCTCCCCTAAAACTTAGAAACAGTCTCTACGAATTACCAGTGTTAGGTATGTATACCTATTGCGATGAAACCGAGCAAGCACAGGATAATCATTCCTTGGCTACTAGTTCCACGGCCTCCTAAATCTTGCACTCGGTCTTGTGGAATGCTGCGTAGTACCGATAGAACATTGCAGACCTACTGAAGGTCTTCACAGGCTCTGATATCCCTATCTTTAAACTCGTCGTGTCGATCAATACAAGAACCATCTGACTCAATTAAAATCTCTACCTCAAGCTTCCATGCGTACCGGGCTTTGATTTGATCAATATTACTATGCAGTTGAGTAGAACTAGTGTAGTGGCCTTTGGTGAAGGCACTGTTCTCTTTAAGACGTTATTATCTGACAGCAAGATTTGGGTCATCATTTTGGGCGGCTTGGGGGTAAATGTAGCCCTCAAGGCACAACCCCACATTTCCACTTGGACAAGGATCACGCATAAACAGAGTTATTGGTGGTCAGCATTATATCAGGGCCCTTTATCGGAACTATCCATGGATGGGAGAGCAATGAGATGTCTTATTTGGCCATCTTTTCCATCATGTGACCAAGGGAATATATATTCCGCCTTTATGAGATGAATCTGTAAGACCATTTATGATACAGTAAACCTTCAGGCCATTCTATGCATCAACTTGTCTAAACATAGTTTGGTTACACGATAAAATGGATAGGTGATTGTCACACAGATACCTCACCTCAGCTGACGACATTTACATGGATCCCTTGTCCATCTCAGACCGGCAATGAATGATTGTAAAGTCGGTCCCGGAACCAAATACTAAGCGACTCCTTGAAAGTACATTACCTTCTTATATCATCCCAATAATCCGCCAGGTAGACAACTAGTGGTTTTGGGTGGTGCTCAATAATTCCTTCGCTCTCTGGTGTTGAGTCAAAACAAGATATGCCTGCCGGTTGTGCTTGAATACGCGCTGACCTGAAGGGTTCATGAACCAGCCAATGGGTGAGCTGCACCTCTTGCGAGATAAGGTTAGGCAGCCTTGAAGGATCAGCTAAGATCCTTGTTCGGTTTCTAAGCATTAGTAATTAATAATAGAACACTTGGCGAACATCCTTTGCGATTACTCAGAACAACATAGGGGGTATTAATACAAGGTGAGATCACCGACCAGAAATCAGTGAACCACCAAGAATATCGAAGAGAAGACTTGACCGCCATGACATCAACCAAAACAACTGTTGTGATAATTGGTGCTTCTTTTGCCGGGGCACCAATTGCGCATTCTCTCCTCAAGGATGTCAAAACAGTCAGGGTTATTCTGATCAACCCCTCTCGGACATTTTACTTTTGCATTGCCGGCCCCCGAATCATGGCCAAACCCACAGCCTTCCGACCAGAGCAATACTTGATCCCAATTGAGTCAGCATTCAAAAAGTATCCCTCAGAATCTTTCGAGTTCATTCAGGGACGCGTAACGGCCATTAATCCGGAAGATAAATCCGTCATGGTTGACGGTCAAACGACCATCCAATTCGACTACTTGGTCATTGCCGCGGGGAGTACCACATCGTCAACGACCCGCAGTGACATCCCATTCCCCTTCAAGCAATCCAACGCCGATAATATGGCAACACTCATCAAGAACGCGCAACAGGCTATCTCAGCCGCCTCGCAGATTGTCATAGCTGGTGCAGGTCCCATCGGTGTCGAACTCGCCGGGGAAATCGCCGAAGCCGCGCAAGAACAGGGAAAATCAGTCAAGATTACTCTCGTCTCTGCTTCGGATCGCGTATTACCGATGCTCAAGACGTCAGGCAGTAAAGCTGCGGAAATCCTACTTACCCAGAAAAATGTGACGATCATCTCGCCGCACGCAGTCACAGATGCGGTTCTGTCCACCAACGGAACGTGGAACATATCTCTCAGTAACGGAAAGCAGCTCAGCGCCGATTTGTACATCCCCACAACGGGTGTCCTACCCAACAGCAGCTTTGTTCCTCAGCAATGGCTGGACACTGACGGCTGGGTGAAAGTGAACCAAGAGCTTCGCGTACAAGGCGGACAGAATGCGCCCTTACCCGTCTATGCGGCAGGCGATATAACCAACAATTCGATGCGCCTCTCGTTCAAGGCTACTGAGCAGGCTGCGGTTGTTGGTGCAAACATAAAGAACGACATCCTTGGCTCAAAGTACAAGAGGCGGGTGTATGATCAAGGAGATAGCATCATGATGATGGTCCCCGTTGGGGCGTCGGGTGGAACGGGGCAGCTATTCGGTATGACGCCGTGGAGTTTCATGGTTAAGGCGATCAAGGGAAAGGACTTTTTCGTCCCCAAGGCGCCTTCGTTCATTGGGGCAAGTTAATGCCAGGCTGGTTGACTTTAGCCTCATGCTGCTGATTCATCTATCTGTAACCGAATCCGATGTCCCTTCAAAGAGCAGTTTGATATTCCCCTGGAAGTTTGATGACTCAAGATTCCATTGCTCGAGAATTAGGCGTTCTTTGCTTTGATATAGATTAGTGGTTATCAGGTGAATAACTAGGCCCAGTAAACTTCTCCATACTCAAATAGCCATTGTTAACACAAAGTATATAGAACAGCCATGCTGGAGACCGGGGTTGCAATCATTGGTACTGAACCTTCCCATTTAACTTGAGCATGGCTCATCAAGCTGATATGCAAAAAATACATACCACCAACTCCAATCCAACTCAATAGCGTCACATAATCTCACAGTGACAATGTTGGTGCCTATGTATGTCAATATTTCTAACAATGCTTGGGTACTGACAGGCGTAAGACTGCGTATCAACTGCTCCCTTCCTTCATCCTGTCTCCGTGACTGAGTAGGTTGAAGACAGAACCACGAGACCGCCCTTTGTTGGTAGCTGACAAGATCAGCGTAGTAAAGGAGGAAATCAAGCAGGAGTAAGAATTAGTGTAGTGCTCAGAATGACGCGCAAGTTCGAGTGCCTGGACCGGCCTGGGAGCGGAAATTGTTGGTGCCGATGGGCTGTAAGGCACCCTGTAGTGGACTTGGCAAGGCAGACCAGGTTTGGTAGCTACCTTGTCTTACCTAGGTTCCTTGACTTGACAGAGAGGCGTACAGACACGCCAAAGGATCCACCTCCGACTTTAGTGGGTCGGACACGCTTGCCACTTCCATCCACACAAAATTGTATCACAGGCCATGGTACGAGATGACAGTGAACGTCTATCTCGCCCTCTTGATACAGGAGCTCATTTCTGTGGTGGGTGCATCGTCCTTGACTGTGTGCATCATCGAACGTCTCCGGTTCACGCCTACCTGCAGCGAGGCCTCATACACCGCTATAACCGAGGGGGTCGTAAGGTCCAGGTCCAAAAAGCAGTTTCGGGCAATTCTGGAAGTTAAGCCCAATTTCACGTAGTAATCGGAAAACTAGACGTTACCATTTCAGCAAACATCTAAGACAATGAACATCTCCGCCGGCGAGGTCGTCATGCCCTTCTATTATGGCGAATATACAGCACTGGTGTATGCCGTTCGTGGCATCGCCCTGCAGCTTGGCCTCAGTCGCCAGCAAGTCTATTATTCCTATGCCGCTCTTGTCTCCCTTACACCAAACCCCAGAATTGACCTGAGAGGACATGGCTAGCAGGCACCTATGTCAAACATTGCAAAATTCTGCTAAAATCAAAATCTCACGCGATGGCCCGACGCCAGGAGGGCCCAAAGACAACCACATGAGGAGCAGACCAGATACGTACGGGAACACCCTTCCGTTTGTGACGAAGGTGACAGCCCTTCGCTTGGGTTTCCAGTCCTTGTTGTAGACTTGCATTCTTTTTAAGCTAATCAATGTCGATGGAACGTACTGGGTCGCTGAGCATTACATAGTAAGAAGAGATATTTAGAAGGTTACAGATGCACATGCCTGTTGGACAGGCATCAACCGTAAATAGCCATTTTGTAAAGAAAGATGAGAAGTACAATCACTGGATAGCCATAAGATCAGAAGCCATGTTGGAACCATTTGTTACCCAAAACATACAGTGGACAAAACCCCGAAAGATCAAAAAGAACATGTTCAAGGCGCATCAGAGATCTTTTCAATTTCGGCCTCCTTCTTGATAGATGATTCGGTATCATCCTCCTCCTCAAATGGCTCAAAGTCCTCCAGAGCAAAGCCACTAGTGTTGCCTACTGGCTTGCTAGCCATCCACTGTATGAAGAGAATCGTCGAGGAGCTCAAGGTCTCAGGCGTAGAGAAGTCGTACAGCCTTGACTTGCGAATCACCAGTTTGTCGCCATTAAAATACGCTTGTATGATCCTTGCTTTGAAGTCTGACATGACCGAGAACATGAGAACCTGACACCAAGAGAAATTGTGAATCAGCGACTGACGCTCTCCAAACAGAATCACGCTGGATCAAATTGTACTTACCGGTATGACTACCTCATCCTGAAAACACTCGAGTTCAAGACGAGTAATCGTAGTGGCAAGGATGCCGAGGATCTCACCCCTGAGGAGTTCCTCTGTACCTCTGAAGGAGTAAAATTCAAGCATACACATAATATGAGGAAGAGAGAGGGATTTTTCCTCCCACCAACCGGCGGGCGCGTAACCGCGCTGACCGTTGACGCCAGGCATGAAATATTCCTGTATAAAATCATAAAATTCGCTGCGAGAAATGAGATACATCAGCAAGAACATTCTTGGTAACCGAGACGAAGTGAGGCACGTACGCTTCTCTCCATACTGTGATGTCCATCAATCGTGCTCGGAGACTAGAGATCCCGTTCCTGCGATACCAGTCAAAGTGCCGCATAATACGGTAGGACACCACCTGCGAGGTGTCCCCGTCCTCAGTCCTATCGAATATATTTTCATAGGATAGATAGTCCCTTTTGGCTTCCTCATCTGGTGTGATAATTCGATGATTTTTGAGGGTCTCAAGAGGAAGTGGGTCAAAAAAGCTCGGAGCGGGAATTCCATTGGCATACTCCCCGTCGTCCTTGAGGTCCAGAGTTTCACAGCGAATCTTCAGCTTGTCATAAATTCTTGGATCAAAGAAGGGTTTGCCCAAGTCATAAGCCTTCCTGTAAATGCTGTCAAGGTGTTCGATCATCACCCGTGTGCGATTTAACCCCAAATTTGGGACCAACTCGTTCACGGCCGTTGTTGACGGGGTGGTGCAGTCACAAAGAACAAAAAAGGTTTTATCCATTTTGGAAGTGAAGCCAATGGTTCGCTACGCTAAACCGGCAGCTGTCCAGATGCAGGAAACTGCTGAGGCCATTGGATGGCTCAAGCAGCAGACCGGGGGTCTTCCGCAGCTCAAGGATGAGAGGTATTTACAAATCACTACAAGCACGATTTTCTTCGTCTCCGTGGCTAACCAATCAGTCGGCTCATAATTTATCAAGGCCGCCACGAGGTATTCCTTACTCTCATGACACCAGGGACCCGTTACGTTGAGTACCTGGAGACCACCATCCCGACGACCCCAGAGCCGGAAACGTTCATGAAGATGAAGACTTTTGGGCCCTGGGATATCAACCAGCGGCCTGACCTCGAGGACCTATGCCTGACATTGATTTCCTTTCTGTTGGCAGCTGAGGAGGCGGCCCAGGCCCAGTAGCTCCGGGCAAAAAGGTACATATACCTCACTATTAACGTGATTTTTATAAATACATAGCTAACGGATCAGCCGCCTTATCATCTATCAGGGGTACAGAGAGGTGTATCTTACACTCATGTCTCCAGGTACTCGTTACGTTGAGTACCTGGAGAGGACAAAGCCGACAACCACTGTCGACCCTGAGGAATTTCTGAACATGGACACGTTTGGACCTTGGCTGATTGACAATGAGACGCACCTCCAAGGCCTCTGCCTGGCACCAGTGGCATTTCTGTCAGCTGCTGAGGAGATGGCGAGCTAAACCATCTTCTCCCTCTGCCCTTTCCACCTTCAACAGGTGCGGTTGCCGGTTGCGTTAGTATTGAGTTAGTGGGAGGTTGCTTGGTGAGGGGGTTTAGAGAGTTAATTTCGGATAGTTGACGAGAGGACGCGGTTTATGTGGTGTATACTCTGTACAGTGTGGATTTTCGGCGTCTCGTAATTTGTGTTCAAGATCTCAGTCTCCACACTTGAGGCAATCCCCACTTTGCGGGGATCCATCAATATCCGCCAGGCGGGCCAGACAGTCGAGGCTTTATTTCCACCACACTCATTCCATCCTTTTCGTTCAAGCATTCCACGTCCCTGCTCTTACATGTACCTCTATCATCCCAGGTAACTCAATCTAAACCACCTCACTCAACATGGCTCTCCCACAACTCCTCTCCCCCAAACCCTTCCTCACAGAATGCGGCATGGAAACATGCCTCGTCTACAAAGACAAAGTCCACCTCCCATGCTTCTCCTCCTTGCCTCTAGTCGACTCCGACTCCAGCCGCAAACTCATCTCCCACTACTACGACTCATACATCTCCGTCGCTGCCACCAACGGCACCGGTATCGTCTTAGACACCCGCACCTGGCGCGGCGCCACACCCTGGGCGCAACCCATGGGTCTCTCCGCCGACAAGCTCCTCGAGCTTAATCATGCTGCGGTACGACTAGCCAAGGAAGCCAGGAATAAAGCCGTGGGCGGGGAGAACAATATCCCCGTCGTGATTAGCGGGACGATGGGTCCTCTGCGGGACGCGTACGAGGATACGAGTGAGTCGATCACGCTGGAGGATGCGCGGGAGGGATACAGGGAGCAGGTGGAGGTGCTTGCGGATGCGGGGGTGGATATGCTGGCGATTATGACGGTGACGAATTTGAACGAGGCGATTGCTGTGGTGGAGTTGGCGAAAGAGGTGCGGTTGCCGGTCGTGGTGTCGTTTAGTATTGAGTCTGATGGGCGGTTGCTTGGTGGGAGGAGTTTGGAGAGTGCTATTCGGACGGTGGATGAGAAGACGGGGGGTTATGTGGTGTACTATGGTGTTAACTGTGCGCATCCGGTGCGGATTTCTGCGGCGTTGCGCGATGTTCCGGAGGATGTGCGCGGGAGGATTGGGTTGATCAAGGGGAATGCGAGTCTGAAGAGTCATGATGAGCTGGATAATAGTGGGACTCTTGATCGGGGGGATATTTCGGCCTTTACGGATGGATTCGAGGGCGTGTTGCCGTTGGTTCCTAATGTCAAGGTTATTGGGGGTTGTTGCGGTACCGATGAAGAGCACCTTGAGGCTATCGCTAAGCGGTGCATCAAATAGTTCTTGGGTCGACCGTCGCACGGATTGCATATAGCTTACTCTACTGGAATGTACATAGTCTGACCAGATCAGGCATCATATTGAAAATCGAGGACTCCGCCCCCGCGTCAGCAGAACGGGATACCTATCTACTTCAAATAATCACCATTCGTCTCCTGATGAATCACATCGAACATGGGCTTCGCGCTGAACCACCCAGCCATCGGAGTTCCAACCGTCTTGTAAGTAAACGCAGCATCCGCATCATCAATCTTAATAGTCTCCCCGCCCCGTCCAGCAGCCGCAGCGTCCGCTAAAAGTTGTGCATAGCAGCACTTTTCCAGCGACACAAACCAAAAGACAGTCTCCTCAACCGTCCGACCAACAGTCAGAAGACCATGGTTCTGCAACAACGCCGCTTTCTTATTCCCAAGCGCTTGGGCAATATTCTTGCCTTCCTCCTCGGCGAGAACGACGCCGTTGAATTGCTTGTAGACAATGTGGTCCTGTAGCCGTTAGCTTTTATACATAGCCCATGAGGATAAGCGTACATTGTAGAACGCGCACGAATCCTGAGTAATAATATCTAGCGGTCGTCCTAGCGTGCAGAAGGCTCGGCCGTGGAGGCTATGGCTGTGCGCCGCACATACGACATCAGGTCTAGCAGCGTGGATCGCGGAATGAATCATGTACGCCGCGGCGTTGAGCAAGCGAACCTCGCCTCCGTCGATGACTTTTCCTTCGTGATTGACACGAATCAAATCAGACGCCTTGATCTGTGAGAATGCTACGCCGAATGGATTAACCCAGAAAGTGTCCGGTTCGACGGGGTCGCGCAGCGTGATGTGGCCGGCCACCCCTATCAATGTCAGCAGAGGATCAAGTCCGGGGATCATGATAATCGTACCCTCGTCGTATCCATATTTGCCAAAAATGCGAAACGCGGCTGCTAGACGCCCCTTGAGGTACTCGCGCTCCTCCATTTTGTTCTCGAATACTGGTTGCTTTGGCATTGTCATCTTGACCTTGGCTTTTTCGGCACCGGCCGCCTGGGAAGACTCTGGAGATTGGAGGGTGACATTGGAGGAGACGGTTTCTGTGGCGGTTGGAGGGGCCATTTCGACGGTGCTATTTTATATATCAGTATATCAATATATGTCTTTTGGATTTGCGAGTGTTAGTCGTCCTTGTATTGTATTATATTATATATCGGCGAAAGGTGAGAAGTAGGTTCGTAATCAGGTGGTGACACCATGACATCGACCCCAGATTATGCGGAGTTCATCGTTGCAAGCGGGGTAAATTCGCTGGGTCCGAACTCCTGCGTTGCCGATCAGCATCCGAGGTCCAGTACCCGTCAACCGAATCATCGGGCCATGGTTATCATTACGACGCCGTGATTTCTACTCGTGGCTATGATATAGCTTTGATCCCAGGGGCGACCGTGTATTTTTCATTCTTTTACGCTTCTCAGGAGCTCAATCCTGGAACTGCAAGGTCGCAATATATATATCTGTCGGTCAACAGGTCTACAAGTTTATCACAAAAATCACTCAGGAAATGACCGTCGACTAGCCCATAGATTTGTCCAGTCGCGTGATGCTCTCATCCTTCATCTGGTCAACCCACTTATCCTTGCGAACACACCAGATCTCCATCGCCAGCTCCCCACATTCATCCCTGTACGGATCATCCAGTGTCCCCGTTTTGATGATAATGACTTCATCCTGACCACTCGGCTCGGACGTGAAGGGCGTCCCGCAGTCCGCGCAGAACATCCGGGGAACACCAGCGCCGCGCTCGCTCTTATCGACGTAAAGTTTCGGCTGGCCCTTGGTCCAGTGGAGGCTCGTCTTCGGCACGGCAATGTTGGCGGAGAAGCCGGAGCCAGTGTAGCGTTTGCAGTTAATGCAATGGCAGAGAATAACCTATGAGACGAGTTGCGAGTCAGTAAATGATTGGTGAGAGCTTGAAGACTGCAGGGTGTATAAGGACCTTGGGCGTTGTGGAGTCGGGGAGATCGATCCGGTAGGTCACGGCATTGCAAAGGCAGGTGCCTGTATAAGACTTCTGAGACATGTTGACGAGATATAGATTCCAATCGTTTCGGTTTCCGTCCAATTAATATTTTGGAAACTATTCACCCAATGCGAAGGCTGAATAAATATTGGGTGTGTCAGAAGCAAAGAGCTGCTTCAAAAGAGAAGAGGGGTAGAGTGTTATGTAAGCAGAAATGACAAAAGGGCGCAAAAGGACCGTGAGTACACAGGTCAACTGAGCTACTCTGAAGCCCCAGCCCTTTCCAGAGCTCACTGGTCAATACTAAGCATACATGGCCTAAAATTAAGGCAGACATAACCAAGGCCCCAACACCTACTCTGTAGAGTTGCATAACTGAACGGCTAAAATCGAATCTGGCCCTCACTGAACTTGAAGCAGTTCAGGTTAATGGTGGCAACCCCTTAATATTCTTTGTATGAGAGTATCATCCAAAACCATAATCCTGCCATTTTTCCACAGCGGTAAATAGAGGTGGCGTGGTCGAACAATCTGGGTTGAGCGTGGAGAAGATGAAGAGAATGGAGAGGATGGAGTGAAGAAACTCACACATGGGTAGATACCTAACAGCTGTTTAGAAAAAAAGGTTTAGTCTACGCCGGCAGAGAACGAAGACATATTATAGATTTTTGAGAGAAAATACATGTCATATGAAGTGATAGATAGCAATTTTCAAAGCAAACATGGGCTCTTGTGCGTCGCCAGCCCAGTCTCTGGACATCCCAAGCTCCTAGGACCCTCAGTGTCTTTCATAAGTGCCTGTGCTGGTTCTTGCTCCAAACCTGACTGGGGATCTAACTACTCCAAGAGGATTTTCCTGGCGACACCAGAGCATGCAGGGGTACCAATGTCTGGGCAAGAATTACATTTCACATCTTCCTTGAATCTGTCGCGGCACTACTATATTTTTATTACAACATCAACGGTGCTGTAGAAGCCTTACGTCCAATCTGGTGGAAGACAAGCATATATGAAAATGAGGAGTGTAATGAAATACTTTGGTAGTATCTAAGGTGATACAGATGGCAGGGATAATGCAGTGCTTTTATGGACTTTAAAGACAATCTTACCAGTGATTATTCAAGACAAAGGACCACCCCAAAGCTCTTCCAAACAAAGCGAGTAGTTCTTTCCTGTACTTGGCCTTGGATAAAGCCCACCCAGCTCCAAAGTTCGACCGAGCGACGTATCTCTGGAAAATGCCCTGCCATGACAAAACCCTCAGCTTCAAATGGGGCGAGAACTGTGGCATATTGTGCCTCAAGTACTCTGCATTTCTGGCTTGACGAAGTCAGCAAAAGAACCACATACGTGGGGACCGAGCAAAGATAGATGGACATACGGATCACAACGCCCTAAGTGGACCACTCAAGCCCTTCTCTCCTCAACAATCCCCCTGTCCATAGTGCCTATTGAAGGGTACATGCGCTCGCCAATCGCCCTTCGACGATTCATTTCTTCCACTAGTCTCAGCTGCATCTGCAGATCTTGTTGCTCGGCATTGCCTCTTGGAGCTGGGAAATGCTCTGGAAATTCCATATCACAACGCTCATGGAGACTCTGCACTTGAACAGTGTTCCAACCGTGCGAGTAGAAATAGCGTGAGATGGCTTCTTTCATTGTCTTGATATGAGTGACAAAAAAAGAACACTGTGTATCAGTCCATTCTTGGGAGCATAAGAAGTCGTAAAACCTCTTCTCGGAGGTAGTCAGGCTCGACGGGTCGACGACATAAGGCTCATCTGGAATCGATATTGCGTTGAGAGCAGCGGAGGGAGTTTGGCTTGGGTTTGGGAGACTAGTACCAGCCAGAGGAGTCTCCTCATCTGCGTCAACTGACATATTTTGGCCTCTTTGTAACTTGTGAAGACTGGACTGAACTAGGCTCAGGGTTGGATAGGCTGGCGAAATAATGAGCGGTAATCAAGTGCCACACAAGGAATGATATAGTATGAGAATGGAGGTGGTGGGGTTGCTTTATTTATCCGCTAGATACCCTTGCACTAGCACAACGCTTACGGTAATTTACTGGTAGTATTTGTACCATACGGAGTATGACCACTTAGCTTTCGCAAAGTTATATTTAGAGGACTATATGATGTAATAAAAAATATCCATGTCCCTTATTAAACCCCACAATAGACGACCATTTCTGGCCCAAATCTAGGAACAAACGGTAATGCCAGTGCGGAGTGAGTAGTTGCAAGCATTATTCATATGTGTGCACTAATGAGAGCAAAGTCAATTTCCATTGAGGAATCACTGAAGAAGACTCAATTATAGAATATACATACCTGGTTCTGTGGGTAACAGTTGGTACGGTGTAATACTCCGTTTACACATATGGAGCAATCCTGATAGATAGTGGAGCAAAACTAACCTCCATACTGTGAGTTAGAATGCTTCTATGATGATCGCTTTGGTTGCAACTTACACCAAAATAATAACTCGGATCGCTGGCATCGCTCTTGTCACCGCGAAGGTGAACAGCATTAGGCTCTGCAACATCTGCCTCTCGAGAGGCATAAGCCTGCGGCGCTTCTACTGCAGGTCTTGCGGACGCGATGGCAGTGGCTGATAGGAAGATGGACAGATAAGATAGCTTCATCTTTTATAGAGCTGTAGAAAATGGATAAGGAGAATGGGAACTCTCGATCTTTCGGTTGAAAAGATTTGATTGCTTCCGAAATAGTTGTTGATAGTCAATTCATGTGGCGATGTCGTGTCCTTTTATGGTGCCTCAGCGACAGGTAGTGGAGACTATCCGTCCAGTGATTGAACGTAGAATATATGCCAGCAGGCGACTATACCTCAGGAGATGGAATCCTTAGTATCTCTTCTATAGCTGCAAGGAACATGACGTACGTAAAAGGTGATCTGGCGAAGTATACCTACGTAGCTGAAACTCCGAACACTAAATTCCGAATACAACCTACCAAGAGGAGAGTAGATGACAAACAATCTCAGAAAAAGTAATGCTGTCTCCTGCAGACAAAGATGTTTAGGCGAACGGCAGCCTTCGGCTCAGACTGTTGGCTTGGGCAACCATGTTCATCAACGAGTCGTACATGGCTCTATCTGCAGCGTTCATTGCGTGAACGGAGCCTGACTCTCCCAAGAGGGGCTTCAAGTCCGCACCGCAGACCGTTTCCGGATCAGGCAACACGCCGCTCTGGAAGTAAGTGCGAATAGCCTTGCTTACGCACAGCGATGGTGCGGCTAAGGTGGTGTGCTACTGGAGGTTAGACCCGGAATTGACGATATTCTTGCTGACAATGTAAGGTGATAGAATGGTAGGAGGGATAATGCTTACTCCTTCTGAGTCTTGTTGTAGTACGACTGAACCAGGAAAATTTTCAGACATCCTCTTCGCACTGCAAATGATCGACACAGTCAGCATTGTGGTGGAATTGCGGAGAGGACACGAGATTGGAGACCTGCCTTCTCAACGGAGTGACTGGATCCAGAGTATTGCTCACAAGAAGAATTGGATGAGATGTTTTGCCTGTGTACGGCCCTATCAAGTTTTGGTGAGAACGGAGCGTATTGGAGGGTTGGTCAGCATACCTGTCAACTGCCATTTCGGCCTCGACTTGTGTCCAACACACCCTAGTGCAGTGACAGCAGCCCAGTAATCCCCCAAGGTAAAACTCTGGGCTTTCTGAGACGCCCATGCTTCTTGGAAACGTGCTTGGTCCATGTCACGTAGATATGGGGCATCGGAGCATAATATTGCCGACATAGCATAGAGTTCATTCGACCCCTTCTCAAGACACTCGCCAGACCACGGCCCTGTTTGCAGGCATTGGTCAGAGGGACACGAAGGCGAGCGAGATCGTTGCTTGAAGTCGGCCATCGGAGACCCATCGCCCTCGGTCAGTGACTTTGCGTAGTGTGCTAGCAGAGGAAAGACAAATAGAGGTTGGTAGACCGAGTAGCGAAGAACAGATTTAAGATCGGTCCATGTGACGACTTCAGGTCCCCTTGTGGCTGACGGTGCTACTGGCACCGATGCGTTGTATAGGACCGCTTCTAGTTCCAGATATGCGGCTTTGATGGCTGCAGGGCCACCGTGCCTATAAAAGGGGCATCCATCTAACCCAGCCGTGTCGCAGTAGAATGCAAAACGGTCGAAGATCGCGTCAGCATCAGCAATCACGTCAGGTCCTTCCCCAGTGTAGTACTTGTCGACATCAACAACGGCGTCCAGTAAAACACGCTCGACCCGATCAGGAAACATCGTCGCAAAGGTGCTTCCGAGCACAGTTCCGTACGAACGGCCCCAGTACAGGAGCTTTTCATGCCCTCTCTTCCACTTGGTTCGTGTCACGATGCTCTGTTGCTGGTCATAGCCGTACATGCGATCGTACATCCTTTGTTCGGTCTGACCTTGCCTTTCCCGCCATTCACCGTGTCGCTCAATGATTTCGAGCATATCCCTCGCGACTGGCGGTGTATTAAGATGCTCTCCAAGAGCTTCATCAGTTCCCTCCGGTGCGTACTGTAGTGCCTTGGAACAAGCACCACCAAGAGCAAGGGCACGCTGCCAATTGCGCATGAGGGAATCGTTAGAGCTACCCAGCATGCCATCCGCCTCCACCTGGAGCTCCCAGTTCCTCTGCGAAAATGAATCGGGGAAACAGCTGAACCCGGGAGTTGTGTTGTTAACGCCACGTGGATCAAAGCCGATGATATCAAAGTATCGAGCCAACAAGTTCGCAGTTTTCGTCGGCGATGCAGGATTAGTTTCTCCATCAACAATCATCTGCATGTCCCGACCGAACAACAGAGCCTGTCCGACTCCGGAACCACCAGGGCCCCCTGCGTTCATCAGAGTCTGATATGGAGAGAAAGGGAAAGTCGAGAATACCGGGATTGATTAGAATTGCACCACCATACCGGGAGTCCGTCACCGGGACCTTTGCAGGTAAGCGCGCAATGGCAATAGCCATCTGGCGGCCCTGACCGTTCTCCCGATGATAGTCCATGGGCACCTGGAGTCGGGCGCACTGGAAGCCATCGAAGCAGTCATGGTATTCCAGAGATTGGGAAGGTGTAATCTGCGTACGCTGTTAGATGGATGCTAATCGAGATAGATCTCCTGTCGTACCTGGTCCCAACTGAACGCCGGCGGTCGTGCGTTAGTCTCTCCCTTTGCTGTTGACTGAGGAACTCCGTCAGGCAGCATCAACCACAAAAATGCTGCCAATCCCATCAACGCCAGCGCAATGGGACGTGCCTTGTTCCGCCGACCTGGGATAGGCGAAGACGGTCGGGAAGACCCATTCTGCTTTTCCAGAACCATGGGTGCGTTGGAATCCGTCTTGATGTTCTGGAGCGAGGATAAATCCATGGTCCCTAAAGATACATTTCGAGGAGTTACACCTGGAAGAAGGCTTACAATGTCCGAGCGACGGGGATGGCGCGCTTTGGGCGCTGAGGTGCAGCACTTAATCCCCTACTGACCATCATCGGCATGAACACCAAGCAACAGCGAATCAGAACACGATGAATTTGGGCGAGGAAGAGGCGGCAGTGACCACAAATCTGACTGGATCATTGAAATGCAAATTGGGCTAGAAAGAATGCGGTTCGAAGGAGGCCAATAATACCTAACAGCGACACTGATCGACCTAAGTGGGGTTATTGTGTCTAACTACGAGTAACTGAATCCCCGTCCCACTGTTATACGTATCCAGTGTCTTTCTCAGAGACCACGAATTTTCATTGACTTCTTCCATGGTCTGGCCTGTTCTTGATGCGATCGACATGGCTCGATTAATAGGAAAAATGTTATGAGGACACGGCTTTGACGGTGATAGCATTGATGAAAACCGACAAAATCATCATTCTTGACACTTGTTATTGTGCGACGCGTACCGCGTCGGTCATGTGATCCCTCGCCAGTCAAGTTTCAAGCTGACAATCAAAGTGGCCTGCACAGAGAGCTGTGTCTCATTTCAAAACCACATGTACTTATGATGCGCTGATGAGGAAATCCTGGGTTTGTGGGGGGTCTTGATCCTGGCTCTCTGACCTCGGAAGAGGCGTAGGGCCTCATAATGGCCTCTTGTCTCTTGTGGTATACATTTTTCAACTATAGACGGAAGCAGAGCTCTCAAGCAAGGCACTGTATGGTTCTCCCCTGAATAGGCGATGGGGGGTCCGTGATCCGAATCAACTATTTGTCGATCAAGCTGCAATGGGGCAGTCACTGCTTGCTTCTGTGGCGCAACTTGACCTATCGATAGTCCATGTTGATCCTCAGCGTCACTTGCTCTTTTCGGCATCCATGGCTTCCTTCTATCTGCAAGTCCTTCTGAACCGACGGGGTTGCGATCTTCCGGTAGTATGTCGGAGATCCCTCGCTAGAATTCCATTTTCTCTTCCCTCAACCCGATCATTATCAATACCCTGATTGCATGTCGCCGCGGTTGATTTACTCCCCAACCGCTGACACTGTATCCGCGACTCGTATTTGCACACATCTGGCCCGGATTATCCTTTGACTTCATTTCTTGTCTTGTGATAGACCTCGTCGGTTTAGTTTCTATGCTTTTGATACATCCGCATTTAGCATCCTCTCTTTCAGGCTCTCGCTTATTGCCAGCAAACGGCTTTCTGCAAATAAAGAGATAGTATGATCCTGACTCTACGGAGCAGATCCGGATATCAATGGGCCTCGATCCAAGTATTATTCGGAACACCAACCTGATCGAGGATCGTCTGTCGAATCCGGAAGATGCACAAGACAGCACTCATAACGAGGTTCGCGAGTTAAACGATGAGTTGGCAAGCGTCACCAGGATCGAAGTCATTGACTCGGTAATCAGTCCGAGAAGTAAATGTGTTCTGTACGCTGGGTATGCATATAAGCCTTATTTATATACGAAAGTTACTGATATAACCAGGCTGGTAATGGTGATGATCATCTTGTACATACTTTCTTTCACCTCAGAATCTGGCAAGGGGTTAACCACATTGATGCAGCGAACTGGACAATTCGACGGTGAGCACCTATCGTAACTTTGCAGCGTCCGAGTTCGGCCAGCTTTCGATGTTGGCGACATTGAACACTGTCACCAGTATCGTTGCCGCTGTCAGCAAACCACCGATTGCCAAACTGTCAGACGTTCTAGGAAGAGCTGAAACGTACATCATCACAGTTACCTGCTACGTACTCTCTTATATTCTATGTGCTTCAGCTAGGTCCCTCGATACCTACGCCGGCGGGTGCGTCCTTTACGCCCTTGGCCAATCTGGGACTTCGATACTAAACGCGATTGTCATCTCTGATATCTCTTCTATGCGGTGGAGAGGGTTTGTCTACAATATACTATACCTTCCATTTCTTGTCACCCCCTGGATCTCAGCATTTATCATTGAAAGCGTCGTCAATGGCATTGGATGGCGCTGGGGAATCGGTATGTTTGCCATTTTAATGCCGTCTTGCGCCAGTATCATAATCATCAGTTTACTTGTCTTTCAACATCATGCAAAGAAGACCGGTTCTGTTGTCTGTCATCGTCCGAGCCTGCATGGTTTCTGCTCGGGAATCGACCTAGGAGGTATTGCGATCCTGACTTGCGGGTTTTCCTCGCTGTTGATTCCTACAACCTTGGCGGCCACAACAACAAGTCGATGGAAGACACCATGGATAGATGCCCTTATAGTCTTGGGTGCCGTCTTTCTAGCTTGTCTCTATCCTTACGAGAAGTACATTGCTAAAAATCCGGTATTCTCTGTACGCTACTTCCACACGTTGTCCGTGCTCGTGCCGGTGGGACTTGCTTGCATTGACAATATTGGGTTCGGCACAACCCACACCTACCTCTACGCCTGGTCAATGGTCTCACATAATTTTTCGCCTCGCACTGCCCAGTTCCTCACCTGGACAAGTGGCGTCATGCAAGCGCTCTCTGGGATATGCATGGGTTTGCTTATGTACCGCCTGCGAAGGTACAAATGGACCGCTGTAGCCGGTGCTATCGTTCGACTGATCGGCTACGGGCTGATGATTCGCCTTCGTACAAACACAAGCTCATTGGCGGAACTCTTCCTCACCCAACTGATACAGGGGCTAGGCAGCGGGATCATCGAGACAGTAGCGATAGTTGCAGCCCAGATCTCCGTACCGCATTCGGAACTCGCTCAGGTGACATCGCTGGTTATGCTGGGCGCATTCGTGGGTAATGCGGTTGGGTCAGCCATCGCTGGCGGGATCTATACTGGGAAGCTCCGCGAGCGACTGCACGTACGCTTGGGTAGTGCCATTGGCGAGGCCAGGCTGGATCAGTTGTATAATTCCATCACGGGAACTTTACCCGTGTGGGGAACATGGCAGCGAGCGGCAGTAAATCATGCAGTAAGTCTTCCAAAACCTGGACGGCTTTTCATCACCTGCTGATTTGTTTGACTAGTACTCTGATGTCATGGGGTCTGTTGTCACTACTTTGATTTGGAATACAGCTAAGCTAACATCCCAATCAGTTACATCTGTTATGCGGCCCTGGCGGTCTCTGTTCCCGTTGTCCTTCTTACCTTGGTGCTGCCTGACAGGCGCTTGGGGTATGTGTCTGCCTGCCAGATTACAGTTTGGACCAGTACTGACTGAGAGATAGTGACGGACATAATCTCGTAGAAAAACCTCAACTGGCAGATATTCCGATGTCTGATGCAAACGGTGTGCGTGAATCATGCAGGCAAAGTCATTGATATTCAGTCGGTGTTTGCCTTGGTCGTATTAGTTCTGCACAGACAAATTGAATATGGATTTCAGGTTTCCAACACAACGCTCTAACCCTCATGTTTCCATGTAATTGACATTCTTTGACGACTGGTGATAAAGAGACAGCCACTGTCTCAACTGTATCGATCCCTTAGGGCTTCAGCGGAAAGACTGAAAGATACCTGGGTACATACATCTGCAGTGAAGCAAGCAGGCAGGCAGGCATTGATTCCACACGCCTCTCTTTTCCGCAGAGCCGTTTGCCTCTAAGACTTCTGGTCATAGTGTTCGTTTCTTTGGCGCCTGAAAGGGGTTGGGTCCCGGATTTCCTTTAACTGAGCAGATGCTTCCTCTTTATGACCACATTTTGCTCTCCTCTGCCTCTCCATCAATGAGGCAGCAGAAGCATAATTATCGCCGTCTTTCTTCCCTGTCCATCAGTTCTCCATCTTCTATATACCTCCTCTACATCTCTCTCTTATATATTCCTCCTCGTTATACACTTACAGCAATGCCGTGCTGGGGTTCATTGGCATCGAGGTGGTGCATGTGGCCTAGTGATCGCAGGTTGTACGAAGACATTACTGCTTCAGTTTTGATAATTGAACCGGCGATTCCATCTTCCAAAATCCCCTGGTTTATAATACAAGCGCATATGGTTTGGCCTTCGGGTCAGCAATCAACTATGCCTACCAGTCTGCCCCGCAGACGTACATAGGGAATAAGGGCCAGACCGTACACACGGGAAATGTCCTAGGCGGGACTACCTCTATCGATGGCATGTCGTATACCCGGCCGAAGGTGTACAGACCAACGCCTGGCAGACAACTGGTGGCTGGGGTTGGAACTGGGAGTCGCTCTTCCCATACTACAAGAAAGGGTAGGGACGTTCAGGTTCTACCCCCACCAGTACAGCGCTGTCGCTGATTACAACGCATTGTACTATGGAAAGTGTGGACTCTGCTTGTGGGATGGACCTAGGATATGCAAAACAGCAGTATCCACGCTGAGCTGAATCTCACCTACCAGCGCCCGGGTATCCCCAAGACGATTATTGTCCGCTATATACAGTAGGTTTCATCACCCAAGCTCTATATTTATTGATTGCGGGCTCATTACTCAAAGCTCTATACACAAGTATCAAGACCGCCTTGCGATGGCTCTTGTACACATAAGGCCGTAGTCCTGCGTGAAGAACTTCTATCGCGACCAACACAATCTGTTGATCATGTTCCACGATTTGAGCCACTCGCCACATCGAATCGCTCCAGATACTGCCTCGCTTGCTCATCTTAGATGCTGATTATCGGGTGGTATGTCGCGGTTGTTTCACAAGCTCACCGCCCTTCTTTACCCAAGTACTATAGTGTCTGAAGTGAAGGGATATACAGATGCTGATCCAGTCCCAGTGAGGGGCACAAGACAGGCTAAATCGCATTGGTTCAACTCTGACTCCCTTCCTCGGCACTCTCGTATTTATCGAGGTATCTATCCAGCTGCTCCTGCGCGTGCTGCCTGGCCTCATCCGAGGCATTCGGGTTCATGGCGGTGCTGCTCCTCGTTAGTCTTCTTTCCTTTCTTTTTGTCAGGGGGTCGTACGCTTTGTATCCCCTCATTACATCCGGCTGGTGGGTGCCGGGCGGGGGCTCGCGGCTTCGGGATTTGCTTCGCCTTCGGCCTTCGCCTAGGGTGTGGGTTCTGTTTCGGCTTCGGCTTCGGGGCATGGTTTAGGTTTTTTTTCTGTCAATGGGTGTAGTAGTGATGGGCGCGTATGTGGATCGATTAAGTTGGGTGTGTTGATGTAGGGGTTTAAGTAGCTTGAGGAGACGCCACTGTATTCGGTAATGATGATGTGCTACGTGCTTCGAGATGATGAGTGTATGACATGGTGGTGTTTCCGTGGTTGAGGGTCGTTGTGCATTCTATTTGCGTTGCGCCAAAGACGATAAAGAACAGTTGCCACCATCCATCAGCGCGGAGTAGTGTGAAGAACCCTGTGATCAATGCAAGGGCAACTCTGGTAGGTTTGAAAACTGCGTCGTCTCACCCGAGTATCGCGCTTCGGAGAACAGTCTGAGGTGAGCCCCTTTCATCTCTGTAACTCGGGCGTACAGTTGTCTCGAAGCTGGATCAGATTATTGCCAGCACATGTTGGAGGCCTTCTACCACGGAATCTCAGGCGCGCATAGCAAGCTTGCCGGCACCCGTGTGGAATCCGAGCCTGAAGATCTCGAGTTCCGAAGGCTGTCCCGCGCGACAATCATCTCTTCCATTCTTAGAAGCGGCAACTGGCACGGCGGATGGTCTTCGGAAGGCGAGGAAGAACTGGTTCATACTTCCACGATGGTGTTCCGGGGGCCTGATGGTCGGGCTTGTATGAAGACTTCAGCGCAGCGAAGCGAGTTGAGGTCGATCAATACGGCTACAATATTCCAGAATGACTATCCAGATGTCCTAGCGAAGTGATCTGTATGGTAACTGTATATCATCTTCAGCCATCTCCGCCGCAACAGTAGGGTAAGACTAGAGCACATGGCCACTGTCGGCAGGCGCAGGCAAGTGTTATTTAACTGTCCGGCCCTTGACCTGCACCGGACAGCTGCAAGTCATCCGCTGACTGGCATATTATGAAGGTAACTGAGAGCATGGCGTATGGGACAAACCCTTCGCCGCACCGGGATAGGCATTTGTGTCGCTGTCCATCACCAAACAGGAACTGAAGATCATCAATAGCTCAGTCATATCGAGGACTTTGAGGAAGAGTCGATGTAGTTTTTCATTATACCGCATTATCATGCTTCTCGACAAGTCCATCCCTCGTTCGATCATAGTTCAAGCACAGCTGGGCAGGTCCTACCTGGTGGCATAGTAGGGGTTATCTCTCAAGGTTGATGATAATCTAGTGATGCTCTGCAGAGTTGCTCAAAGGGAAAAAAAAAAAAAAAAAAAAAAATATATATATATATATATATATTATATATATATATATCTGGAGAAGGCGTGGAGGAATCTGGCAGGAGTTCAGAAATAGTATACATACAGGGACAGTAAGAGGATTAACCCTCGACCCTACTTCTCAACGTGGAAGCCGTTATGGGAATCTATGCTCATGCTACACATGTACATGTATACAACAATAGGTTCATTCCCTTATAAGCCTGCCCAAGGCTCTACCTCGCCTGATCCACGTCCGGAGAATATTCATATTGTTCAAGGGGGGAAGTTCAATGCCATCATCATCTTCGGTCTTGAAGTTGGGCGCCATTCCCTTCGAGTCCTTTCTTTTCTTGTACCACCACCAGGAAGCAATCACAAGAAGCGTAAGAGGGAGGGTAAGGACAAGCCATAGCCACCACAGCCCTGTGACAGTTATACGTGTACTATTCTCGGAAGATGTGAATATACCAGCATCTAAAACAGCCTACCCGGCTTCGTCAGCAAAGGCTCCCTAAGGCATGACAACTCCGCAGGAAGGGGGGAGGCCGGATCATTTGATACTCACTGCTGTAAATGTCCCTGGGAGAAACACCATTGTTAGAGCAGCAATCGCACTCATGCTAGTACTATCCTGCTTCATACTAGTGGCAAGCAGTATATTACTGGCTGCGTCTTGCTGCCCCACAAGGATAGACACTAACATTAAGGTGCTATTCTGGCGTGACTTGTAGCTCAGTAACCAGATCTTCTGTTTTTGCAAGGACTTAATAACATGGCTAATTGTGTTGGCTGCTCTCTCATAAACGCGAGATGGGCATGATATGGCTTCATGCAGGCGAGTATGGATAGTGCGAATTGTGGTTGCTGTTACAATGGAAACATCTGCATTAGTAAGGTGAGAATCCGCATTATTTGATGTATAATTTAACTGTTTGATAAAATCGCTCAGTTGGTGTCGGTCGCCGTTTTCTAGGTCTGAGAGGTAGTCATCGATTTTGTTGATCTGCATAGCTGTCAAAAGGCGAGTTTTGGCTTCTGCCATGAACTAGAATTCATACCTGAGTCCATAAGTCGCGCCGAAATTGCTGAACATGATATTTCGATGCCTCAAAGGACAATGTGGAGAGCATAATGGCAATGTTGAATGGGTCGTTAAGGAAGAGATTGGCCCTTTTATCCGGACGGGCAGTTTTCATAGCGCTGCCTAGAATCTCAGTCAAGACTCTTATACTGGAATCTCCATTTTTGTGCGATATAATATAAGTGGTGAGCTTGAGAGCAGCACTGTAGCGCATATAAACTGATACTGGTGCACCTAGAAAGTACAAGTTCCAACGCGGATGCTGACAGAAAAAGTCTGGAAGATATCAGCTGGACTCGTTGCCTCAGTCTGGGCTATAAGCAAACCACAAGCTTGAAAATTGCCGTCATCGTCTGTATGCCATTCTGTCTGCGGCGCCCAGTAGTCAGGGCGCCCTAGCAGGTTCATGATAAACAGGGGGTTGACTTGGAGGGTTTGAAATAATTCCCTAACGTTGTCTCGAGTCATCGCACTGCAGCTCCCAAAAGACGTGTTCACAGCCGGTGAAAGAGGGACAAAACTACCCATGTCAGAGACCGGAGACATATAGGGAAGTTGCCAGCGTACAATGCGAGTAGTCTTTGTGGCCTCAAACTTGGCTCATTCGACGCTGGACTTAGGGTAGTGGAAGACGTAGAGTGATCAGCAGTCGAAATATTCTTTGAAATATGGTTCAGCTTATTGAAATACAGAGAGCTCGAGAATCCTGTCTTACCAGTAATAGATCACTGAGAGAGCTGGTATTCAGATGACGCCATGCTTGAGGCCGTCAGCCTATAGACGTATATCCAACCAGATCAAAAAGTGCGCATACTTGAGTCCATCCCATCCACGTCAAGGCATGTAATGTCGGTCTTATCAGAGAAATTTCTGGGATTCGAGAAATGTTTCTCATGCTGTGCTGCTGCGAAAATATCCTGGAGTGACTCGGGACTATCAAGAGGGTATTTATCTCGGTCGAAGGGAAATGTGAAGTCTAGATCGTTGGCGTGTAGGCTCATGATGTCGTGCTCACTTATCTTCAATATCCTAGAGTAAATGGTATTTATCATTGAGAGCTGATATACGGAATTTTGCGAAGAATGGTGAGGTAGTGCTTGTGTTGGACGAGGGCCTAGGGGCGCTCAGTTATATCTTTTGGGGCGTTTTCAGCCTCGTGGGATCAACTAGAGCACTTGTTACACTTAAGGCCACTGTCTAAGCCTCCACCTGCAGTTTTGCGACGGAGGAGCCGGTTGGCTGACCGACCAATAGTACCATGCCAGGTTGTAAGCGGACGGGGGTCTGTGAGAGCCAGCACATAGCTGTCAAAAGAACCTGGCAAGATTAGGTGCCCAGTAGCCCTCTCTAATCCTCGGTGGCTAATGACGATGTGGAATATCCCATATCATACAGCCCATCGTAAACGCTTAGCCGCATTCTCTTCAGTGATTTCTGGTTGGTTTCGTTGCTTCCATTTGCGCATATGTAGAACTCCGCAATAGCCGACGAACTGTGGTCTTTGATGGGGAGGCATCAACTGCAGTCTGCAGCTCACGCATCTTAATATGAGGATCCGTAGTGGCAAGTTCAAGTAGATAATTCTGTTGCTCACTAGTCAAGGCCTTTGGGCGACCACTTCGGGGTAAGGATTGCTGATCATTGCGTTGATTCTCCTTTTTGATAGTATATTGGATGGTAGAGAGAGGTATCTGGGGAAATCGCGTATGAATACGCTTATATCCCCAGCCAATATCATGCAGCTCACAGATCCGAGCACGAATAGTAGGTGTAAGCTCCTTAGATCGCGCCATCTAGATGTGTTTTGGAATAGAATCAAATTGTGTACGAGTACCCACGCGTTGGGTGGGACCGTGGGAAGAATAGTTAGGAATGGAAAGCGGTGAGTCTAGCGGCAAAAAGGGGGTCCAAATACTTTGAACCCCCACTGTAGTTTGTAAGACTACAGCAACGTTTGGTTAATATTCAAATCAATGGGATGATGGGAGTAACCAGATGGCAGTGATTAAATATTGTTCTTCCCTGTCAGTGGGCAAAGAATGGATTAAATTGATCTAATGGAAGACACGGTTGTAGGTATCGTACGAACTTATTCATTCCAAAAAAACTTCAGCCGAGGCTAGCTATATCATAACGCAAACTATTACAAGAGATATCTGAATCCCTTCTGCAGCCGACGTGCGGCCGCGAGGTCAATCCCCTCGATCTCCGCCGTGCGCTCCAGCCGCCGTATCTCCTTATCCGTGAGCGTCACCTCGCTATCATCCAGCCGCTCCAGGCGCTTGTTCAACGAGCGCAGATGGAAGTACATGATGATTGCCATGATACCGCCGAGTGTTTGCAGCCCGATGCACACGCCCAGCGCGGGACGGTAGTGCGGGTAGTCCTGCTGGCGGTAGGTGTAGGGGGTCCAGATACTGGCGGAGTTACCGATGGAGTTGATGAAGGCGTAGGCGGCGGCGCGCTTAGCCGGGGGACGGGGGATGGCGTTTCCGATCCAGGCGTAGATGGTGCCGTTCTGGGCGAAGATGATGTTCATGAGGAAGAAGGAGAAGTACTTTGGTCCGAAGCTGTCCGTTGTCATGAAGATGATGAAGCCGATGATCGTGACGGGGATTGGGTAGAAGAAGAACCAGAAGCGGTTGCCGAAGCGGTCGGAGAGGTGGGAGTGCGCCATGCTGTAGAAGACGACGAAGATGTAGGGCGGTGCGACGAGCAGGAGGGAGATGAAGTGGTCGTACTTGAGTGTTGATGTGAGCGTGGGGAAGAAGTTCTGGAAGCCGCTGGCGCCGGTGATGGACATGTAGGCGATGGCGAGAACGTAGGTCTTGATGTCGCTGAAGGCGAGCTTGAGGCCCTTGACCTGGCTCATCTTGCCGGCTTCGTCGACGTCGGCATCGGCGGCTTCGATGGCCAGTCGGCGGTTCGCAACGTGGCGTTCCTCCTCGGAAAGGCGCTTCCAGGTGGAGGGGAAGTCGGGCAGGAGTATCATGACCGCGATGCCGACGGCTATGGTGATGGCGCCCTCAATAATGTACAGCCATTGCCAGGCTGCTAGGCCGTGTTTTCCATCGAGACCCTTCAGGATACCTGCCGCGATGAGACTTCCGAATGCTCCGCTGAGGAGGGAGCCTGCGTAGAAGATACTCATGCGCAGAGCTAGCTCCTTCTTGGTGTACCACTTGGAGAGGTAGAAGAGCACACCAGCGAAGAATGGAGCCTCGACCAGACCCAGGATGAACCGACAAGCGACGATTCCACCGAAGCTCTTGACTTGGCTCGTCAGCAGCGAGACCAGGCCCCATGCGGCCGTGAAGAATCCCAGATATAGCGACGGCCGTCCCATATAGTTCAGGATCAGGTTGGACGGCACTTGCATGAGAATGTATCCGACGAATAGAATGGAAAGACCAGTTTGATAGTCGGCATCGCTGAGCTTGAGATCGCGTTCGAGACCTTGTAAACGAGCAGCTGGGTAATTGTTCCTTTGAAATTGTCAGTTCTGGTCGCACAACTGTGTCGCAACGTAGAGGAAATATGCGACCGGTGACAGGCGGAGAAAGCAAGCGGCCAGCTCGACGCAATTCCAGGAAGGCACTCTTACCGATCAATATAGTTCATGAGATAGACGAGAATAACAAGCGGCATGATGGTAGAGTCAAGGCGTCGCCGCAGTTTTTTCTCGATCACTTTCTCTTCTTCGGTCAACTGAGCCAGCTGGGCGACCTCCTCGTGGCTCATCTCAGCCTTCTCCCCCAGAAGGTCTTTGTCGGTAATTTCCTCGCCCATGTTGATCGAGCCAGCCGATAACAAAAAGGGGTTTTCTCAGAAAAGAACAAGAATGAGTTAGAGAAGCGACAGAGTCTGCGCTGTGGGACTTGCAGAAGAAGAAAGGGATCGGCCATCTCTTATATACTACGCGCTCGAACTTGCCGCGGTACTGCACGATTACACCATGATGTCTGCAAGCTATGCAGTCCTACCTCGATGGGGAACCCCCACGGGGACGGAGAGACTGCGAAAGCTCGGGATTGGGCAGCGGAGTGGGAGAGCTCTGTGGTAGATGGATCATTAGGGAGAAATACACGGGGGGGGACGGGATTCTGCTGGGGCGTGGCTTTTCTGGGGAAACGCGGGGAAATAACTGATTGGCTGTTTTGGAGATAATGACCTATCAGTAACCTGACAAATGCGGAGAAGAACCCCAGCAGACTACATGCGAGAATGGCCCTCCACTCCATCTTTACTCCCGTAGCCACTTGCCGTTTGGCTGGCTTGCTGCATACTGCCACATATCCTCCCCGCGAATCTGGTATTTTGTGGGTCCCCCCACGTTTCAGGGTCTGTGCTGATTATGCCGTTTGCTTCCCCATATCGGATGTTGCCCAGAGCGATCTGGTTGAAGTCGGAAGTTCTCCGGTGGCGCACAGCATCAAACTTTATATTGTAGGATCTGGATCCTGGAGCTCTTTGTGCTCTTTAAACGTACAATCTGGTGCTCCACAAGTTGCGGTTAGCAGAGGAACTGGATATCTTTTGCTTAGCTCAAGCTGGCGTGTTCCTAGCAAGACTATTGTCGAACACTAAGTAATTTCGGATATTGAGGTCGATTCTTTTGAAGCTTATCTGAGCTCCACATAGTAGAGGCGAATTGCAATAGTTCTTGGTCGAACAACTATATCATGTGCCTCGTCTATTGCCAACAGCGAATCTAGTACGCTTCTGGAAGCTCTGCCGTACCAAGACAAGCGTGTTTAGCCTGTGACTCCCATTGACTAGGTTTAGAGTTGGAGCCGGCTGGTCTCGCAGCATCTCCGATGTCTGCACATGGCTTGGTCTCTTGACTATGACCCAGGAATCAGTGGCTCGGACTTTCCGCGGTCATCGAAGATTTGTCCGGTTAAGCTGATTCAAGATTGCGACCGGCCAAGGTCGTCGTCCATCGCAGCCTATCATGAGTGAAGCCGTTCAGATATCCCTGAGCTAGCAGGTTTACCCTCGTCATCGATCTAATCAATATGCATCGCACCGATGAATCCTCCGCGGAGCTTAAGAGATACGGCTTTTAGTTCCTACCGTCTTTGATGGCTAGAGAGTTGTAACAATCAGAGTAGTTGGAAATACCATCCTCTACGGAGTAGACAAATGCAGAAGCATCCTTCATGCTTAGTTGATGATACCCATAAAAGGCGCTAGTAGGATTAGAAGGGACTTTCTATGTCGTATCGGACCTTCTTGGCGGAGTATTCTACAACAGAAGCAGTCTTGTTTACTGAAGCACCAGTCAGTCTCATTCGGCAGGAGAGTGTTCCTTGCGTCGGGATGAGAGGCGTCGTGGCTTCCGCCCAGAGGTTCGGTTCCTTTCAGCCACCATCGCAGGGCCGACCAAGGCCGTGGCAGCTGAGACAAAGATATCACAACATCTCGGCCGAGTACCCGCCAAATGACAGCTGATCGTCTCCCCGAACCTCCATGTGCCACTCGGCGGTGTGGTTGTCGCTCGGTTCGTGATCACAACCCATCCTTAGGAGCCATTCCGTCCATGACATGTCCCGGTGGAGATATGATTCCTTCTACAGTAAGATTATGAGCTCTGTGACTTGAGTCGTGCCGCCACGGGAAAATTCCCCTTGTTGACTTCCCCGCTGTTATCTAGCATCAAACGGCCACAACTTGTCCACTTTTGCTACTGTTAGACCCTCGCCACGGACCTCTGATTCTCTGGCCGTCTGTATCCATTCATCGTACGCCGCACAATGAGCATCTTCTGCAGCGTTCCATATATTATTCGGAACCCAGCCATCAGAGTTCGTGTGCAGAGAGTTTCTTAGCCATAGTTTAAGTCTTTGGATAGTCTCAAAGTCTTCATAATCTCGCGCGTGCTTCGTCAGTCCTTCTTCAGTTCTTCTTCAGTCGGAGAAAACGGACAAAAGTCCTGCAATCCCAATTCTGTCCAGCGAGCTGAAAGCTCAATCAATTCTTGGCGGAGCGCCGTGGCACTGTCTCTCCATGTCGCATGACAGTAGTAAAAGACTCGAAACAAGGCCGGACCGAGTAACCTGGCGGGGTGTAGTGTAGGAGCAAGGCCCTTCATGCATACATCATAAATCTGGTAATAGATCGACGCATCTTTGCATTCTCGTTCTCTTTGACCGAGAGTTTTGTGTTCGTCTTGTCCGTTCTCGAATATGTTACCCTCTGACTCCTCAAGGAGTGCAGCAAAATCAGGAGTCTCATTGGCATAATGAATGCAGGCTCAATGCATGTTGATTGCCATCGATCACGCGAGTAATAACGGTTGAATCCTCGGCGGAGACATACATATTCCTTTTATGAAGGTCAGGATGAAGCAGACCTGGAGTAGCCGCATCCTGGATGCGCCTGTCTTTGATCAACTTCTGCATGACTTCTTTACTTATTTTCAAGTAATCAATGTGATCTTGAATTGATCCTTATGAGGAGGAAGGTCGCGATTGCCAGCATCTACTCTCGGTAAACGAGAGAAACCGGTCTCTATCAAACCTAGGCAATAGCTTGTGAGGTCTGTTCCTAATTTTGCGCCCGCTGCGTTAGAGGACTCTTGTTTAAAAAGGAGGTAGAGAAACATGAAACTGACAAGGATCACGTTTGGGACTGGGACGGCCGTAGGGTTCAAGTTCCCCGGATGCCTGTTCTAGAAGACTGGACTGCAATTTGGACCAATACAGAAGCCCTCTTCAAAAGAATCTTCATATGGGAGTCTAATGGCGCATCTGAGAAGTATGGACTGCCATTGGCCGGAACGGCCAAGGATGCCATATTCCTCATGGCCAATGAAAGCATCTTAGTACACAACATATGTTGTTCGAGTTCTTTTTCGACAACATTTGGTGTAGCTGAACACCCGCAACATGCTCCTGGCTGATCGTCGTTCCAGTCTAGGATTTTCGGTATCGGAAGCGAGACCTTGGATGTACTATACGAACGCATGTCAACCGCATCCTCAACAAGGCAAGTATGTAGATCAGCCCTGCAGTATGCATTGTTGCGACTTCGAGTTGGTGGTTAACCTTGGCGGGCCAGCAATACCGGTCGGTAATCTCGCCACAACACAAGAACCTGTGCCCATTGTGAAAAGAATGACTCGGTTGAATCCGCCTTCTCTCTTTTCGCATTTGGCGATCTTGGTTGCTCCTGGACACAGGCTGATAGCCCTATCGCGAAGCGCCGAGAAGTCAAACACAATATGGCGAGATCCCCGTTCCAGCTCATCCCGGTTAAGCCATCTTCCACTCGTGTACATATAAGGATCAAGTCCTACAGATGGAGTCAGTACATGGGAAATTATAAGTGAGAGTAAATAATGCTACTAACATGGAACCAGTTCTAGGCAAGGGGTGCGGCGACACCGTGCTGGGTTTGCTTCCTACATTGGACAGTTGTCGCTGAGAAGAAAAAGGGTGGAGGAGCTGGCTGACTGGTGAAGGAACCCTCAACGGCCGCCAGAATCGAAGCATACTAGTAGCAGATCTTTGTATCTGCATCAGTGTAGTTGTAAACCAGTTGCGGCGCTAGGTACAGTGAAGGCCAATAGAAATCCTTGTTCTTACCCCTTGCCTGACGTAACTTAAAATGGCTGGACATCTCATCAAGATTTTAGCCTCCAGAAGTTGGACTGATCTCATTTAAGTCCGACGACGTTGGGCCCAGTCATTAATCAATTTCTAGACCTCGAGCAAACCTTTTGTGTTCAACTTCTGAATTTATTTTAGTGAGACTAACCTTCTCCGCGACGGCAGCGAGAAATGTCCTCAGTGAAGATGCCATATCAGCCTTGATGGATTAGGCAGAAAGCTTCGGAACGATGACTGTTCATCTTGCGAAATCACCGAAGCTTGCAATAACGCAGGCTGAAGAACTTGCTAAATAAGCTACAAAACTGGTTGACGCCGTCACGCTCCGGTCGACGGTGGCCATCTCGCTGCCATGTGGTGCCGCTGCTCTTGGAGAATTAAACCTCATTCATATGCGATTTTAGGCCACCTTGACACGTTAAGAGGAATCAGGCTCAGGATGCGTTCAACACTTGCTGGCATCTCGGGTCGCGTTTATGTGCGTGATAGAGTCCTCAAAACTCATCCGAGGAAGCCAGAGCTGAATATCTACCTCGCACAGTAAGCTCGGTTTCTTCAGTCATCTTGCTAGCATCTCAACATTTCAGCTAATAGGCAACGACTGTCAGTTGTGAGGGTCGACCCTTTGTTTTGAAGCCTGTTTCCAAGTCGATATTCGAACATTCCATGATCCTCAAAAGGGAGTTTCCAGATACTTGTCAAATTCGAACACATGTAGATGCCAACGAAGATGAACTCACCCTTGTTTATGATTACTTTGAGCATGATTTGCTTTCCCTAGTACAAAACGACTCAAATCTATCTCTTAAAGCAAGAAAATGCATATTGCAACAGGTCGGACAGGCAGTGGAGAGTCTTCATGCCAAAAATTGGATACACTTAGGTTGGTTGCAAGACATCGAATATCCGTCCACCAAATCTCCACTAACAAGGGTCCTGTCTAGACATAAAGCCTGACAATGTCATGGTCGACTGTAGTAAAACCAATGGAGGCCAGCTTGAAATTGAGCGAGTGGTACTATCCGATCTAGATTGTGCTTTGGAACTGGAAGGGGAGAGGTTCCTCAACGCTAGAATAGGAAACGTTATGTGGCGCAGTCCCGAGGGGCAGATAGGGAAGGGTATTGGTAAACCTTCAGATGTATTTTCGTATGGACTTCTTGTAAGTTGGACTAT